GCACCGATCTTTTACTACCGGAACAAGTGACCGACCACGAGAAAAGCTGCGTCAGCAGATATTTCGACACGTGTCCATTATGTCCCGACTTGAAGATGCCACCGTATATGATGGTGGAACATTTTAAAAAACGCTACAGACATTACTTTTTAAAGAAACCCACATTCCAAATTGATGTCAACATTGAATCAGACAATTACTACCTGTACATCGCAGAAGACATGGTGTTTATGTTGAACGTGTTGGTGGACACTACGCGTCACAGAATATTTTTGGATAGTAGGCTACTGGGGTCGAAAACAATGGCGAAAAAAATAAATCAGCAATTTCGTATACAAGATATCACCACTGAGCTGAAACCATGCAAGACAACGTTAAATGGAAGCTTCGTTTTACCCATGGAGGAATTAAAAAAACATGGAAACATATCATGCGAACTTATTTTGAAGTTTGATGTTGTAAAATTCGGCGTGGTAAAAAGTAATAATACAACGAATCCACAATGTAGCGTGGCAGAGATAAATAAAAATAATTTAAGTGGTGATAATAGTACAGCTGGTGACAAAAGTATTTTAAAATCTTGTGAGGGAGACCAAAATAACTACAAATTAAATAATAGTTGTAATTATTATAAATCCCATTACTATCGAAAACTATATCTGTCTGAGGACTTCAAAAAATTATATCCTAATTATAAACTATTTGCTTGTGAAATGTTTATTAGTAATGGTTATATGAAAGACATTTTATTTTGCAGTTTTTGTGGTGGGGATTTGTATCCAAACTCTTATTATAAATACGATTCCTGTTTGGTTCCAACTACAGGTTGTGGTTTCTGTGTGAATCATGTGAAAACAACATGCTCCAAAGGACACTCAGTAACAAAGAAGTTAAGATTTAAACAGTTTCACGCAGTAATTCAAGCGTATTGCAAATGGAACTGCGGCCAACATTTTAATTATTATGTTCTCCATAAACACGAAATGGATTGTATTTCCCGCGACCCAATCCCAAGTTGCCCAGTAGAAGAATGCACAGCAGGAAATTTCCAAAAATTTTCGGAACTTAAGAAACATATTAAGGATCATAAAAATAAAGTTTTGGAGCCTTACTACGATAATATTGAATGGTTTTTTTGTAGTAACATTAAGGGAAAAGAGTTCTATCTTTTTCAGGATCATGTAACTGTTGTGTTTTCTGGAAGCAATGAATCCATTAAATTGACAAACGTTATTCAAAACGATGAATGCAAGCTTAAAATTTTTGTGAATGAAACACAAATTGCATTAAATCAAGAAATTAAATTTGTTGGCGGTAATACTCTTTGGTTTAGAGTTATAGAAGAACACGTTGTAACATGTAATAATTAATTGAGTTACCTATAAATTTGTAATATTGTACCTACACAATTTTATATATTCATTTTTAAGTTTATATTGCATGTTATTTTTAATAATAATATTATATTATTTGTATATACTCTTATATTATATATTATTATTAGTTTTACTTTATTTTTTGAATTTATGAATGTGTTTATTTTTTAGAAAAATTAAACGCATTCATAAAGATATTCCCTTTAAAAATACTTTTATTTTGTGCAAAAAAGTCTTGTATAGATTTTTTAAATTTTGTTAAACAGTCCTATATATATGTAGGTGGAAACTTTTATTCTTTTTTTCTAGCCCCAACCAATTCGGTTGAATCTAAATCCAGAAATAAGAAAAATGTTTTCTTCCTAACTAACTAAATCTTAAATTGGTCGCAAACTCGTAAAATCCTAGAATTATTTTCTAGAGTATTACTTTGTGCCCGCTTGTAGGTAATAGTTTTCCTAACAGGCGCATGGGCAGAAAAAATTTCAGAGAGGGTTTTGGTAAAATATAAGAGTTAAATAAAACAAAAAAAATCAAAAGCTTGTCAGGAACTTGCATCTCAATTAGGGTTGGGACAGTTGAAATTTTCAAATGAAAATTTCAAACTTGAAATATTTCATTTAGTTGGAAAAGTGAAATTTTTAAAAATTTCAAATGAAATTTTCAATTCGAAAATTTCAACATTGCCTGTGAAACTTTTAGAAATTTCATTGAAAGTTTCGCAATTTACTGAAAATTTCGCATAAATTTCACATGGGACCTTTAATGATAATTTACAACAGATTCTGAATCGACCAATAAGAACGAGTTATCAAGCGTCTGGGCGTTTTTGTTTAGTTCGGCTTGGATTTGAATACACTATAAGTAATTATTGTTACTTATATGCATAAATTAATTTAAATAATATAATTCAGTTACCAATTTAATTTGTAAATTAAATCAGAATTTAAAATTTTTTTAAAAGTCATGATTAATTTAAACTTTTACTTTTGCTATAATTGCATCGGAAAACGGATAAAAAATGCCTTTGGCTCATAAAATTTTGATGAAGTTTCTTCAATTTTTATAAAATTTCAGTAAAATATATAAAAATAATAATTATATATAAATATAAAACAATGAAAGTGGCACAATCTCATTAGTTACCAAAAAGTGCATATCTCTCTTAGTTTTAGTAATTTTAAAAATATTTTAAAAGGAAATCTCAAGAAATTTGTTGTAAACATAGGTATTTACTATTTATATTATTGGTGCAGGGGCCCACAGAGGGGTAGGAGGTAAGAGAAGCAATTTGCCATGGTCACCGAGTGGGCTTATTTCAATATTAATATATTACACTTAAAGTGATTGAAATTTATTGAAAGTTTCAATAAATTTCATAAATATCATGAAATTTCAGACATTTAGGAAATTTTAATAAAGTTCATAAATGTCGTGAAAATTTCAAGTGAAATTTCAAGTACAAGCAAAAAGTGAAATTTTCCCAACCCTAATCTCAATCCATCGTTGCACATATTGTCAGAGTGTTTTTATATTGAACACGAAATTGTGCCCAAGCAAGCCTGAGCTATTTAAAAAACTTTAATAATAAGATTTGCTTGATTTAAATATTATCCTGTATGGTGTAGTAGCTGGGATGTTTCAAAAATAATCTATTTAAAAAAATATATAATTTACTTTCAAAAAGGCCAAGGTAAAAAAATACAAAAATATACATATAAAACATAATTTTATTTTTTGTATTGTAACATTAAAGAACTGCAGCGACACAGTTACTGATTTTTTTAATATTTAATGCTTAAAAACTCCAGTCAATGAAAAAAAAAATGTATACGTTAAAATTAAAATAAAAACGCACCTTTTTGCTGCGCACTCCTCGATTAGAGCCCGCAAATTCGTAAAATTGTACCCAAGCAAGCCTGAGCTATTTAAAAAATCTTAATAATAAGATTTGCTTAATTTAAATATTATCCTGTATGGTGTAGTAGCTGGGATGTTTCAAAAATAATCTATTTAAAAAAATATATAATTTACTTGCAAAAAGGCCAAGGTAAAAAATACAAAAATATATAAAACATAATTTTATTTTTTGTATTGTAACATTAAAGAACTGCAGCGACACAGTAACTGATTTTTTTATATTTAATGCTTAAAAACTCCAGTCAATGAAAAAAAAATGTATACGTTAAAATTAAAATAAAAACGCACCTTTTTGCTGCGCACTCCTCAATTAGAGCCCGCAAATTCGTAAAATTGTACCCAAGCAAGCCTGAGCTATTTAAAAAACCTTAATAATAAGATTTGCTTAATTTAAATATTATCCTGTATGGTGTAGTAGCTGGGATGCAGGTCCGGCCCGACGTTTTTTGCCGCTCCGGGCGAAGATATTTTTGCCGCCCCTTCGGCAGAAATAGTGGCAAAAGTAGTTTAACGTAATTATTTTTTAGTTTTTTATGCTTTAGAATCACCAATAGGTAAGGCAATATACTGGCTTACGTCGCGAAAAAGAAAAAAACTATGATTTTAATATAGAAATTTAAATATTATTTAAATAACGAAATGTGCGATAAATTTTAGTTTATCTTTAACTTTTACTTTTACAATACTTTTATAATATAGTACGGATTTTTTTGCAAGAATTTGGAAAATGTTGCTGCTATAACTCGATTTTCCGCCTCACGCGCCCTTTTTTAGTTTTTATAAAAAGCTCCTGAATATTTTTTGCGTTTTTCAGACATTTTAAACTTCTAATTATAATTAGATAATTATCAAAATACCTTAGTGATTCACTGATTTTACAATGCACGATCGTGAGATATTTTTCAATTAATTGCCAATTGTCAAACACAGTAAAGAAAACTCCAGGATATGATTGAAGAATCAAATAAAAGAGGGCGCCAGCGTCGTCTTCCGAGAGCGCCTCTTGTAATGTTCCTTGATGGTATGTCTTAAACTTTCATACTCTTTATATACTTATCACCCTTTTTATATAATAGATGAAATAAAATAACTTTTCCTTGGTCAACGACTCGTGTCTGTCTACAATTGATGACTCCTTTATTTTTATACAGGTTAATTAATTTTACAGCATAAAGTTGAATAATATTAATACAAAAATTGCTGATATATGAATATGAATATTTAGCAGGAAATCGATTAACTTAATAATCGGGCTTAACAACCTTAAATATGATTACATTGCACTCTATTAAATCATTTGTATACAAAGATTGTTATAACAAAGATATTTCTCGAGCTTAATACTGGAAAAAATCGCCAATCGAAATTTTTGTATTATGTTCATTGAAATTTATTATCATTAACACATCGTAAAAATGCCGCCCCCCCCATTGTGCCGCTCTGGGCGGTTGCCCGGTTCGCCCGTACCTCGGGCCGGCCCTGCTGGGATGTTTTGAAAAATAATCTATTTAAAAAAATATATAATTTACTTTCAAAAAGGCCAAGGTAAAAAATACAAAAATATATAAAACATAATTTTATTTTTTGTATTGTAACGTTGATTTCTTGACAATTTATTTTTAATATTTAATGCTTAAAAACTGCACTGTCAATGAAAAAAAATGTATAAAATAAAAACGCACCTATTAGCCGCGCAGTCCTCGCTTAGAGCCCGAACCTGTTTGGGGTCCTTCTGGGCGTGGCGCCGGCCGAGACGATCTCCTGGCCCTTGTTGAGCGCCGCCTCCCTCCTGTCGGCCGCCTCCCTGCGCGCCTTCATCTCCTCCTGCGCCACCTGCATCTGGCCCTCCATCTCCTGCAGGTGCTCGGCCGCCTGCTTCTTCTTCGCCCTGCCCGACTTGCCGGTCTCCTTGAGCGAGAAGAACATCGGCCCGAGCTCGGCCAGCCAGTGCCCGTCCACCGAGGTGACGCACTGCATGTACTCGCGCGCCGTCATCACCAGCTCGTGGTAGACCACGTAGTCGGGCGTGTTGCCGAGCCCGAACAGCGCCGACGTCGGGTGCAGGTGGCAAGGCATGCCCGTTCGGCAGTTCACGTACTCGCCGATGCCTTTCAGCCGCGCCGCTTGGTGGAAGTATGCTAAAACCACGCCTTATAAGTTCCGCTTCAATTGCCTATAGATCTCTATAGATCCTTAGATACAAGATACATTTTATTTTACCCAACTGATTGCGACCCCAAACGGAACATGTAAATCCAATGGATATAGATATCTACTCTATGGATATCCAGGATATACCTACATAGGATATCCTGGATAACCATTGGATATAAAAATGTCCGACTCTGCTGGATATCCATCCCTGATAGCACAGTTTATTCTAAGAATGTTTTTTAAACCTTCCAGTGGGAATATTCTTAGGATCATGCTATATTTCTTCTAGTCATGTTCTAAGAATGTTTTTCAAACCTTCCAGTGAGAATATTCTTAGGATCATGCTATATTTCTTCTAAAGAACATGCTTAAAAGAAATATAGCATAATCCTAAGAATATTCTCACTGCCTATAGGCAGGTTTTTAGAAGGTGCAAAGTTTAGTGGTAAAAATTAATCCACTCTAAACATATGTTTAAAATGTTGAGAAAGTAATTGCTATAGAAAGTTCATTTAGAAATATTCCTGGAACATTCTGTTAAGCATATTCAGTTCAGTTAGGTAACTATATAATAGTAAAATATACCATAATCTACGTATAAAGGTACCTATACTTAGTATTAAATAGTAAGTAAAAAACACAACCCAAAATATTTTTTTATAGTTATTTGTCAAATTAAAACAATATTCGATAACAAAAATACTTTTAGGTATCTAAATTATCCGGCTTTTTCATAAAATCTTCTATCCAACTTAAATACAATGAAAAATGTTTTTTTTATGAAGAACTATTTGGTTTTTTCTTTTATGAAGAATTATTTTATAAGGAAATATTTTGTTTTTTTATATTTTATTTTATGTTAAAAATAAATATTTATTAATTTGTATACCGATTTATTATTTCTGAATTAACATTTTTATGTATAATAATCCTAACTATCTTCAACTTCAATCTAATCTGACTTATCCCACAAAATTTTCCAATTTTACTTTTTATGAAATAATGTCATACAACTTATGGTTTAGAGGTCAAATTGTTTATTTAATATTTTTAAATAAATATATATTAATATGTCGCAATTTTTTTTAAGGGGACGACAAATACATTTCATTTCATTTATGACAGTGAGGCGTATTTGTCGCCTCCTGAAGAATTTTACGAATGTAGAATCCAACATATTAGAACGTGGGTATCTGACATATTTGAAAATATTCGCAAAAGCTTCATAAAAGCTCCATAAGAAACCTTCTAAGAACATTCCAAAAACGTATTCTTAAAATGTTCTTAGAATGCTTTTTAGGAAGGATTTAAGAAGCTTCTAAGAATCTAATTGCATCATTAAAAGGGTTTCTATTGAATGTTTTAAAAGTCCCTAAGAACATTCTTAGCAATAAGGGAAGGTTCTAAGAATATTCCATTATTCCGGGTCATATCTTCTTAAAAGATTCTTAGAATCAAATTTTGCTATCAGGGATTGGACATTAGGCTGTTTCATTTAAAACGACTATATTTTGTTTTTCACCGAAACTGCAAAATATTTTTCAAAACATCGAACAAAAAAATCCCTTCAAGTATGAACTCTTAATTTTGATTCTAAGTACTTCCATTCATTTTAAATGTTTTCCATTTAAAAAGCATGTAAATACATAATTGTTAAACACTTTTTTTTCAATTTCTATATCTTTGCCGGGTTTTAAATTTTTTTGTTTAAAATTTGTTGGTAAAAAACAAAAAATGGTCGTTTTAAATGTAACAGAAGTTGTAAGTTTACATGCTTGTTTCATAAATATCTATTGCGTTATAAGGTCCAAACAATTCTAATTTTTAAGTTTTTTTTAACAGATAAGTTCTGGAAGTAACTTAAATACGTTTTGAATGTATCTGTACCCAAATACTTTTGGAAAAATGTATTGTATCTGTAACCAGATACATTTGTCAGAAAGTTTCTGTATCTGTACCTAGATACTGAAAAAAATGTATTGGTTGTAACAGTTTTAAAAACACACCTAATAAGTTCCGCTCCAATTACCAAAACATGTTTTTTCTCTAGATAAAATAATGAGAGACCCTTTTTTAAAGTAATTTTACGACATGTCATTTTTATAATTAAATGGGTTTAGTGTGATACTTTATCACAAAAATGGAAATTGGTCTTTTTTTGCTACAAAAACAAAAATTTACTAATTTATTTTACTAATAACTGATATAGTCACCTTCCTTTAAATTTACCAGACAAATAACTGTCAAAGTTACAATTGTGGAGCAATCAGACAAAAGCAGATAAATCGGTTTTAATCAGTTTCGAATTATCAGCGGAAAACAAATATTTTTCGTTCTGTCAAAATTTATTAAATAACTTTGGGGGTTTTCAGGCCTTGAAAATTAAATTCCTTAAACAAATTAATATAGGTTGTAGAGGGCGCTGTCTGAGACTTAAATCCAGAGATAATTAAATTAAAAAAGGCTTTTTACTTACCTAAATGAAATTTTTAAAATATGATTGTGGCATTTATTAAAAATGTGTTTTTCTTACCTGAACAAATACATTTCCGAATGATGTCCCAATCGCTGCCGCACGATTTGATGTCGAGCTTTTGCTGAATCAAAATATCCTTAAGTTGTTGCCTCACTTCTCTCACTTTCCTCATTGCTTTAATGTGTATAAAGTGCTCGTTACACCAGTGCGATGAATAACTAAAATTTAAGATGTTACCACTTTTGGTAAGTTATTTTTAGGTACCTATTATTTACCTGTTTTGTTTCCACTGATTGTAAACATTTAAAAACGTTAAATGGTCGCTTTCGGGTACTTGAAACTTTTCCCTGACCCCGTCTGCCTCCTCTTCCCTGCCCTTTGGCCTGTAGAATATAGACGGCACGGACAACATGGACACTAAAGACAAAAAGCTTTGAAATTTCGTGCTTGCCCTGTCTTGGGGCAAACTAAAGAAAATCTCTAAACTTTTGCCCCATGAAGACCTGTCAAAGCGCAACATTTACCTATAATGAGAATCTCTGCGGTGCACCCCATTTGGCTTGAAACAATGAGCATTTGACATTGAGGGGGGTCCAAGGGGAATTCCGCCATTTGCCTCCCTAGTTTCGTTAAAACTCCGGTGTGATCCAACGCGCCCAATATCCAAAGTTGGTAAAGAGAATTTAAGATATTATCCTTAAATAAAAAAATAATAAATAAATACTTTGGTCATTTTGGAATTTCATACATCCTACATCCTAAATAAATAATATTATGTTCATATTAAACAAAAATCATCCTGCCCAGTTTAAGCCTACCAATAACATTAAGCCGTTCCTCAAAAAGATAAAAAATTTAAACGTAAAATATTTTTTTTTTGTAAATTCTGCCTCATAAAATTCATGCTTTCTATGAAATGTGGAAAATATTTCCATCTACTCGTATGTATGGGTGTTAGGGTGTTTAAAAAAAGCGAATTAGATTTTTTTCTTGCAAACAAGCTAAAAAGTTTCGTTCCGAAAATGTGTTTAGATATTTTTGTAGAGAATTAAACGCTCTACAAAAAGGTTTCCTATGATTTTTTGTTAAACCAATTGGTTAAAAAGTTATTAAAGATAAATTTTGCCGATTTTTCGGTATTGCAGCGGAACTACTCAATTTTATCAAAAAATTAAGCACGAAATTTCATGCGAAACATAAATTTGACATTACAAGAGTCGTTAACCAATATTTTTATCGGTAAAATAATAAAAAAATTGCTCTTATGTATATTCAGAATCAATTAACAAAAAATGTTGGTGGCATATCAAGTTATCAAATACTGAAATTTCAGGTAGCAAAATATTTTAATCTTTAGTTAAAGTGTTCTGTTTACATTTGTAAATAAAAAAATGGTTAACGACTCTTGTAATGTCAAATTTATGTTCCGCATGAAATATCGTGCTCAATTTTTTGAAAAAACTGAGTAGTTCCGCTCCAATACCGAAAAATCTGCAAATTTGATGGTGAGTTAAACTTTAATCTTTAATAACTTTTTAACCAATTAGTTTAGCAAAAAATCATAAAAACTTTTTTTGTAGAGCGTTTAATTCTCTACAAAAATATCCGAACACTTTTTTGTTTGACCTTTAGTTTGGTTTAGAAATTAAGAGCTCATATTTACACTGTCTCATTTTCATACCTAAACAAAACTTTTGAGCATGTTTAAAAGAAGAAAAGAAAACAATTTGAAACACCCTAATGGGTATATATTTTTTTAAGAGCCACAAGGTGGGTTAAATTAGAAAAATACTGCATAATTACCAGTTCTTCAAAATGGTAGGTATATAAAAATTAGAAAAAAATCAGCGGTTCATAAATAAATTGAAAACAACCGAAAACTTGTTGCGATTCGGCTTACCTGAGGTGGCGGGTCCATGAAGTGGAACTGAAGCAAATCCTGCACCCCGAGCGATTTCAGCAGCAGCACCGTATTGGCCAGGTTGGTCCTCTGTATTTCCGGGACAGTCGTCACCAGCAACTCGTCCTTGTACTGCCTCTCGGTGTAAAGTCTGAACGCCTGGCCGGGCCCGGTACGCCCGGCCCTACCTGAGCGCTGGTTCGCGTTCGCCTGGCTGATGGGGTAAATCTAAAAACAATGGTTCAAATGAACTGATCAAAAAAAGTTAAGCATATTTTTGAACAAAGTTGAAATCAAACTGGATACCTAAAATGCGTTTTTTCGACTTCGTTCTTTTTTGTCTAAGATTCTTTCATTTTTACGTTTTTATTACCAAATATTAAAATAAAGTGTAAGGGGCGTATAAAATTGCATCGTTAAATTTATGTTTTGGTCAAAATATCTTAATATGCTTAACTTTATTCGATTAGTTTAGTATGAAAGATAGAGATGATGAAATTCTGATGATATTTTACCTGCAAAGCATCCATGCCTATCCTGGGATTGTAAACTTTCAGCTTGCAGTAGCCGGAGTCGATGACGAAAATGATGCCGTCGACCGTGAGCGACGTTTCGGCTATGTTGGTAGCTACGACGCACTTCCTGATGCCCTCGGGCGATCTCTGGAAAATTTTCGCCTGCAAATCGGACGGCAGCTGCGAGTAAATCGGCAGTATCGAGAGGGCCGGCGCGTTCTCTATTTCGCCCAGGCGTTCGCTCAACACCTGCATCAACAGATCCGTTAAAATTGCTGCAACTGCCCGTTGAAATTCATCGGTTCAAAGATCTTAGATACTATCCGAAAGTATCTAGGATACTTTTAAGTGACTAAGATACTTTTGAGTAACTAAGTTACATTTAAGTATGAATAAAAACTATAAAATTATGAAAATTCAACAAGTTGTAGGTTAGGTAATTACTTTGAATCATTCCGGAATTCCCCCAATTTTTTCTAAGAAAGTATCTAAGTTACACTGAAAATTATCTAAGTTACTTTAAAAAGTATATTAGTTACTTTAAAATGTATCTTAGTTACTTTAAAGTATCTAAATTACTTGAATTTATCTTAGTTAATTTACTGAGTAACTTAGATACTTTTTTAGAAAAAAGTTACAAAATACTTTTCCAAAGTAACCAAGTTAAAGATACTTCCTGTCCAATATAATAAGTAGCTTAGATACTTTAAGTATCTAAGTTACTTTTAAGTATCTTGTTTTTCAGGATACTCCCCACTTTTTAAAGTAAGATACTTTTGAGTAACTAAGATACTTTTTAGTAAGTTACTTTTAAGTATGAATAAAAATTATAAAATTATGAAAATTCAACAAGTTGTAGGTTAGGTAATTACTTTAAATCATTCTGGAATTCCCCCAATTTTTTCTAAGAAAGTATCTAAGTTACTTTAAAAAGTATATTAGTTACTTTAAAATGTATCTTAGTTGCTTTAAAGTATCTAAATTACTTGAATTTATCTTAGTTACTTTACTGAGTAACTTAGATACTTTTTTAGATAAAAGTTACAAAATACTTTTCCAAAGTAACCAAGTTAAAGATACTTCCTGTCCAATATAATAGGTAGCTTAGATACTTTAGATACTTAAGTACTTAGTTACTTTTAAGTATCTTGTTTTTCAGGATACTCCCCACTTTTTAAAGTAAGAAACTTTTGAGTAACTAAGATACTTTAAGTAACTAAGATACTTTTTAGTAAGTTACCTTTAAGTATGAATAAAAACTATAAAATTATGAAAATTCAACAAGTTGTATGTTAGGTAATTACTTTGAATCATTCTGGAATTCCCCCAATTTTTTCTAAGAAAGTATCTAAGTTACACTGAAAATTATCTAAGTTACTTTAAAAAGTATATTAGTTACTTTAAAATGTACCTTAGTTACTAAATTATCTAAATTACTTGAATTTATCTTAGTTACTTTACTGAGTAACTTAGATACTTTTTTAGATACAAGTTACAAAATACTTGTAACCAATTAACCAAGTTAAATATACTTTCTGTCCAATATAAAAAGTATCTTAGATACTTTAAATATCTAAGTTACTTTTAAGTATCTTGTTTTTCAGAATACTCCCGACTTTTTAAAGTAACTAAGATACTTTTGAGTAAGTAAGTTACTTTTAAGTATGAATAAAAACTATAAAATTAGGAAAATTCTACAAGTTGTAGGTTAGGTAATTACTTTAAATTATTCTGGAATTCCCCCAATTTTCTCTAAAAAAGTATCCAAGTTACACTGAAAAGTATCTAAGATACTTTAAAAAGTATCTTAGATGCATTAAAAAGTATATTAGTTACTTTAAAGTATCTACTTTACCGAGTAACTTAGATACTTTTTTAGATACAAGTTACAAAATTCTTGTAACCAAGTTAAATATACTTTCTGTCCAATATAAAAAGTAGCTTAGATACTTTAAATATCTAAGTTACTTTTAAGTATCTTGTTTTTCAGAATACTCCCGAGTTTTTAAAGTGACCAAGATACTTTTAAGTAAGTAAGTTACTTTTAAGTATGAATAGAAACTATAAAATTATGAAAATTCAACAAGTTGTAGGTTAGGTAATTCCTTTGAATTATTCTGGAATTCCCCCAATTATATCTAAAAAAGTATCTAACTTACACTGAAAAGTATCTAAGTTACACTAAAAAGTATCTTAGATACTTTAAAAAGTATCTTAGTTTTTTTACCGAGTAACTTAAATAGTTTTTTAGATACAAGTTACAAAAGACTTTTTCAAAGTAACTAAGTTAAATATACTTACTGTCCAATATAAAAAGTATCCTAGATACTTTAAGTATCTAAGTTACTTTTAAGTATCGAACATTCTTGACACCTAAAACATTGTTTGCCGAAAAGTGGAGGTGGCTTTGGGAACTTACTTCGCAGGTGACTTCGATGTCCTCCTGTCCGGGCATGAAGATGAGGATGTCGCCCGACGGCGGCTGCAGATGGATCTGCAAAGCCTGCTTGACCGCCGAATCGACGTAGTCCTCCACAACGTTCTTGCTGAACAGCGTCTCGACCGGAAACGTCCGACCCGGTATCGTGAACATCGGCACGTTGCCGAAGAACATCGAGAACTTGCTCGAGTCCATCGTGGCCGACGTCACGATCAGCTTCAGGTCGTGCCGTCTGGATACTATCTGAAAATGCAAATTGTATACAACTTAATCGAAATAACCCTTACATGCCTTTATCCGACGTCTACAAAATTATACTTTATTACAGGTACCTACTAAATTATATAATCTTGGGAGATCAGTGTAAGGCATTGTCGATGGGGCCTGCCATACGTTCTTTTCCTCATACTTAGGGTTGGGAAAATTTCACTTTTTGCTTGTACTTGAAATTTCACTTGAAATTCTCATGACATTTATGAACTTTATTAAAATTTCCTTCCATTTCTGAAATTTCATGAAATGTATATTGAAACTTTCAATAAATTTCAATCACTTTAAGTGTAATATATTAATATTTAAATAAGCCCACTCGGGGACCATGGCAAATTGCCTCTCTTACCTCCTAACCCTCTGTGGGCCCCTGCACCAATAATATAAATAGTAAATACCTATGTTTACCACAAATTTCTTGAGATTTCCTTTTAAAATATTTTTAAAATTACTTAAAAAGATATAACACTTTTTGGTAAGCTTCATCAAAATTTTATGAGCCAAAGGCATTTTTTATCCGTTTTCCCATGCAGTTAGTAGTAAAAGTTTAAATTAATCAAGACTTTTAAAAAAATTTTAAAGTCTGATTTAATTTACAAATTAAATTGGTAACTGAATTAAATTATTTAATTTAATTTATGCATATAAGTAACAATAATTACTTATAGTGTATTCAAATCCAAGCCGAGCTAAACAAAAACGCCCAGACGCTTGATAACTCGTTCTTATTGGTCGATTCCGAATCTGTTGTAAATTATTATTAAAGGTCCCAGGGGAGGCCGCATGTAAAATTTATGCGAAATTTTCAGTAAATTGCGAAACTTTCAATGACATTTCTGAAAGTTTCAAAGGCAATGTTGAAATTTTCGGATTGAAAATTTCATTTGAAATTTTTTAAAATTTCACTTTTCCAACTAAATGAAATATTTCAAGTTTGAAACTTTCAAAGTTGAAATTTTCATTTGAAAATTTCAACTGTCCCAACCCTACTCATACTCAATATATAAATCTCAACTTTAAGTTGGCCAGAAAAAATCGACTGATTTGTCCAACCCAATATTTTAGTGCTTTTTAAATTTGATTGAATTTATTATATTTATAAAAAATGTCTCGACAATTAAAAGGTATTATCAATATTTTTATCTCATATCTGATAAAATTTAGGCTTAATTTTTAGTATCAAGGTACAATTTTACCATTTTCAATAGTAACTCTGAAAAATAAAACCAATCTTTTAAAGATGAACGCCATTGTTCCTGACCAAATTTTGGATAAAATGATATGTTCGAAATGTTCGAAATACCTATCGGTTCTTCCAGTGCGCATCTATTCAAAGGGGGAAAAGAAATGTGGCCGGTGTATTAAAAAAGATGACCAGGGAGTACCGTTGCAGGTAAATACAAAATTTTGTATGATGCAGTTCAAATGTTCAAATCGCTACGAAGGGTGTACTGCTCTTTTACTACCGGAAGAAGTGGAGGAACATGAGAAAAAATGCGTCAGCAAATATTTCGACACGTGTCCATTATGTCCCAAATCTAATAGGATGGCACCGTATGTGATGCTGGAACATTTTAAAAATCGCTACGGACATTATGTATTAAAGGAACCCATATTCGAAATTAATACCATCATCGATTCAAACAATTATTACTTGTACATAACAAACAACATGATATTTATGTTGAACGTGTCAGTGGATACAGCGCAAGATAAAATAGTTCTGGACAATAAGCTGATGGGGTCAGAAAGAACGGCGAAAACTATAAATCAACAATTTCGCATACAAGATATTACTACTGAGTTAAAACCATGCAAGACCAAGTTAGATGGAAGCCTCGTTTTACCCATGGAACAAATTAAACAACAAGAAAATATATTATGCGAACTTATTTTGAAGATTGATGTTTCAAAATCTTGTGAGGCAGAGCAAAATAAGCACAAATTAAATCATAATTGTGATTATTATAAATCCCATTACTATCGAAAACTACATCTGTCTGAGGAGTTAAAAAAACTAATGCCAAATTGTAAACTATCTGCTTGTGAAATGTTTATTGCCAATGGTGATGTCACATACATTTTATTTTGCAGTTTTTGTGGTGGGGATTTGTATCCAAACCCTTATTATTCATACACCCTCTGTTTGGTTCCAACTGCAGGTTGCAGTTTCTGTAAGAATTACGTGAAATCCCCATGCTCCAAAGGACACACTGTAGTACCACAATTAAGAAATAAGCAAGATCAAGCAACATTTCGAGCGTATTGCAAATGGAACTGCGGCCAACATTTTAGTTATTCCAAACTCCATATACACGAAATGGATTGCATTTCCCGCGACCCGATACCGAGTTGCCCAGTACAAAATTGCCCAGAGGGAAGTTTCAAAAATTTTTCGGAGCTTCATAAACATTTTGAAATTCATAACAATACATTATTAAAGCCATATTACGATAATCAAATATGGTTTGGTCTTATTCGGGGAAAAGAATTGTATATTTTTCAGGATCATGTAACTGTTGTTTTTTCTGTAAGTAATAAATCCATTAAATTGACAAACGTTATTCAAAACGATGAATGCAAGCTTAAAATTTTTGTGAATGAAAAACAAATTGTACCCAAACAAAACATTGATTTTTGTTATAACGATGCAATTAATTTTAGAGTACTAGAAGAACATGCTGTAACATGTAATGATGTTAATGTTTGAGGGATTAAAAATTATCTTTAGTTTTATAATTACCTACATATGTATTTTATTTCCTTAATATTGTAAATGCAAAATATTTGTAAGTACTTACATTTTATTTTTATATTATCTTATTATACTATATATACTGTAATTTGAATTTTTATTTCCTATTACACCAGGGCAATTTGGATTCGCCAAAGCCAAAATTATAGGATACAATAATAAACACTTATAAAGTTACATAAAATGTTATGTTGTATACATATCGTCACCCTAATATAACAAGGTTGTATGTTAAAAAACTGAAAAATTTGAGTTTATGCTTCTACAAGGTTTTATGTAATCCACCCTTGACATACAACTTGAAAATAACTCTATATATATATGTATACATAGAATATACATTCTATAGAATTATTTTTGAGTGGTATGTGAAGCGTAGGCCACGTCTAATCCTGTACATGTAGAAATATAGACTTAAACTTTTCGTTTTTTTTAACATACAACTAAAGTTGGGAAAATTTCACTTTTTGCTTGTACTTGAAATTTCACTTGAAATTTTCACGACATTTATGAAATTTATTAAAATTTCCTAAATGTCTGAAATTTATTGAAACTTTCAATAAATTTCAATCACTTTAAATGTAATATGTTAATATTTAAATAAGCCCACTTGGTGACCATGGCCTCTCTTACCTCCTACCCCTCTGTGGGCCCCTGCACCAATAATATAAATAGTAAATACCTATGTTTACCACAAATTTCTTGAGATTTCCTTTTAAAATATTTTTTAAATTACTAAAACTAAGAGAGATACCTATAGCGCTTTTTCGTAAGCTAATGAGATTGTGCTACTTTCATTGTTTTATATTTATATATATTTATTATTTTTAAATATTTTACTAAAATTTTACGAAAATTGAAGAAACTTCATCAAAATTTTATGAGCCAAAGGCATTTTATATCCGTTTTCTGATGCAATTATAGCAAAAGTAAAAGTTTAAATTAATCACGACTTTTAAAAAAAAATTCAAGTCTGATTTAATTTACAAATTAAATTGGTAACTGAATTAAATTATTTAAATTAATTTATGCATATAAGTAACAATAATTACTTATAGTGTATTCAAATCCAAGCCGAACTAAACAAAAACGCCCAGACGCTTGATAACTCGTTCTTATTGGTCGATTCCGAATCTGTTGTAAATTATTATTAAAGGTCCCAGGGGAGGCCGCATGTAAAATTTATGCGAAATTTTCAGTAAATTGCGAAACTTTCAATGAAATTTCTGAAATTTGCACAGGCAATGTTGAAATTTTCGGATTGAAAATTTCATTTGAAATTTTTTAAAATTTCACTTTTCCAACTAAATGAAATATTTCAAGTTTGAAAATTTCAACTGTCCCAACCCTACTCATACTCAATATATAAATCTCAACTTTAAGTTGGCCAGAAAAAATCGACTGATTTGTCCAACCCAATATTTTAGTGCTTTTTAAATTTGATTGAATTTATTATATTTATAAAAATGTCTCGACAATTAAAAGGTATTATCAATATTTTTATCTCATATCTGATAAAATTTAGGCATAATTTTAAGTATCAAGGTATAATTTTACCATTTTCAGTAGTAACTCCAAAAAATAAAACCAATCTTTTAAAGATGAACGCCATTGTTCCTGACCAAATTTTGGATACAATGATATGTTCGAAATGTTCGAAATACCTATCGGTCCTTCCAGTGCGCATCTATTCAAAGGGGGAAAAGAAATGTGGCCGGTGTATTAAAAAAGATGACCAGGGAGGAGTACCGTTGCAGGTAAATACAAAATTTCATATGATGCAGTTCAAATGTTCAAATCGCTACGAAGGGTGTACTGCTCTTTTACTACCGAAAGAAGTGAGGAAACATGAGGTTAAATGCGTCAGCAAATATTCCGACACGTGTCCATTATGTCCCAAATCTTCTAAGATGGCACCGTATGTGATGCTGGAACATTTTAAAAATCGCTACGGACATTATGTATTAAAGGAACCCATATTCGAAATTAATACCACCATCGATTCAAACAATTATTACTTGTACGTAACAAACAACATGATATTTATGTTGAACGTGTCAGTGGATACAGCGCAAGATAAAATAGTTCTGGACAATAAGCTGATGGAGTCAGAAAGAACGGCGAAAACTATAAATCAACAATTTCGCATACAAGATATCACCACTGAGCTGAAACCATGCAAGACCACGTTAGATGGAAGTTTCGTTTTACCCATGGAACAAATTAAAAAACAAGAAAATATATTATGCGAACTTATTTTGAAGTTTGATGTTTCAAAATCTTGTGAGGCAGAGCAAAATAAGCACAAATTAAATCATAATTGTGATTATTATAAATCCCATTACTATCGAAAACTACATCTGTCTGAGGAGATAAAAAAACTAATGCCAAATTGTAAACTATCTGCTTGTGAAATGTTTATTGCCGATGGTGATATCACATACATTTTATTTTGCAGTTTTTGTGGTGGGGATTTGTATCCAAACCCTTATTATAAATACAAATCCTGTTTGGTTCCAACTGCGGGTTGCAGTTCCTGTAAGAATTATGTGAAAACCCCATGCTCCAAAGGACACTCAGTAAGAAGGTGTTTAAGAAATAAACAAGATCAAGCAACATTTCGAGCTTATTGCAAATGGAACTGCGGCCAATATTTTAATTATTCCGAACTCCCTATACATGAAGTGGATTGCATTTCCCGCGACCCGATAGCAAATTGCCCAGTACAAAATTGCCCAGCTGGAAGTTTTAAAAACTTTTCGGAACTCCGTGAACATTTCCAAATTCATAAAAATACATCATTAAACCCATATTACGATAATCAAATATGGTTTGGTAATATTCAGGAAAAAGAGTTGTTGTATATTTTTCAGGATCATGTGACTGTTGTTTTTTCTAGAGGTAATGAATCCATTAAATTGACAAACGTGATTCAAAACGATGAATGCAAGCTTAAAATTTTTGTGAATGAAAAACAAATTGTACTTAAACAAAGAATTAATTTTTGTTATGACGATTTAATTAATTTCAGAGTACTAGAAGAACATAATGTAACATGTAATGATGTTAATGTTTGAGGGGTTGAAAATTATCTTTAGTTTTGTTATTACCTATGGATTTTATTTCCTTAATATTGTAAATGCATAATATTGTATATTTATATTTTCTTATTATACTATATTTACTGTAATTTTAATTTTTATTTCTTCACACCACCGAAAAAAAAAGATTGCTAGCAAGAAAAATAGTATACACTACACGGGCAGAAAGTGTGAGAGCCATGATCGTGGCGCGCAGTGCAGGAATCTCACACTTTCTGCCCCTGTAGTGTAATATACTATTTCCTACGTATAAAGAAATTTGGAAAATTGATCAGTATACTGGTAAAAACAAAAAGTTTATTTTTTTTCAATGGATCACCCTATATGTACCTATATGTATTTATTTTTCGATTCCTTGTAAAATTTTAAGCATATTTCATATAACATACCATATACCTAAATTCAACCGTTTCTGAAATATTTAAATTATTTTTAAGATAATAAGTTGAAATAGTGTGTCTTTCTCTGCCTGAGCACGCCATTTTTACTTATTTAAGAAGACATATTGACATAATGTCACTATAGTAATTTATTTTCAATAAAAATTTTGGTATACTGAGGCTTCTTGATTTCTAACAGTTTTAGAAACATTTAATGATAACATTTCGAATGCTAATATTTCAGAAATAGTTGAATTATGACATATGACATATTGACATAATGTCACTATAGTAATTTATTTTCAATAAAAATTTTGGTATACTGAGGCTTCTTGATTTCAGAAACATTTAATGATAACATTTCGAATGCTAATATTTCAGAAATAGTTGAATTTAGGATATGGTTTGTTATATGAATTACGCTCAGAATTTTACAAGGAACCGAAAAATAAATTCATATACAGGGTGATCCATTTAAAAAAAATAAACTTTTTGTTTTTCCCTGTATATTGATCAATTTTCCATTTTATTTTATATGTAGAAAAAAAGTATTTTTTAGTACATACATAACCACACTTTTAAATTTTTTGGGACACTTAAAATAAAAAAGTTAAAGGGGGGCGACATTATAGGGGATCACCCTGTACATTAGGGCGTCCGTTATTTACCAAATTGGTATTTTTTTTGCAGCGCCCCCTAAATTTTTATTTTATGACCTAAAAAAAATTATCATATAAGCCCTTAATATTCATATTAAACCTTGCCACAAAGACGATACATTTCCCATTTAAATAATATGGGGTTTCGGCACGTTTATAAATATTTAAATTTAAATTCAACTATTTTATTTATTAAAATAATTTAAATATTTGGCTAATTGGAATATTTTAATAAATATACGAATGAATAATAAAATATAAAAATTTCCAGCCTTAATATTAAAGCACTGTGATTGGTTGACGTAGGACGTAAAATAGTATATTATGTATCAAGTTTGATAAACGCCACCGAGTGCTTAAATTAATGAGTGTATAGAAAAGTTTATAAACGAGGTGCATACTACACTTTTTCTACGACAAATTCTTATTATTATCTTAAAATGATTTAAATCAAACATTTGTATAGAGCGCCATCTATGAAACAATAGGGGAATCTGTGTGTCACCGTCAAATGTCAATTTTTTTTATTTTATAAACACAGATTATTAAGGTTATAAATCGAAATGTATTTCTTGAAAATTGACAGTTTTTCACAGTGAAAGTAAAGAAAATGTTTTATGAGGACTTTACAGTGTAGTCCGTGCCCGAATTTAAGTTATAGTTTACTGCCGGCGAAATTAAAAGGTCAGTACAATGTTCATATAAACTTTTCACATATTGGCGTTGAGAAACTATTTAATACTTTTGTGTTTTTGTATTGAGATAATAAAATAATTTTCACATTTATTTAGTATTATTTTATAAGAAAGGCACTTTATTTTAACGATTGTATGACAGTTGACAACTGTCAACTAACTAAAAACCTGTTGCTAACTTCAGCCCGTGACTAAAGCGCCATAAAGCCACAACTTGTCAATGTGTATTTAAAAGGTCACTTAGTGTCATGGAAACATGTACGATAAAGGGCGTTTTAAAGGTGGGAGTAGAAAAAATACATTATGCGACAATTGTAGACCGGGCTTTATAAATCATTTTCCAGGCAGCATGAAATACGACGCAAATACGTTCCATAATGTTGCTTATAATGCTTATACGCAAGTAAAAAAATAGCTATAAATGCGATAAGTTGCAAAAAGGGAGTTTTTTAAGAATGTCAATTGCATATTTCTTTACCCGAATGGTCTAAATTATGTTTACAGCCTAAGCAATAATTAATCACTTTATTAGTAAGTGTTCACAATATTCAATTTTAAATTATAGACCTCCTTCCTCAACCACAATGCCTACTTAAAGATACGTAGTTTCGAATCGTTTAATTATCAATGTCATCACGGTGGAACGTTTCATTTCACACGTACGCCTCTACTATGAATCTATTCAGTTTGCCGAGATTATTTTTGACCTGTCCCAATAATCGGAAAACAAACATGCATGGCGCAACCACACTTTAAAATCCTACAACGACTTGACACCGCCCATCGAGCCCGCATTGCGCGAATGTTTTCAACTTTCCCAATACGGCTCAGCACATTTACACTGTTGCCGCATTTAAAAACGCTTCTGTTTACAAGAAGAAAAGGAGTAAATAAAAACAACATGAGCAATGTTTTACAACAAGTAAACTGCTGTTCAAAAGTTAGGGAACCTTCTGTAAAATTACAACCGAATTAATTTTTTTGTCAGAGCATTTTCAGTTTAGTAAAATACCTTAAAATTAAACAAAACATGCAAAAAATACCAGTTTATTCATAATGTTATAATATAAAAATATATTAATTTGAAATTTTAGAAAGTTGCCTTATTTAAAAGTAAATATACCGGCGTCTTAACTATAAAGGGGGTTCCCTAACTTATGAACAGCAGTTTATTTAAATTTTTTATACTTTTCCAGTTCAATTCAATTCAATTGTTCATTAGAGATAACAAAATCGCACCGTATGTGGCATCATCGCGCCCGATGATACTTAAACAAACAAGCATCTGACATCGGCGCCGTGCACAATAAACAAAACAAGATCGGGCGCAACGTCCCACATTAAAATCGTCAAAGGAAAAGTATTTATAAACACAAAACGGCATTGAGCAGAGGATATTTGTACGGTGGTTTCGTAAACACGCCGAATGGAGCTTCGTGTACGGTCGGCTCGGCGGAAAGGTGAGCGCTACCGTGTTGCCAAACGTACCCTAGATTTTCCTTGGGTACCATTGATAAATTCTTCTTTACGCCGATTTTTTTGATAACTATATGAGGTTACGTAATTTTCTAAACACCCCGTACATTTATAAAAATCTGATGACCTTGTTTCCTTTTTTAAGGGGAAATTTTACTTTATGCGCATAGTCAGTTCTTAAGTATGATACGAATTGTCAACTGAATAAAATTTAGGTTACATCAAATTTTTCCAAATCAATTGCTTACATCGCCTAGGTTAAGCTTAAATAAATATTATGAAAAAGTCACTAAAAACCTCGCAAATACAATGGAAAAAAATGCGAAAACAATTGGTAAACAACAGAAAACAAACAAAATGTTTAATTATAAAAACCAATTACATATTAATATGTCTATGATAAAAACCTTTTGGCTATCGTGGTCGAAATACGACGTTGCCAAATTCTCGCTGTTATAAACATGCCATCATAAAATCTAAAATATCATCATTTTGTTTGTTTATTATTATTAAATGTTTTTTTTTCATACAATTTATTTACAATTTATTAATAAGTATTTATTATACTTCCCAAATGGGGACAAAAATATGGTATTTTTAATATTCTATTAGATTCTTATTTCATAAAACAAATAATGAAAACTAAAATGCAGTGGCGGCTGGTGGATTTTGGGTATACCAATATTTCAGTTATTAGACCCCATGTCCCACACCAAATTTATAATAGTTTATAATGACATTAAATAGATAAGTTCGGCGCAAACAGAATTTAAATTGAAGTTTGCGAAAAAAGTTAGTTTTTCCTGTCGCCTCACCCGCCTCCAGGCCCCTCTATTTAAGATAATTCAAATTAAAGTGGTTCAATTTATTATCTACTATAATTTATCGACAAATTTAAAATTTTATTTAAAAAATCCAAATAGTACAGGTTTTATACGATTTTAAATATTTTTTATTTTAATAAAATAAATAATAAAAATTTAAAATCAAATAAAATCTGTAATATTTGGATTTTTTAAATAAAATTTTAAATTTGTGGATAAATTATAGTAGATAATAAATTGCACCACTTTAGTTTGAATTATATCAAATAGGGGGGCCTGGAGGCGGGTGAGGCGACAGGAAAAACTAACTTTTTTTCGCAAACTTCAATTTAAATTCTGTTTGCGCCGAACTTGTTTATTTAATGTCATTATAAACTATTATAAATTTGGTGTGGGTCCCATGTCTAATAACTGAGATATTGGTATACATAAAATCCACTAGCCGCCACTGCTAAAATGTTGATAAACGTATTAAAAGTGGATTTCTTTTTATAAGCAGAAAATACATTTTAGTTTAAAATATTAATGGCTTTAATTTACATAGTAAAAATAAATTTTACAATTTTATTTGCAAAATTATGCAAAAGTTTATAATTATTATAGTAATAAATGTATTATTTTATTAATAACAACTAATTAAATAACATGTAGTTTAAAATTATAAAACATATATTATATTTAAATTATTTTAAAATCAATTTTATTTCTTCAATATTTAAATGGTTTACTCGTAGATTATCGCATAAAAGCTTGAAAGTCAAATGAAATGTGCGTAGAAAGAATGATAAATAGCAGGCAGGTAGAATTATTGAGTTTAAAAATAAATATGTTAATTTTATTACCAAAACCCGAATGTCTCCGAACAATAGAGTAATTGCATCAAAAATGAAAATCCCTAAAAACCTTTTTAATGTAATCTAGAGGTTAAAACACATTGCGAAAATACTTTTTTATATTCCAAAAGTTCAACCCGGCCCCAAAATATCAAATTGAAAAAAGGTACTTTTCAAACGTTTCTGAACTCCCGCCATATTGCATGACGTCATAAACCCACACCAGTGTCAGAAATCAAGATGTCAACAAATAATAAACACCGATAAAGTTTATGTTTAACATGGAAAACGCGAAACCAAAAATTGGTTGTAAATATTGTTTTGTGCCTTGTTGTACAAATACAACCTGGAAAACTCCTGGGAAAAGGTTTATCACCGTGCCAAAAAGGAAAATAAGGATAACGTGGATTAAAATAGCTCGGCGCGACATCAAAACATCGTCACCGCAGTCAACATTTTATTGCTGCGAGGATCATTTTAATGTAAGTAAAATATAATGTCGTTTACTAGGTATATGGTTGGAATAGGTATGCTAAATAATAATAAACTCAAGAAAATACGGCTGAGCCGTAACGGCCCTCAGTGTAGGGTCATAAACTTTGCTTTTGATAATTAAAGGGACAACTTTCCCAGGAGTTTTCCAGGTTGTATTTGTACAACAAGGCACAAAACAATATTTACAACCAATTTTTGTTTTCGCGTTTTCCACGTTACATAAACTTTATCAGTGTTTATTATTTGTTGACATCTTGATTTCTGACACTGGTGTGGGTTTATGACGTCATGCAATATGGCGGGAGTTCGGGAACGTTTGAAAAGTACCTTTTTTTCAATTTGATATTTTTGGGCCGGGTTGAACTTATGAAACATAAAAAAATATTTTCGCAATGTGTTTTTACATCTAGATTACATTAAAAAGGTTTTTAGGGATTTTCATTTTTGATGCAATTACTCTATTACAATGGAGCATTCAAATGGACATTACTATTTTCCGCAACTGTAAACTCGTCGAAGATATCAGACAGGTCCGCGTTTCGACGAAACAAACTAAATCCGGCAACGGCGCTTGTTCGCGAGTGGCGGGCCGTTACGGGAATTCGAACGAATCGCCGAGCAGAGCGCCCAGCAGCGAGCCGTTATCGCTCAGATAGCACTGCGTGCGCGAAGAAAAACGACAAAACAGTGTCTTTGAACTTCAGCTGCCGCAAGATGATGCCCGAGGCGTTCAGCATCCACCAGAGTTTGTGCGTGCCGAGCAGCCCGCCCTCGCCCAAGCCGCGCAGGGCGCTGCCCAAGAACTACAGCCAAGTCAACGTGAACAACAACAACAACAATCGCGGCGGCAACTTCAAGAGAGGCTGCAGCTTCGTCGTGGGCCAAAAGTTGCGCGAGTCCAAGTGGTTCGGGCGCAACGAGACCAACGTTTTTTGTGCCGTCGTCGAGTCGGGGTTTATTGTCGAGAAAAACGTCCTGGAGAAGACCCTTTACGGGATAGTACTGTGGACGCCTGGAAACGGTGAGTCTCGGCAAGGTTCAAGAGTCAATTTGGTCAAAAAACTGATTGAATTAATTCACTTTGTCTACTTTAATCTAATCAGATCATTGTTATAGTTATTTATGTATTAAGGGCATAATAAGGTTTTTAGAAAAGCGTCGTAGGACCATAAAAACCAGTAAAAAATTACTAAAAAATAGACGTACGTTTATAATATACAGGTTTAAACAAAAAGATGTTTTTTACCATAAGTTTAAGACACTCTGTAGAGTGGCAAAACCGTATATTGTTCTAAATTAAGTTTTATTTTTCAAGTCACATCTATTCTTAACAGTTTTGTTTTTGGTTCACCTCGATATATTTATTTTTGTGGAAAATATGGATTTTTTTAAAAAACATTGCAATTTCCAATATTTTTCCTGTATGAAGAACTAAGGTTGCTATGGTCCATCCATAGCCTATGGAGAATGACAGTAACAGTTTTGTTGAATCATCCCATTCTTGGACATGTCATATACAGCTTTCAAAAGCTATCAAATTGTTTTTTATAAATTAATGTGTTAATTTTGAGGTGTCTTCTTACTTTTAAAAATGTCTCCGACTGATGTTGCCCTTTGTACTTTACTTCTTATGATGTTTAAAACTCTTGCCACGTAATACTGTGACCGTCCATCCTGGATTAAATTAATAGCTCTGGCAACATCAGTCGGAGACATATCCATTTTATAAAGTAAGAAGACACCTCAAAATTTAAACATTAATTTGCAAAAAACAATTTGATAGCTTTTGAAAACCGTGTATGGGATGATTCAACAAAACTGTCACTGTCATTCTCCATAGCCTATGGATGGACCATAGCAAGTTGCTATTAGCAACCTTAGTTCTTCATACAGAAAAATATTGGAAATTGAAATGTTTTTTTAAAAAAATCCATATTTTCCACAAAAATAAATATATCGAGGTGAACCAAAAACAAAACTGTTAAGAAAAGATGTGACTTGATAAATAAAACTTAATTTAGAACAATATACGGTTTTGACACTCTACAGATTGTCTTAAACTTATGGTAAAAAAAATCTTTTTGTTTAAACCTGTATATTATAAACGTACGTCTATTTTTTAGTATTTTTTTTTAAATGTGAGCAATTGTCCATTAATTTATCTACAATATTCTTTAATATTCGTTTAAATCCGACATCAAATAAAAAAGTTATTTGCGATTGAAATTCATCGAAAATTTGGGTGGATCGATTATTTTGCACGTGAGTGTATATTATTATTTTTAATATATTATTGTTTTTAAAGACGTTTACGTCAAAGAATTTTTGTTATAATTGTCATATTGTAATGTCAACTGACATCAGTCAGTTTTAAAGTTTAAAGATGAATGAAATTGAGGAAGCAGCTGAAAAGGCGAAAAATTGCGGCCTGCTGCCGGAAAAATCAAAATCTTTATACGAAAAAACTTACTTCGAATATATCAAATGGTGTAACATTGTTGTTTTTAATCTTTGACGTTTCATTATAGCCCGCTGGGTCATAATAACGCCCGCGGGCTATAAAAAGACGTTTACGTCAAAGAATTTTTGTTATAATTGTCATATTATAATGTCATCGTGCATAAAAGTAATTTTTCCAAATTGGCATTTTAGGTCAATTGTAAATTCTAGTTGCAAGTTGCATAACTGGAAAGTTTATTACCAACAACAACATTATTTTATTCTTATATAAATATTACCAACGCATTTTTCTACAATATTAAATATTTGTACTTTTAAACAATAAATAGATAAATAATCAGAACAAGTTCATAAAACTGGATTTAAGAAATAAATACTAATGTAGAAATGTTAAGTCTTATTTGGTCAAGGCATTAATGAAAGTAATAATTAAAGAGAAATCATACAAGAAAACGCATTGTTTGCGGAATTAATAAGCTAGAAATGGGTAAATAGAATTTAAAGCTAAAGTTAATTTTAAGTTAGTTAACATGTCATACAATCGATAAAATATAGTGCCTTTCTCGTAAAATAATACTAAATGTGAAAATTATTTTATTATCTCAATACAAAAATACAAAATTATTAAATAGTTTCTTGAAGCTAATATTTAAAAAGATTATATGAACGTTTGTAGTGAACTTTTGATTTCGCCGTAGTAGTGCAGTTAACTAGATTTAACTGATAAAGCGTTAAATAATTTTCGTACAGTGCCCATAAAACATTCTCTTCTCTTTTACTGTGAAGATCTGCTTCTATTGTTAGTCTATTTTCAAGGGATAACTTTTAATTTACTTACGCAGAAAAATTTTGAGAATAAACAAATCATGGATAAATTATTTTCTAAATATAATCATTATCATTATTTTAATATTTTTTCTACTCCCACCTTTAAAACGCCCTTTATGGTACATGTTTCCATGACACTAAATAACCTTTTAAATACACATTGACAAGTTGTGGCTTAATGGCGCTTTAATCACGGCCTGAAGTTAGTTGACAGTTGTCAAATGTCATACAAACGTTAAAATAAAGTGCCTTTCTTGTAAATGTGAAAATTATTTAATTATCACAATACAAAAATACTAAAGTATTAAATAGTTTCTCAACGCCAATATTTGAAAAGTTTATATGAACATTGTACTGACCTTTTAATTTCGCCGGCAGTAAACTATAACTTAAATTCGGGCACGGACTCCACTGTAAAGTGCTCATAAAAAATTTTCTTTACTTTCACTGTGAAAAACTGTCAAGTTTCAAGAAATACATTTCGATTTATAACCTTTATAAAATAAAAAAAATTGACATTTGACGGTGACACACAGATTCCCCTATTGTTTCATAGATGGCGCTCTATACAAATGTTTGATTTAAATCATTTTAAGATAATAATAAGAATTTGTACTGGAAAAAGTATAGTATGCACCTCGTTTATAAACTTTTCTATACACTCATTAATTTAAGCACTCGCTCGCAAGCTCGTTCGTGTCTAAATTAAACTCGTGTATAAAATGGCGTTTATCAAACTTAACAAACACACATAATAAACTATTATAGAATCATTAATATTATATGTTTGTAATTAAAATCAGAATAGTATATTATGTATCAAGTTTGATAGAGACGAATTTAATTAATTAAATTAAATGAGTGTCTAGAGGTGGATACTATACTTTTTCTACGACAAAAACATATTATTATCATCTAAAAATCATTTAAATTAAATACATAATATATAAATCATAATAAAAACCATACAGAACGAAAATTTGTTTTTTTGGAAGATTTTAATTTATCCACAAATTATTCACATATTATAATAAAAACATTATAATCTATGAAAAATGTTTACTAATGCAATGACTAATACAAAAAAATAATTTAAATATTTTTGACCCCGTCTAGAAAAATATGATTATTTATTTTAATATAATTGTTATAATACAGGTAAAAGAAATAAGCAATATATACGGAAAAACAATTGAACAATATATTCACAAAATTAACATTTTTTAAGTTGACACCCCGTATAACTTTGGACACAGTTTATATTGTTTTACTGCAACTCGATCCTAGCAAGAAGGTCACAATGTGTTTGTTTTTTATATTTATCTTTATTTATGTAAAGAAAGTGACTAATACTCGACCGTTTAAGGCAAATTGGAGGCTATAATCATAATTAGTGATATGAGGCAATTTACAGTTTAAAAAACGAGGTTCTAACAAAATTTAACCTGACTTTATTTGGTTGTTTACAGGGACAGTGAAATAAAAATACTTAATTTTGCCAAACAAAAATAAAAGAGTGGCATTTTTATAAAATTACCTATACAACTGTATTGTTATTGTTATTTACGATACATTAATTTAATTGCGATTAACGCGGTCTGAAACAGGAAACTTGAAAGGAAATATAATTCTATATTTATAATCATTTTTTTTAGACTAAGCATTACACAATATTTTATATCACTTGACACGGATAATTTCTTTAAGTTCGGTTCACATGGTTTTCTATTCATACAAAAATTTTAACACCATACTTTTTGATATATTTGATATGTACCATTACTACACCCATAATTATAAATTCATTAGACTTTTTTAACCTTAATTTTTCCAATTTTAACTATTAGATATATTAACACTATTTTTTGGGTAAAATTAAAAAAACTAACAAGGTAAATTTTTAGAAAAGAGCAAAAATCCTGAGCACATTAAAATAGTGACACTATTGGACGTCAAAGGCAAACCGAAGGTGTCCGAACAAAATTTGGAGGATTTTTGGCCCGAAGAGACTAATTTAAGGATAAACAACAAAAATGACAAGACTGAATCGCCCCTGACAGAAGAGTGCATAAGAAATCAAGTGTCTTTTGCACTGACGGTCAGCAGGAAATGGCACAATTCAGAACATTTGGCATATTTTTGCAGATACGGACCTGTGGAAACCAGAAAGGTAAATATTGGAAACTTTAATTTCTATGATCTCTATGGAAAGCAATAAATTAATCAATAATTAATTGTATTTTTTAAACAATACAAAAACGTACAATTATAATTATTATTAAAAGTACAAAGTAGATTAGATCTTTTTTATTGGTTTTTATTACTGTTAATATTTTTACTGTTGATGACATAAACCTGTCTTATTGTACCAATATATTAAATATTAATGTTTTTGTAACGTTTATCTCATATTTTTCAATAATTAAAGCGTTTGGAATAGCGTGAAATAACAATAGATTAAAACAGGCGTCAGGCTTATCATTAGATCAATTGTACCAAAACTAATCGAGATAATTTTTTTCCAGGTATACCTTAAATGGACGACAAACGCTTTCTTTAGAAAAATAAAGAGCTTCAGCGTTAAGTAGAAGCGTTTTCAACGTTGGAACTTTGGGATATGAAGACTGCCTTTAGGCAAATAGGCTGGCGCAAGCGCAGTCCTGTGTATTTTTTGACATTTTTTGTTAAAAGTTCGTACAAAGAACGTCAAAAAATGCGCAGGGACTCTACACTAAGTTAATTTTATAACTTATTTAATGGAGATTTTTTATATAAACAAACGGCAATCAAAAGTGTTGTGGAACGAATCAAATATAGACTACCTTGACCCACCGCGAAAATACTTGTTTTTGTGCGTTCAATTGAAAACTATTTTAAACTTGTTTTGCACACTTTTGTGACTACGGAACATTATTAAGATTAGTTATTGTTATTATATAATTAAAAAATAAATATTTATATAAGCCAAATATAGATTGGAATGCTTAAGAATAATTTATTTGTATAATAAATTGTTTTTCAAAAACATCTTTGTTTAATTTAAATTGATGGAAAAATATTTAATCCTCTTTTTATAACAGATACGTAAATGGAAAAATTTGTATTATCTACTTAGGGTATTTCTAGAGATGTAAAAAACGTTTTTTTTTTCAAATTGAAAAAAGTTTTTTGTTTTTTTAACTGCTACAATAATTATTATTATTCACAATAAAGTATAATCTGTCAATAATTAACGTTTATATTTACAGTAGAGTAACTCTAACCCTACCCTTAAATTATGTTTTTTAAATTTTGGTAAACATTATTTTAATTTAATCTTTAAATTTTTTACAAATTTTAATTGTTTTCAACAACTAAAAAATAAAATAAGTGAAAAAACATTATTGGTGTAAATATTAGGTATTTAATGATATCATCAATCTGGACATGTTGCTAAAATTTTTAATTTTAATGACTTTAATTTTGCATATCTCTTCAAATCTTAATTTTAAAAAACAAAAATATTAAATCTAATTAAAATATTCTTCTCAATAAAAAAATAGTGCATTTTTTTGTTAAAAAATATTACGTATCAAGTTTGATAAACGCCATTTTATACACGAATTTAATTTAGGCACGAGCCAGCTTGCAAGCGAGTGCTTAAATTAATGAGTTTATAGAAAAGTTTATAAACGAGGTGCATACTATACTTTTTCTACGACAAATACTTATTATCTTAAAATGATTTAAATCAAAAATTTGTAGTGAGTGAGTCACCGTCAAATGTCCAATTTTTATATTTTATAAACACAGATTATAAAGTTTATAAATCGAAATGTATTTCTTGAAAAGTGACAGTTTTTCACAGTGAAAGTAAAGAAAATGTTTTATGAGCACTTTATAAAGTGGACTCCACTGTATACAGTGGAGTCCGTGCCCGAATTTAAGTTATAGTTTACTGCCGGCGAAATTAACAGGTCAGCACAATGTTCATATAAACTTTTCAAATATTGGGGTTGAGAAACTATTTAATACTTTTGTTTTTTGTATTGAGATAATAAAATGATTTTCACATTTAGTATTATTTTACAAGAAAGGCACTTTATTTTAACGATTGCATGACATTTGACAACTTAAAACTAACTTCAGCCCGTGACTAAAAACCTGTTGCCAACTTCAGCCCGTGACTAAAGCGCCATAAAGCCACAACTTTTCAATGTGTATTTAAAAGGTCACTTAGTGTCATGAAAACATGTACGATAAAGGGCGTTTTAAAGGTGGGAGTAGAAAAAATTACTTAAAAATTATCGATTTTAAACTCAAAACTTTGCGCCAGCAAATCTTAGCTATGCTTTATGCATGCGTTCACTTTTAAAATGATTCACCTATAATTAATATCAATTAAATTTGTGACCCATTTTTATTTGCACCCACTGCTTTGATTGAAGTTAATTTTTTCACCTAGAGTAAATGACGGCATTTTTGCAATTGAAATTCTATTAATAGACGCATTTTAAAAGATAAAATAATCCAGTTCCAATTGAATTCTTGCGTCGCATTTAAAAACAGGTATTTTAGATTGCCTTTGAAGTGTTTTCTATCAAAGTTTAATGCTACCCATTGACATTACATTTCAAGGTCAGTTAAACGAAAATATTTCACTTAAGAAATACAACAAAAATAATAACAATTAAATTGGTCAATGATCGTGATTAATTTTTTTTTTCAATAAATATCTAAAAAACAAAACTTCAAACCGCGACTAGGTATGACCGGTTTAATCGTATTTATTCGAGACGCATATTTTTTTCCAAATAAGAAAACAACACCTGCTTTATTTCGAACCAAGTAACGTCGATGATGCCCAAAAATATTTGTAAACGTATTTGTATTCCAAAAATACTTGTTTTTAAATTAGGTTTGTTATTATTAATTATATCAAGCGTATAAATCAAAAGTAAATAATGTATACAGTGTGCGGGAAATACGTACGAAAGAAAAAAAAACTTTAAAATCTAAATCTCTAAAAATTAACTAAAAGTTAACTTATTGTACCAAAATATGTAAAGAACATTATATTTCAAATGTAAAAGATTAATACATATACACAATGTAAATACTTTGATTTGTAGGTACATATATGTACCTATAGGTATGTGTAATACAAATACATATAAAAAATTTAAACGATTTTTTGAATGACGTCTATAAGTAGTACTTATTATTAAGTACATTGACATCTTTGGCAAATACGCACATTACAATTGAATTGATACAGTATTGCAAAAAAATTAATACGTACGTACACGTGTTTCGGATTTTTTCATATCAGATTTAGATTTTAAAATATTTACTTTTAATTTAAATTATTTTTTTTTACTCCACCTTTAAATCACCCATAATGATTATCGTATGACACTAAGTGATTTTTTAAATACACATTGTCACGCTGTGGCTTTATGGCGCTTTAGTCACGGGCTGAAGTTAGTTGACAGTTGTTAAATGTCATATAATCGTTAAAATTAAGTGCACTTCTTCTAAAATAATACAAACTGTGAAAATTATTTTTTCATCTCGATTCAAAAGTATTAAATAGTTCCTTGATAATTTTTGAAAAGATTATATGAACGTTTGTGCTGACCTTTTGATTTCGCCGTTGTAGTGCAGTTAATCAGATTTAACTGATAAAGCGTTAAAAATTTTGCGTACAGTGCCCATTAAACATTCTCTTCTCTTTTACTGTGAGAAACTGCTTCTCAGCTGCCTTATTAGAATAATAATTGTTGTTACAGCAATGTTGTCCATAGCCACCGTTTTTAGATATCAAACATGTCAGGTTATTAAACATTAAATACCTACCCAATAATTAAAAAACTACTGAAAAGAACAAAAATACTTAAAATAACTATCTATTTCGGGGAATGGCGGTAGATATCATTTTCGGGACACATATATATATATATATATATTAAAATATACAGATTTTTAACTAGATTTGCAACAAAATATTTTAAACCCAGAGATTATAAATTCTTTGAATCATATGCATTAAAAGTTTTAATTCAAAACCATAATTTATAAAAACCATTTGAATCGATTAAATTTAAATTTAAATCACAAATAAGTTGTAAAATTAGGTATTAAAAATACCAACCGGTTGGTATTACCTTAAGGTAAATTCAAAGGATATTTTTTAGTATAATTTAACTATTAAAACAAACTTATTGGTATATATATAACTCACAAGTGTTTTTTTATTGTCAATTAAAACTGTTAATATAACCTAAGTTAAGTACAGTTAAAATGTAGGTTTTTTAGAAGTTATTTTTTCACGATTTTGGTTTAATTGAAATAATTTTAGTAAATTGATAATTACAAAATTATGTTTTTGATGTTTCTTTCATTTATTCTTATTATTTGTAAAGCCCGTTTAAAGTAGAGAATTATTATGTGCTACTTTATCAGAAAAATAAAATGGTAAATTGGTTTTGGATAAAGGTAACTACTAAAGCTTTTATTAATAACATATATCTCTTAAGATAAATATTCAGAGACGACATTTTATTTTAAAGATCTGTAAACACCCCTGTACATTTTTTAATTATTGTGCGATTTTAACCGGTTTGTTTTAAAGTTTAATATATATATTTTTACAAAATACAACGCCAATTATGTTTTTGAGAGTAAATTTTTAAGAATTTATATTAGCAAATTAAAAAAAAATATGCCGACCCTATACTAAATTTTTATTGAAAATTTTTAAGTAGAAACCTTTTTTGTATGTAAATGCACAATAATTACTTTTTACAAAAAAAATTTCTTTCAAGTTATCCATAAAAAACATTGAAATAAAATTAAACTAATAAAAACACGGTAAAATTTTCATATGCTTAGTTTTAACAAATAAAAAACGCAATAGAAACTTAAAACAACAATAAAACAAAAAATGGAGAATTCAAAAAAATCTCTACAATTAAATTTTCGTCACCTCTACTAATCCACAATTTATTCAATTATGGTAAAATGAACGTTATGTTAATTAAATTTAACTTCTTGGTTACTGCACCTTTTGGTTAAAAAGAAGGTAATATTTGGTATTTTTTGTTTTATTTAACCCTTTTTAACTTCTTTTTAACTCTAAAGTCAACTTAAACTATAATTAACCGGTTTAACTTTATTTTAACTCTATATAATAATAATTTACACATATGATTATTTATATCTACTTATAGATATGACTTACAGAACCTTAAAATAAAATGTCGCCCCTGAACAATAATATGTATGCTATATTATATATCAATTGATATATTGATAGTTCAAATGGAAAAAACAATAGGACATTTTTTTTCTGATAAAGTAGTACATAATACTTTCATATTTTAAATGTTTTTTAAAAAAATATGAAATAAAGAAAATACAAATTTTAAAAAACATTTTTTTTGACTATTATTTCTTTAATTCGTTTGAAATTGATTTAAAATCATAATATGTTTTATTATTGGTTAGTTTAAATTACCTTATTTTTAGATTTACAACTTTGTTAACTCTGCTAAAGTAAGGTGAAGAAAGTCTATATTTTTTAAAATTATTTCTTTTAGGCTTCATTATCACACAAAACTTAGGTTTATATATGAAGCTGTATTGAGACTAATTTTTCTATGCAGGTTACAATGAAAACTGGGACATTTCAGGCGCGCGAAACGCCCGAATTACAAAACTGTTTTTATAAAAAGAAATTGTAGATAATTTATTTCCTATAATATTTTGGCATCAAAATTGTCAAAAATATTCTTATTTTATTAGGCTATACATTAGACTAGGCCAAAAAAATCAACTATTTTTTTTTTGAAAAGTATATAGAAAATATGGTTTGGGGTGACAAAAAAAAATTATTGTGAAAGTTATTATTAATATTAAGAGGTCTATCATCGCAATTTTAGATTTTTTTTTCCTGAGCGAGTTTTTGTCTCAGAACTTCCAAATCATTGAGTTTAACAAAATTGACTTAAGAATATTTTTTGAAGAAAATTGAATGTTCTACAAAAAAGGTTTAATTGGAATTTCCCGTCAGATGAACCGTTTTCTTACAATCATGCCTTAAAAATTGGTTTAGTTTTACAATTTGATCTTTTAACTTTGGAATTTTATAATTAATGTAAAAATCAGTACCCTGAAAAAAACGATAAATATTCTTATGGAAAATCAAATGCTTTACAAAAAAAGTCTCTTATCATTTTTGGCCAAATTCACTCAATCAAAAGTTATTCAAGGTTAAATTTGGCTTTTTTTGTAAAGCATTTGATTTCCCATAAGAATATTTATCGGTTTTTTATGGGTACTGATTTTTACATGAATTACAAAATTCCAATTTAAAAGATCAAAATGTAAAAGTATACCAATTTTTAAGGCATGATTTTAAGGAAACGGTCCATCTGACGGAAAATTTCATTTTAACCTTTTTTGTAGAGCATTTAATTTTCTTAAAAAAATATTTTCGAGCCAATTTTGTTAAACTCAATGGTTTGGGAGTTCTGAGACAAAAACTTGCTGAGGAAAAAAAAATTAAAATTGCGATAATAGACCTCTTAATATTAATATTATGGACTCAAACTTTCACAATAATTTTTTTTTGTCACCCAAAACCATATTTTCGATATACTTTAAAAAAATAGTTGTTTTTTTTTTGGCCCAGTCTACTATACATAAAATTTAAAAAAAAACGCAAGAAATATTTTATAAAAGTAGAGATCATTTTAATAATTGAAAGGTCTGGACGGGGCAAAAAAAATATTAAAATTATCTCTACTTTTATAAAATATTTCTTGCGTTTTTTTTATTTAATGTATAGCCTAATAATAGAAGAATATTTTTGACAATTTTGATGCCAAAATAGTATATAATAAATCACAATTTTTTTTATAAAAACAGTTGTGTGATTTGTCCTGTCCGCATGCCTGAAATGAGTTTATTAATTAACGTTAATTTATCAGCGAGTTAAAATATATTTAGTAAAATAAAACTAAATCAAAATATGTCTAAACAAATAACCATTTTTAATGGTTAAAATTTATTTATAGTGAATATATACTCTTGAAATAATAAGTTCACTTAACATCAACTAAACTTGAGACTTTCAAGATTAAAATCTGATTTTTGTTGATTTTTCAACAAAAAAACAATGTTAAAAATGTAGCTTGAAAGAATTTTTTTGTTTTGTAGATCCTAGAAATGTGAAAAATTGTAAAACTCTGTAAAATTTAGAAAATCGCTGCAAAAGAAGTATAACCTCAAAAACATGCGACTCACCTCCCTCAAAAGCCCGAACAGCACGTCGGTGCTCAGCGACCTCTCGTGGGCCTCGTCCATGATGACGGCGCTGTAGTGGTCCAAGTCCGGCTCCCTGAGGCTCTCCCTGAGCAGAATACCGTCCGTCATGTACTTTATCACCGTGCTCTCGGAGGTGCAGTCCTCGAAACGGATGGCGTAGCCCACCTCCCCACCTATTTTTTTTTTAAAGAAAACGACGCTAGTTTGCTTTCTTCCAAATTAGTTTCCACTCAATCTGACGTGTCAAAGTCCAAAAAAGTAGAAACGAAGTGACAAAATTGGTGTTGTTTTTTTTTATTTACCTAGTTGGGTCCCCATTTCGTCGCTAACACGCTTAGCAACCGACATGGCCGCCACTCTTCTCGGCTGAGTGCAACCAATCATGCCGTATTTGCTGTAGCCATCTTCATGGAGGTACTGAGTCAATTGGGTTGTTTTTCCGCTTCCGGTTTCACCTAAAAAAAAAGATTAAACAAATATTAGAAATATTCCCCAACACCAAAACACAAAGTGCTTAAGGTACTTTTCGCCAACAGCATCTTCAGAAGCGAAGTGTAACTAAATCTAACTGTTAAATCTACCATATTTATAGTAGTATTTAAGTAGTGTACACGGTGTGCCTGAACGAAGTTTAAGTCACATAAAAATGCCGCCAAAAACTGATTGCAGTTTCTTGTTTGGGACCCTTTGGATATTTATCAAAATCCTAGCTGCTCCTCTTTTCGAAATATTTTGAAAATTTTAATTTTTTTTTTAATTTTTGTTTATCTTACCTTTGACAGAGTAATCATTTGTATACCGATTTTTATAAAATAAATATATTATTATATATTATATATTATTGAGGAGACTTAAAGGATACTTTTTAATACTGTTCAAATCATTTGATATATACAGGGTGAGCACAAAATCGCTCATTTTTAATAAAGCAAAAGCGTAAATTCATGATTTTGGCATAACAAGCAAAAAAGATTTATCCCCATATTTTTTTAGATATTTCCACGTTTATCAGGTTAGAAAATGGCATTATTATTAACCTTTTATAAAAAAATTAGATTTTTAATAAAATTAAATAAAATATCGCTTAGAGAATATTTAAAATGTTGTTTAATTTAGGCTTTTTAGTAGTTTTCAATTTTGAACGAAAAACTGGTTAAATTTTTTGATTTGCACTCTTTGGAGATTTAAAAACGATATTTGCCAAAATTCAAACTGCTTTTTTTAAATTTGTTAAAAAATCATTTTTTGAAAATTCATGTTTTTTTTTAAATTTTTGTTTTTCTTAAACTCTACCTTTGACAGAGTACACATTTGTACACCGATTTTTATAATATTGGAGTATATTGTTAACGAGACTTGGAGAATACTGTTTTCATACTGAGCATATCATTTATACAGGGTTAGCCTAAAATCACTTTGTTATATAGTGAAAAGCAATTATGCATTAGCACAAAAAAGATTTATCTCCAAAAAATGTTATTTTATTTAATTTTAAAATCAATTTTTCTTATAAAGTCTTAATAAGAATCCCATTTTGTAGCCTAACATAAAAATATCTAAAAAAAATGGGTGGGTAAATATCTTTTTTGCGATGCCAAAATAATGAATTTACGCTTTTGCTTTATTAAAAGAAGCGATTTTTGGCTAACCCTGTATACATTAAATGATGTGCACAGTATAAAAAAGTATTCTCCAAATCTCCTTAACAATATACTCCAATATTATAAAAATCGGTGTACAAATGTGTACTCTGTCAAAGGTAAACATTAAGAAAAACAAAAATTAAAAAAAAAAAATCATGAATTTTCAAAAAGTTTCGAAATTCTTGAATAACTTTTGATTGAGTGAATTTAGCCAAAAATGTTAAGAGGCTTTTTTTGTAAAGCCTTTGATTTCACATAAGAATATTTATCGGTTTTTTATGGGTACTGATTTTTACATAACTTTTAAAATTCCAAAGTTAAAAGATCAAAATGTAAAACTATACCAATGTTTAGGGCATGATTTTAAGGAAACGGTTCATCTGACGAAAAATTTCATTTAACCTTTTTTGTAGAGCATTTAATTTTCTTAAAAAAATATTTTTAAGTAAATTTTGTTAAACTCAATGGTTTGGGAGTTCTGAGACAAAAACTTGATGAGGAAAATTAAAATTGCGATGATAGACCTCTTAATATTAATATTATGGACTCAAACTTTCACAATATTTTTTTTGTCGCCCCAAACTATATTTTCGATATACTTTTCAAAAAAAAAATAGTTGATTTGTTTGGCCCAGTCTAATTTACATACTTTTATATTTGCTTTAATTATACAATATTTTAAATAGAACATTCTTTTTTAAGTAAAATTTTTTGAATCAATAATTTAATTATTTGATGTATTAAATTAATATTTTTAATAATCCGTTTATTTTATTTTAATATTTTTAGTGGTTTAAAGGATAAAATAAATTTCTGAAATTTTAATTTGTTAAAACAACATCTATGTTTTAACATACAAGTAGCATTGTGCAAAAACTGTTGATTTAACCATTTATTGGTTAATTTAACAATTTCTTTTTCAGTGTAATATTTGTTAAACACATCACCAAAGTTGTCCTTTTTCAAGTTAAAAAAATATGTCGACAAATTTGGTTAAGAGCGTCAAAAACATTTCTCACCGACAATGATGACTACGGAATTTTCCCTGATGACGTTGAGCAGCTCCTGCCTGACGGCGAAAGCGGGCAGGTACCGCCTCTGCTCGGAGATCGTCTTTTTTCGGGCGAAGTCGCTGGCCGCCTCGCTAGACTTCATGTGCTCGGCGAACTTCTGGTCGGTCCTGTAGTCGGCGCTGTCGTCCTCCTTGTTGTAGCGCTTGTCCTCCTCGTCCTCCTTCTTTTTCACGCCCATTATGTTGCCTGCGAACCGATGATCGGAATTTTAAGTCGAGAAATTAATAAAAAACAACCATAGGAGCCATAGGATTAGTGCGGATTATGTTTTGAGTGAAAGTTGAAATGAAAATTATTAAACATTTATACACTGCGCGTCAAAATTAACGCATAACAAGTCATAAAAATCCAACTCTAAAACGCCTTTACCAATCTTTATAAAATTTTGGGTAAAAATACTTTAAATTATATCTTAGTTTAAATCCTTAAAGCCCTTTTATTTAATAATTAAAAACGCTCGAAAAAAAACTTTTTATATGGAAATTTTTTTTGTAAATTAAAAATATGCTGTGAAAGACCGTATTTTTGTTAGTATACCCCAAAAATGTTGTAAAAACCAAACAAACAGTAACGAAAATACAGCGCTTTAAAGTCGTCAAAAATGACCACTTTTTAACAAAATAATCAAAAAGGGGTCATTTTTACCTACTTTGAACTTCAAAGTTTGAAGCGCTGTATCTTCGTTACTGTTCATTTGATTAATACAAAATTTTTTTATTTACCTAAAAAAAAATTCCCTAAAAGTTATTTTTTGAACGTTTTTTATTATTAAATAAAACGGCTTTAAAAATATTTTTTCGAAAGACCATCGAACACGGTAACTGAGATATAAGTTAAAGTATTTTTATGCAAAATTTCATAAAGATTGGTAAAGGCGTTTTAGAGTTAATTTTTTTACTTAGTATGCGTTAATTTTGACGGGCAGTTTAAATAACTTAAAATATTGCAAAATGTAACTATTTTTAGAACTACGGTTTTATACCTTTCTCCTGAATTTGCCTTGGCCTTAAACAACGCCAGAAATCAAAGAAAAGCCTTATTTTACAAAAACAAGCTAAAAAACTTTTCTTCATAAATTCTTCATAAAAAACAAGTTTTTTTCCAATTTTTCTTATTTAAAATATTTTTTATTTTAAGTTTTGTTATTGTTTTTTTAACAATTTTTTAATTTTTTAAAATTTTTTTGTATAATAATGAAAAAATACAAATTAAATAAAAAATTTTTTGATTGTTTTCTGTAAGTAAGTAAGTAAATAAGTAGGTTTATTAGCAAAACATCTGCTACAAAGGTATAACAATAATAAATTATATCATATAACAATAATAAATCACATATCACAATTTGACTAGAAAGTTCTTTTTATGTAATAACAAATTTGTCTTCTAAACGTTTTTTCTCTGGTTATTTCTTTTATTTGCATTGGTAGAGAATTATACAGTACTAAACCATTGTAAAATAAGGATTTATAAGTACTAGTTTTTTTGCAGTTTTAACATATATGTCACAGTTTGATCTAGTACTACAAGAGTGTACATCTCTAACATACACAATTTTGTTTGTCAAATATCTAGGCAATAGTTTATGGACGATTTTAAAAACAAATATAATAATATTTAGTACAAGTCTTTGGTTCACACTCAAAAAATTTAAACAATTCAGCATATCCTCAATTATGGTATATCTATTAACTTGCCTGTACTTGTAAATCATTTTCTTTCAATTTTAATTCATTTTTAAATTTAATCATGATTGGTGTAAGGTCCTTTATGTTTTTAGTGAAAGTTTTTCAATAGAATTATTTAACATTTATTTATAACATAAAATATTGCAAAATGTACCTACAGTGTGAGTCACTGTTTGACTCATTTGTTTTCGACTCACCCCTGTAAAATCTTTATTTATTGTGCGATTTTAACCGGATTTGTTTTAAACTGTAGATCTTGGTAAACTGTATTTTTAAAGTAAAAAACGCCATATTTTTACAAAATACAAGGCCTACTATGTCAGTTTTTTGAGAGTAAATTTTTAAGAATTCATATTAGCGATTTTTTAAAACAAAATCTAAGCACGGCACTGGATTCACCACCCCTCAAATCGACCCTACATTAAATTTTATTGAAAAATTGTAAGAAAAAAAAATGCACAAAAATTTATTTTGTCAAGTTATCCATGAAAAAAACATTGAAATAAAAGTAAACTTATAGTAATAGTACCATGTTAATATTAGTTTAATTTTATTTTCATGGATAACTTGACAAAATGAATTTTTGTGCATTTTTTTTCTTACAATTTTTCAATAAAATTTTGTATAGGGTCGTTTTGAGGGGTGGTGAATCCAGTGCGGCGCTTAGATTTTGATTAAAAAAATCGCCAATATGAATTCTTAAAAATTTACTCTTAAAAACTGACATAGTGGGCCTTGTATTTTGTACAAATATGGCCTCTTTTGCTCCAAAAATGCAGTTTATATAATAAATATAAAAATATATAAATAAATAAAGATTATACAGGGGTGAGTCGCAAACAAGTCGGTCACACTGTATGTTTAGAAAAACTACGGTTTTACACATTATTCCTGAATAGTGAATCATTTTTTTATAACAAAACATATTTTTATAACTCACCCATTTTGGTACCGCCAAGCTCCCAGTGCTTCTTCTGCGCCTTCTTCCGTTCCTTCTGCTCCCTGAACACCCTGACCAGATGCGAACCTTTCCTCGCCATCATGGCCATATCAGAAGTGGGATCCCTGAAAACAGAAGGCGTGAGACCGGCCGGAAATAGCCTCCCCGCACCACCCCCACCTCACCGGCACCACCGGCTCCGGCTGCTTCGTGAAGACGATGCGGCCGTCCAAAAACGGCGGCACTATGTTGTGCACGAGCAGGTGCACCCTGTCGACGGACTCCTCGTCGAAGTCCTCGCTGAAGTCCACCGAGTGCACCACGCCCGACGTCAGCATCCGGTTCCGCTCCCACAGCTCGTTGTCCTTGTTGATTTGCCTTTGCTGCGCCGACATCCGCTTCTTTTTTCTTTGTTCCAGCTGCTCCTCCTTCTTTTTTGTGTACTCCTCGCTCACGCTCGCGAAAGGGTTGTGCTCGTCGTCGTAGCCCTCGTCCATGTTGTACCATTCGCGGTCGAGCCGCTTCTGCTCCTCCTCCCACATCGCCCTGTCCACGGTAGCGTCCCACTTGACGGGCTCGTTGGCCCCCGGCGTGGCCCCGGAGCGCTTGCGGTCCTTGGCCCAGGTGTTGTACCTGTGCGCCGGGGTGGGTCTCGGGGTGTCGTCCTCGTGCCTCCTCCTACGACCGGAGATGGTAAAATAGTATTGTTGGAGTTTTAATGGATAAAAACCTTTTATTTGATAAACATATTTGTAAACTTATAAAAAATGCTTACATTAAACTCAAGTCAATATATAGTTTTAAATATCTTTTAAATAATAATGTTAAATGGAACTTGTCAAAAACCCTAATTTTAAGTGCTATAAATTACTGTTCTTCAGTTTACTATTTTTACACTAGTTTATATTATCAAGAACGACTTCAAAAACTTCAAAATTCTTGTTTAAGATATTCTTTTAATGTTAATTATCGTGAACATGTTACACCTGTTTATGTTACTAAACAAATTCTCAAATGCAATTCTATGTTTTTGTTACAATATGCTAGTCTTGTCTTTAATGTTTTAAAATATAAAAACCCACATTACCTATACATATTGTTAAGAAGACTTTCTTATTACCACAACTTAAATACTTCTAAATATGAATGTTGTTTTGAATATTTGGCACCAACAATAGTAAATAGATTTTTTGAAATATTTAATTTAAATAACAATATTGTAACTTTTAAGCAATCTCTTAAATGTTTTTTGTTAAACGATCACAATTTATAAATAATTTGTTTTATATATATATCTCTATTTTTAATGTATCCGGGTTTGAGTGGAAGAACAGCATGCTGCTGAACTCACACCATTTGTAAAATGTACCTTTTTAGTTTTACAATAAAGTTTATTATTATTATTATTATTATTATTATTGTTTCGTCTTCGCGAAATATTTAATATTTGTTTAATTTTTATTATATTTATTTAAATATTATATCCAGCTTATTGCCCCCCAACGCGCATGTTTACCGTTTAACTATTTTTAATTACCTAAGCATCCCTGCGAAAAACAGTGATCTACCATGCGACATTGTACCCGCTTTATCCCTCTTTGTGCATCGCACCCGCTTGAAACCATCGCTAACAGCCTAATTGCCAGAAACCATGGCCCTGAGTGTCATCATCAACACCAGCAACAAGGTAGGACTTTACTTTATTGGCATTCTTACTGCCCACGTTTTATCTATTCACATAAATCAGTCAACTAACACCACCACCCCTATTTCTCAAATTTATACAGTCCACTGCCTACCAAGTATATTGTTTACCGAGCGTGAACCAGAGTAGCAAAATTGGTGTAAAAAATAATGCAGGCATCATTTTTTTTAATGTTAATGTAGTTTGAATACATTAATCATTAAAAAAACATTTGTTATGAGAAATATTTTCATTACACATCAAAAAATAAAAAATGAGTAATGATAATGAATTTTATTTTTCAATATTTTTAAGTAGGTACCCATTAAAAATCCCTTTCTGGTAAACTTTGATATTTTTTTGATTAGGTACCCCTTAAAATCCCATCTCTATAGTATATTCAGTTTTACCAATTCTCTAGAACACAACAAATGTGGACAACACACATGCTATTGGTCAAATGTTTGTTTATTCTATTGAATTGGTAAATTGAATGTACTTTACTTTACTTTAGTAGGTACTTTACCTATGACTGGACTCTTTTTTGTAAAAATCCCGGTCTTCGCTGCGCCTGCTGCTTCTCTCCGACCAATCCGAGCTCTGTTTGAAGGAGGAGGGTGTCGGAAAATCCCAAGAAGATCGTTTGGCGGGAGCTTCATCATCTTCATCCCAAGCAGTCTTGGAGACATCATCTTTCAAGTGTATATTGGGCGTTTTTGGTTCATCCCTAAACTTGGGAGTTCTCTCACCTCTAGCGCTGTCTCTCTCACTTCTATCGCGACGTCTCTCACTGCCATGTCTGCGATCTTTATACTTATCTTTGTATGTATCCCGCTTCCCATCTTTATCTCTCTTATTCTTCGTGGTGGCGTACACGCCCTTCTCCTTGCTCTTATTGGAATTAAGTCTTTCAATAAGACGTTCCCTAGCCTCATTGCTAATGCCCCCTGTATACGTAGGTGTTTCTTCATTGGGAGATCTGAATTTCCTACCGTCCTTTGAAAGTCTGTCTTTTTTAAACGTCGCATCATCATCTTTGCCTTCCTCTTCCACAGCGAACGACATTTTTCGCGCCACATCCTCTTTTTCTTTGCGTTTTGCCGCTGCCAGTTTATCCAAACCCAAACGGGACGTTTGCGGCATTTTAAACGACGTCGGTTTTTTCGTTGTTATTAGCCCCCCCTTTTCACTACCGCTGCTTCCCGCGAGTCTATACACATTATCGTCCGGATCCATTGTTTTGTTGATTACAAATTATTTCTATACGTTTCTTTAAGGATAAACATAACCCAACATTTTGACGTTTTTCTTCTTCTTCTTCTTTTGGCAACACAAACATTCGTGCCGCACGAATCGTGCGTGATAGTAGAGGATCCCAAGTAAGGTCGACCTTCACCCATCTGCTTACCAGATGAAAATTATATTTTATCAAATAAAATATGTTTCTGAACATAAACCAATAGGGTTGCCATAAAAAATATGATCAAGGCTAGCTATAATAAATAAAAAATTAAAAAAAAATAATTAATTTTTTAAATTTCACCGACTTGCTTGCCAAATGAACGAAATTTCAATGGAAAGCATAAAACATACAGAATATGTAACAGCTAGGTTGCCTACCTTTTTCTGGTCCCTATTACCTGGTTGCTTTGTAGGTACAGGGTGATCCCCTATAATGTCGCCCCCCTTTAACTTTTTTATTTTAAGTGTCCCAAAAAATTTAAAAGTTTGGTTATGTAGGTACTAAAAAATACTTTTTTTCTACGTATAAAGAAAATTGGAAAATTGATCAGTATACAGGGAAAAACAAAAAGTTTATTTTTTTTCAATGGATCACCGTATATATGAATTTATTTTTCGATTCCTTGTAAAATTCTGAGCATAATTTATAAAACAAACCATATACCTAAATTCAACCGTTTCTGAAATATTCGCATTCGAAATGTCATCATTAAATGTTTTTTTAAACTGTTAGAAATCAAGAAGCCTCAGTATACCAAAATTTTTATTGAAAATAAATTACTATAGTGACATTATGTCAATAAGTGTTGTTAAATAAGTAAAAATGGCGTACTCAGACAGAGAAAAACAAACTATTTCAACTTATTATCTTAAAAATAATTTAAATATTTCAGAAACGGTTGAATTTAGGTATATGGTATGATATATGAAATATGCTTAGAATTTTACAAGGAATCGAAAAATAAATTCATATATAGGGTGATCCATTGAAAAAAATAAACTTTTTGTTTTCCCTGTATACTTATCAATTTTCCAATTTTCTTTATCCGTAGAAAAAAAGTATTTTTTAGTTCCTACATAACCACACTTTTAAATTTTTTGGGACACTTAAAATAAAAAAGTTAAAGGGGGGCGACATTATAGGGGATCACCCTGTACAAAGCAACCAGGTAATAGGGACCAGAAAAAGGTAGGCAACCTAGCTGTTACATATTCTGTATGTTGTATGCTTTCCATTGGAATTTCGTTCATTTGGCAAGCAAGTCGGTGAAATTTAAAAAATTAATTATTTTTTTTTAATTTTTTTATTTATTATAGCTAGCCTTGATCATATTTTTTATGGCAACCCTATTGGTTTATGTTCAGAAACATATTTTATTTGATAAAATATAATTTTCATCTGGTAAGCAGATGGGTGAAGGTCGACCTTACTTGGGATCTTAGACTATGATATTCAAGGTCATTTTTAATATTTATTTCACAGACTTGTCTGTGATTTATTTAGTACGAATGTTATCCTGGTTATATTTTTATTAAAAACGGCTTCAACGCATTTTTTGACTGCTCTAATTTTAAAAATGACGTTTTTAATCGTAAATAAATAATTTCGACATTTTGCACCTATAATAGTGTGCTGTGAAGAATGCTGTGCTCTGATTGGTCTTTTGCTTTCCAAAGAGATCATTTTCTATAGAAATTTCAAAAAAAAAACCCGATTTTTCCAACAATTCAATAGAAGCCTGTAATAAATTTACATGGATAAAAAGAGTGCGAAATCGATAAATTATGCATGCTGCACATAAATTGCAAATTAATCTGGTACAGCCCCTGCAGCTTTCTTTCGCGTGGTTAACTTAGAATGTGACCGTTGTTCTGCGTTCGAACGGGTTTAATGAACATTTCGGAGGTGTCCGAGCCCATTATAAAATTTTAATGATTTTGTGGGGTGCATCCGGCGCAGGCGCAGTCGCAAAAAAAAATCAGCTGTGTCAAGTTGAGCGGACCGAATTTCCCGGTAGGATGCAAAATTAAAACACAGGAAGCAATGTGAGGTCCCCTGTTTAATTTCAATCCTAGATAAAAGGATTTCAATTGATTGTGCGAGTTTACTGGCGTTGGTTGAGTTGTGGGTGCGCAGATAAATAAATCATGGATTTGGCGGAAACTATGAAGAATGTTCTGGCGAAAGGAATACAACAAACTTCTGTTAACGATTTGCCCTCTTCTACCAGCATGGGCTTTCCTGGTACTGGATATGTCACGGAAAAGTTATACATGCTGTTGCAATTGTATTTACAGAATAAAGGGTGGAACACCTCCGTAGAATTGCTGCAATGTTTTACAGAGCTCAAGGAGTCTTCTATGCTGCCCAGTGCAGCCTATTTACAGTGAGTAAATATCAAAAATTTACAAGATAATTTGCCCTGTTTGTAAATATAAATATATGTATTCTACAATATAAATAACTGTGCATTTAGTAGGTCATTCCAAAGCTATAGCTATAGACTATTATAGTCTTACTTTGACATTTGAATATATTCAGTATACTGTCAAAAAATTAAGTTTATATAACTATCAGGAAGACAGATAGATAACCTCAATTATTTTTATTAAAATGTCACAGAATGTAAAAATCAAAAAAAAATAAAATGATGTTCATTATAGAATGATGGCATCTAGAGTAACTTTGGATTCCCAGGGGAGGTTAATTCTAAGAGAGAATGGTAAAATAATTTTACCATTTGAGCATTTCGCAAATGCGGTCATGCTGAAGCACATGAATGGCCCCCATGGATTACATTTGGGTGTGGAGGCCACCGTACGAGCTGTAAGTTGCCAAACTAACCCAAATATTTCCTCTGGCAGCTAAAAAGTTCGTTTTTAGGTTATGGAGTCCTATACCATAGGTAGAGAGAATTTTGGTATGGAAAAGGATTTTATAATAGAGGTGGTGCAGAACTGCCCCAACCCAGCTTGCCGCTACTACAAAAACCAAATGGAACTGACTCAGAAAACTTTGCAGCATTTGGCAACACCCGGTTATATGGCAGAGACTCAGCAAAACAATTCTGATCTGAGAAACAGTAAGTTTTCCTTTTGTTATTATTATTTTTTTAATATGGGTTATTATGATGTGCACAGTATAATTGCATTGTATAGAAAAAATAACCCACTAATTATTGTCTGTACAGGAAGTATGTAATTTCCATTGTTTAAATTGTAAATGGTAATGTTTTGAATTGTTTTGTTCTTGAATTACGTGATAATATTTTTCAATGGTGTATGATTTTATAAAAAAAAAGAATGCCATAAACTGAAAAAATATATTAAAATTGTTTTTACTTAAGAGAAAATATTATATGTATGATTTTGAGTCTAAATTAATTAATTTTACTTAACAAAATAAATTGAAAGTTGTAGTTGGTATGAAAATCTTTTAATTTATATTTTGTTAAAAAAAACGTGTTAAAAATGTTGAAACTTGTCTTGTTAATAACAAAAAATATTTTAATAATAATGTTGGTGCAAAGCATGATGTTAATTTTATTCATTTATTACTAAAAGCGCACGAATTACAAAACTGTTTTTATGAAAAAAATTATAGATAATTTATTATATAATATTTTGGCATCAAAATTGTCCATAATATTCTTCTTTTATTAGGTTATACAGTAAATTTAAAAAAAATTCATAATAGGTCTTGTGTTTTGTAAAAATATTTAAAAAAATATTTTCCCAAAGTTTTTTTAAATTTTTTGTAATACGCCACTGGTTACACACTTGTGTTCTGTGAGTAAAGTTCATTTTTTTTATCTGTACTGCGGCAACGTTGCAAATTTAGGGTTTTGGTTGGTAAATACAGTTGTCAAGTTGGTCGCATTGATTAAAACAAACTAAGCTAGTTATAAATTTAATTGTGGTTATGTATAAATTATTGTAGGTTACATTGTGCAGTTGTCAAGTTGAGTTGTCGAAATTCCTAGTTAAAAATGCAATTAATTTGGCTTTGGTGGTGCTTGGATGAGTAAAATTATATAAAAAAAGTAGTTAAATATAGGTTGCTTTACGGCCCGGAAGAGAAAGTATTCCTAGCGGATAATAATCTTCGCTTTGAAAAGAATTTATTTAAAAGAAATTAAAATTTTTTGTGAACGTAAATGTTGTCCAATGGTGAATAATGTGAAAATAATGTGTGATGTAATATTTATAAAACCAAATTCGTTACTTTTTTACTCCAAAAATGTCCATAAGGCGATGTACTTTTTCTTCTATTGTGGCATTTGGCATAATTTCATCAAAATGAAGTTTTGCCCTCAAAAGGGCTTTTACATTCGAATTCGTTGCTATTATTTTTGGCATAATTATCTTTTTATTTATAATTGACAAGTAAATTTTCAATAATAAATATTATTGTCAATTTGACAGTGTCAAAGTATTTAATTAAATTCTTTAGCAGAAGTACCATTTTTAAATACTGAAAATACTAAGTCAAACTGGCATAAGCCACCAACCTAACAAAAAAACACGAGTCCAGATAAAAAAAAATGAACTGTACTTAGATACCAACCAACAAAGTAGCTGCGCGTTGCCAGTTGTTAAAAATTGTTACTAATAATTTTTCTTTCAAAAAATAAATAAAAACTCAATAAATACAAAAGTTTTATGCCCTTAAAGCTCTAATACCCTTATGTATTTGTTTACTCATCCAGCTATTAGCTTAAGCAATGATTAAAAAATTTAGTATCTTTTCATTGTTTTTTTTCGTTCACAGGTTAAACTTAAAATATTTAATTTATGTAAATAAATCCAAAAGCACTTCCCTTAGTTAAGGTATTTACAATTTGAGCACATAACCTAAAATTTGAAAGAAACGCACTAGATTCTGTTATAAAAGTTGCCAGATTTTGTTTGAATTTATCTTCATTACAAAAATGACATAATCAACAATTAATAATTTTCATTGTCATTTTTGTAATTAAGCTAAATTTAAACAAAATCTGGCAACTTTTTTCACAGAATCTGGAAACGCTGCTTGTTACCAACCATAACATAATAAATTAAATTAGGCAACCAGATTAGCCTAAAGTTCCTAGTCGATCAGTGGCGTACTTTTTGGTAGGATAAAGGTTATTATAAATTATTTTTATATTCAGGTGCTTCTTTATGGACCCTAAGGAATATATTACATTAATTACATAACACCTGTATTTGCTTAAAGTAGTGTATTATATTAAAATAAATTTAGTTTTAAGATAGTTACGGTCGACAATATTTAATTATTGAAATAATATTGAAATTATTAAAAACAACCTCTCTAATTTTTTTTAATATTTAAAAAAGCCATGTTGTGCCTTTAAAAAAAACTTAAAAAAAGGCAACTGATACCAAAATTTGAACAAAACCTTGTTGAAAATTATAATGATGATAAACCGAGATCGAATTCTTGAGAGCCACTTGTTGCTTTCGAATAATGACCTGTAAGCTTTGATCTTATCTGAACAATTAAGACTGAAAACCCTAATGCAACAAACAAAAAAATCGCAAGACAAAATCATGATCAATTTTTGCTCGGCATCCACAGGACAACAGAGCAGCTTGGACAGCAAAGCGAGCAACGCGCAGCTGCTGGAGCGCCCGAAGTCGGTCGCGCCGACGCAGCAGCAGCTGACAGCTGCGCTGATCCAGCAGCAGAACCGCGTGATCGCGCAGCAGAACATCGAGAAGCTGAACGCGAACCTGGAGAAGCAGCGGCAGCAGCTGCAGCTGCAGCAGCAGATCGACCTCGCGAACGCGGCCACGGCGGCCAAGGGACAGCAGCAGCAGCAGCTGCAGCAGCAGAAGCAGCACTTCGATTTGCCGCTCATGGATCACAAGCTGACGGACTTTTTGAGGACGAATCTCGAGAATTTGGAAGGTAAGATCCTCACTTATTTAGTATATCCACAGTTGGGGTTACAAAGAGGAAAAACATATAAGTTTTTGCTTGGTTTCAAACCCCACATCAATTTTTTCAAGTAGCACAACTGAATAAATAACTAGAATTCTTTAAATTAACTTTTTGGTAAATAAGCCACAGCTTTGGTTAATTTGGATATATTTTTTTTAATCAACAAGTTATATTTTACCAAATACATTTTAACTCACTGGTAAAAAAATAGTCTCAATATAGCTTCATATATAAACCCATAGATTGTGAGTTTTGTGTAATGATGAATATAGACTCTCTTTTACTTACTTTAGAAGAGTTGACCAAGTTTTAAATAATTATTTATCCACAAATCAAACATTTAATTAATTTGTCGTTTTATAAAAATAAAGCAGGGCTGCAACTAAAATCAGAACGTAAGTTCGGCGGAAATGTTTTTACCGATAGGTAAATAAAGTAGTTAAATTAAAACACAATAATACATTCTGAAGAAGCTACTGTGTAGCGAAACAATTGTCAAAATTTAATAAAATTCGTGAAACTTTACAACAAAGTTGTTTTTATATCCACATAGTTAATTAAACCATAATTGAATTATCCACTTATTACAAAATAACGTTAATTTGAGGTTAATTTAACGTTGTAGAACAATATAACTTAAATGAATTAACCAGGCATAACGTAAATTTAACGTTAATTTTACCAGTTGTGCTAGTTGGGTTGTCTATGGTTAATTTACAATTTTTATTTATTTTAAACATTAAAAATGTCTCATTGCTTAAAAAATCGACTCCGGACCTTGGAGCATACAAAACGTGGATATGCCTTGGAGCATAGAACACGTGGACATTTTTGACGAAAATTTTTTCCCCGAAGGTCTGTCGGCGGCCAACAAGGACCTGTTGGCGCTGCACAACGGCGCGTGGGCCTCCTCGTCGGGCAACGTTGCCGCTCCCGCTGAAGACAAGCGCATCAGCGAGGGCGGGCAGGAGAAGATCGTGCGCGCCTTCGGCGAGGTGATGAAAAACATGTCGAGAATGAAGACTTACGTGCGTCCGGCCATGTGCAAGCCGTACGGCAAGCAGTCCGAGGCGCTGCAAAAAAGTAAGTGACAAAAAGTACTAGAAATACACTTTTTTGCCAAGTTAATATTAAAAGTCTTATAAATCTTAAAAATTAAATGACAATTGAGGGGCCTAGAAGTAAAAGGGTTTAAGTGCATTTTTGTTAGTTCTGAGATAAATGGCTTTAAAGTTAACTTGAATTTTAAAATTCTAGAAAAGAGTTAAAAAACTGTGTGAATATTTTAGTTTTGTTTAAAGACTAAAATGGATTATAAAGAAAAAGGAATTTTTCAATTTCGCTTTTTTGTTAATTTTTTTTTACAAAAATGTACTTGAATCGTCATGCATGTAAGACAAAATTTAGTGGTAAAATGATTTAAGTGCAATTACAGTACTAGAACAAAACTTTATAAAGTTTTGTTCTAGTACAGTAATTGCACTTAAATCATTTTACTTAAGTTTTACAACAAAAAGTATTATTCTTAATCAGAATCTAATACAACGTTTTCTTCATCTGAATTAGCTGGTCTTGGTTGGGGTTGATCTAAATTGGATTTTTTTTGGCTCAATACTATGGTCTAAGTTTGTTTCTTTTTTTTTTCTTTTTTTCGGATGGATCTCCATGTTTTATAAAATAAGTGGTAAATTGACGGAATATAGTCCAATAAGGTACCTAAGTAAATTTTTGTGCTTAGCGGCTTTTTTTTAATTTTTGCTGCAGTTACATGGCCTTCTTATTCTACTTCTTCATTGATGTCAGGAACATAGTTACTATGTTGAATCCTCATCAGTCTGGACCGATGCCATTATCGTAACGCTGGCCGATGTCGTTCCGAAACGAGCTACTTGTCAAGGCTTTAGCAGCATAGGTAATAGCCAATGTTCAGCAGTAAAAGGTGCACTTAAATCGTTTTACCAAAGATATATTTTAAAATATTTTGACAGGTTTTTAAAGAGGATATGAAATGGCGCCAGGGAATGTAAAATGTACTTATATAATTTTACCACTAAGTTAGAATATTCTTTAGGTGTGATATTCTGCACTTAGACCATTTATTTAAAAAAGTGCACTTGAACCGTTTTACTTCCAAGCCCCTCAATTATTAAAATGTAAAATTTTTACTTAAATTTATGTTGATCTGATAAACAAATTGAGATTATTGTTATATTTAAGGGTAGTCTTGGTTTTATCTTAAAAAGTTTTAATTCTAAAAGGACTTATTTTGGCATATTCTAAAATATTTATCGTTTTTTTAACGCCTTATTAAATATATTCTAAATATGGTAAGTTAAGATATAAACATAGTCAATAAGTTTTTACGTGTTCCTTTTTTGTGTTATTTATTTATTTTAATTATTAGAAAATTATTTCATGCAAAACATGACAATTTTTCGAAATTTGATATTAACAAACTGTCTTCCTCGTACTAAGTATTTTTTTATTTAAAATATTTTAAAACTTCTAGTATTTTTTTGTTATATTTGTACTTAAATTTATTTTGATCTGATAAACAAATTGAGATTATTGTTAGAATAGATTATTTACTTTAATTAAATGCTGCAATATTGTTTTAAGATTAACAGAACCCTCAAAATTAACGTTTTCGTAACTAATTCAAGCAAAACGTGTATACAATATTTTATGGCATGTTTTATCAAAATCACTACAATCCGGAATGTAATAAACATTGGGAACCTTGAAAAGTAATTTTTAAAACAAATCTTTCTAGGCAAAATGTTTAATTTATTTATTTTTAGCTAGTCATTAAATTCGAAATCCTAAATTTTCGTACTGTGATACTCTATTGGCTACGACTGTACTTCAACTATTTTTTTACTCTTTGCCAAGACAACATAGCACAAATACTATACAAATAGGCGGCCTATTTAATAGGTAGAGTTTTTTGGCAACCATGTGCATGATGGCCGCGTGTGCATAAAGCATAGTTTGAATTTGTTGGGTAGACACAAAAAAATCTTGGTACACAGTGTTACCCAGTTTTTTATTTGTCAATGTTTAAAACCACCTTATTTAATTAATTATAAACGGGGTTGGTATGCATACTTTCAAAAAAATCATATATTAATTCAAACTCTTCTAATTTAATCGCATCAGAAATAAGGGTAAAAAATGATGCTTTGCACCAGGGTTCCACCCTGCTTTTCTCCTTTAATTTATAGAATTTTACTTTTATTAATCCGATCATACATAGTTTTACCTTTTCGCAAAGAAAACAAATTCACTTTAGTAGTAAAATATAATATAAAATTTTAGCAAAAAAATTCTAGGAAATTTAGTTTTTTAATTAACAATTATTAAAATGATGACAAACCGAGATGGAATTCTTGAGAGCCACTTGTTGCTTTCGAATGATGAGCCAGTAGCTTTGATCTTATCTGAATGTAATTAAAAAAAGCATCCTTGTAAATTTTACGTTGTTTTTTCAACTGAATTGTGAGTTGTAATTTACTCTTTTCAGCCCTGATGGACACAATTCAGTTGATCCAATCGCTGCGCAGCTTTTTGCCGCCGCCTCACATACAGGTAAGCTCGTGGAAGAACGAAGACAAGCACCGCTACGAAGAAACATAGGAGAACGAGTCGTACTATTTTTTGCTTGTTTGGTTTAGGTCAAATATTGGGGTGTTTAAAGTGAACGGTATATTTTTTCATTTTAACATTGAATTTCCTCGGAATATGCAAAAATAAACCATCGGTAATATCCCATCTCTTAATTTCAATTTCAAGTTTAAAAATCTTATTATGTTTTATTATTTCTTCCTGTCGCCTTTTTTAACTAATTTAAAAAGGTTGCTTTCTCTTTTGCAAATAAAAATGTTTAAGAAAGATAAAACTAATACTTACCTTTTTTCTGGGTATAGTCTTTATGGTTTACTACTCTTTTATACATTTTTAAAAATAGCTAAAATATTGCAATTCACCCAAAATAGGGTATTTTCAATCTGAAATATCTCAGAAGAGACCGCTTTAAAAACCCAAAATTTTTGGAAAACATTATTTTATCGTCTGGTTACAATTTCATCACTGAGACTAAGTTTTTTATTTTATACATTTTTAAATATAGCTGAAATATTGCGATTCGTCCAAAATACGGTATTTTCAATCTGAAAATCCAAAATTTTTGGAAAACATTTAATAAAATGTTTGGTTATAATTTCATCACTGAGACTAAGTTTTTTATTTTATAAATTTTTAAAAATAGCTCAAATATTGCGATTCGTCCAAAATCAGGTATTTTCAATCGAAAATATTTCTGAATGGACAAAATTTTCAGAAAACATTATTTTATTGTGTTGTAAAAAGTTGTTACAATTTATACAGACTTTATGTTTTTTATTTTATACATTTTTATAAATAGCGCAAATATTGCGATTTGTCCAAAATCGGGTATTTTCAATCTGAAAATCCAAAATTTTCAGAAAACATTGTTTTATTGTGTTGCAAAAAGAGCAATATTTTGAAAACACATTAAAACAAAGGCCTAAAACTTTTGAATGAAATGTATTCTATGAAAATTACATCCAGAAAAAATATTTAAGGTGAGTCTTGGTTTTATCTTAAAAAGTTTTAACTAAAAGGACTTATTTTGGCATATTCTAAGATATATATCGTTTTTTTAACGCCTTATTAAATATATTCTAAATATGGTAAGTTAAGATATAAACATAGTCAATAAGTTTTTACGTGTTCCTTTTTTGTGTTATTTATTTATTTTAATTATTATAAAATTATTTCATGCAAAACATGACAATTTTTCGAAATTTGATATTAACATACTGTCTTCCTCGTACTAAGTATTTTTTATTTAAATTATTTTAAAACTTCTAGTATTTTTTTTTGTGATATTTGTACTTAAATTTATTTTGATCTGATAAAAATATTGAGATTATTGTTAGAATAGATTATTTAGTTTAATTAAATGCTGCAATATTGTTTTAAGATTAACAGAACCCTCAAAATTAACGTTTTTGTAACTAATTCAAGCAAAACGTGTATACAATATTTTATGGCATGTTTTATCAAAACCACTACAATCCAGAATGTAATAGACATTGGGAACCTTGAAAAGTAATTTTTAAAACATATCTTTCTAGGCAAAATGTTTAATTTATTTATTTTTAGCTAGTCATTAAATTCGAAATCCTAAATTTTGGTACTGTGATACTCTATTGGCTACGACTGTACTTCAACTATTTTTTTACTCTTTGCCAAGACAACATAGCACAAATACTATACAAATAGGCGGCCTATTTAATAGGTAGAGTTTTTTGGCAACCATGTACACGATGGCCGCGCGTCCATAAAGCATAGTTTGGATTTGTAAAGTAAATACAATAAAAAACAAAATGGTTTAAATCACAATCCACACATGTGGATTGTGGTTTAAATAATGTGCATTTTAACTAAAGGAAATGCCATTAATTTTAATAATTTGATTTATTCCAAAAATAACCTATTTTAAACAAACAAATAATGAAACATTATAATATTTTATGTTTAAAAGTATTTTAAATCTATTTCAAATAAAATAAAGCAAAAATAGGCAAAACAAAATATTTGATTTAATTTTTATTTTCTATACATCTTATTTTTTCAAAGCGCATTTAAAATATAAAAGTATTATGTATACTCATATATTATAGATACATAGGTATTATAGAAATACATAACCATATTTGGTAAATTATAATTACATAGAGTTAAAATAACCGGTTATGAGTTAAAAAAGAGTAAAATAAACCAAAAACTACGAAATATTACCTTATTTTTAACCAAGAAGTTGAATTTAACTAAAATAACGTTCATTTTACCATAATCGAATTTTCCATTTATTACAAAATAACGTTAATTTAACGTTGTAGTACAATATAACTTAAATGAATTAACCAAGCGTAACGTAAATTTGACGTTAATTTAACCAGTACTTGGGATACTTTTGCTAAGCACAAAAAACGAGATACGTATTTTCAACGGCGAATTTTATAGATTTACCTGCATGCTTTTTCAATGAAAAAACTTAACGATCAAAAAATTGTTGTTGAACTCAAAATTGGAATTATTATTTGCATATGTTTGGAACAGGATAAGAGTAGATACCAATGTTAATTATTGATAGAATAAACTTTATTCTGAATTATTGAGGCAGTAAAAAAGTTTTTTTACATTTCTTACGCCACAGAAATACAAGTATAACTCTAATGCTTGCTGACTACTGTATAGTGTTTTTAATTGGTACAAATCTTACCTATGCTTTGTGTATAAGGCCATTGGTGTAACTTTTCGCATTATTTTTTGGATTTAGGTCTGGGCCAATATAAAACATGCAGTAAGACTGTTTTTAATGTATTGTTAGGTTTTAAATGAGGTGTAGTCATAAGTGTAATTTGTATTATTTAATTATTATACAAAACAACGTCTATAAAAATGTAATCTTGCCACTATATTTAAGAAAATTAATTTTTTCTGAGCTTAGCTTTATTTTTTGTGATTTTGTTATTTAACCGCAAATAAAAGCTTTCGTGCACATATACGTTTAATTGAATTACAAACACTTAAATTAATTAATACATGAACCCTTCGCGGAGCCTCACGGTTCCGAGATGTTTTTGAACATGTCGCCTAGGAAGCTGTCCAACGCCTTCTGCACGGTGGGGTCTTTCAGTAGAGGGGTGGGGGCGGCCTCGACGGGGGCCGCGGGCTCCGTTGCCGTTATCGACATGGGAATTGGGGCGGAGTCGGGCCCCTTGTTGAGGATGTTCATGATCCGGTTCTGCAGTTCGGCCTGCTTGCTGGTGGATTCCTGCGACTCCTGATCTATGCCCTCCGCCACCTCAAACTGATACTGCAGATCGCGTCTGTCTTGCAAGTACTGTATCAGCTTGTCGTACTGGGAGCTGGTCAAGTGGCGATTTTCGGCCAACATGTTTAAAGCCATCTAAAATAAGTTTTTAAGTCTTACAAATACATGTATTTAGGGTTGGGACAGTTGAAATTTTTAGAGATGGGAATCGGAAAGTTTCCATTTTAAGGAAACTTTCAGTTTTGGAAAGTTTCCAATTGGGAATTTATTTTCACTTTGAAAGTTTCTTTTAAGCTACCGGAAACATTCCTTGGAAACATTCCTTGTTTTTTTCATTTAAATGTCAATTGTTTAACGGCTGATTTTCGTACAGGCCATGATACAAGGCCAAGAAACTTTGAATAAGAATTTAATGTGTGTTAATTTAAAGCAGAAGAAGAAGTAAAAATAATGTAAGTTATGTTCATAGATTATGTTACATAACCTCAATGAAGCCGGATTATTCAGCATCATCACAAAAAACTTTTTTAAAAAAAGGTAACCAAAATAAAAACAATAAACAAAGTTAAAATCATTCTTACATTTTTGTTGTTTATTTATAGGCATAGCACAATGCCAAGAGAAAAATCTAGTGTTTGGAATTATTACAAAATAGTGCAAAAAAACAAAAATTTTATCAGTCAGAACTGCAATACTATTTTTAGTATCTTTTACTTTTCAATATTCCTATATATTAGTTACTTTGTCCATTTTAATTTTTTTACGTAATATCTAGGATTTACTAGCAGTGAATTTCTAATAGTACTTAAACATTTTATTTTTATTTTGTAGGTTTCAGTATACAATAAATAATAATAGGAATACCTATTCCAAAGTAAAAGATACCTACTAAAAATAGTATTGCAGTTACATTCTTATAAACATTTTTTTTCTTAATAAAATTTGACAAAAAGTTAATGTGTTATATATTTTTGCAAATCCCTGGCATAAAAAAATATATTTTCGCAATTTTTTTTTTTAAACTTTCGGAAAATTTCGGGAATTTTCGATGGAAAGTTTCCGGGAATTTTCGTCAAATGGGAATTTTTCCATCTCTAGAAATTTTCAAATGAAAATTTCAACTTTGAAAGTTTCAAACTTAAAATATTTCATTTAGTTAGAAAAGTGAAATTTTTAAAAATTTCAAATGAAATTTTCAATTCGAAAATTTCAACATTGCCTGTGAAACTTTCAGAAATTTCATTGAAAGTTTCGCAATTTACTGAAAATTTCGCATAAATTTCACATGCGGCCTCCCCTGGGACCTTTAATAATAATTTACAACAGATTCCGAATCGACCAATAAGAACGAGTTATCAAGCGTCTGGGCGTTTTTGTTTAGTTCGGCTTTGATTTGAATACACTATAAGTAATTATTGTTACTTATATGCATAAATTAATTTAAATAATTTAATTCAGTTACCAATTTAATTTGTAAATTAAATCAGACTTTAAAATTTTTTTAAAAGTCATTAATTTAAACTTTTACTTTTGCTATAATTGCATCGGAAAACGGATAAAAAATGCCTTTGCCTCATAAAATTTTGATGAAGTTTCTTAAATTTTTGTAAAATTTCAGTAAAATATATAAAAATAATAAATATATATAAATATAAAACAATGAAAGTGGCACAATCTCATTAGCTTACCAAAAAGTGCTATATCTCTCTTAGTTTTAGTAATTTTAAGGAAATCTCAAGAAATTTGTGGTAAACATAGGTATTTACTATTTATATTATTGGTGCAGGGGCCCACAGAGGGGTAGGAGGTAAGAGAGGCAATTTGCCATGGTCACTGAGTGGGCTTATTTCAATATTAATGTATTACACTAAAAGTGATTAAAATTTATTGAAAGTTTCAATAAATTTCATGAAATTTCAGACATTTAGGAAATTTTAATAAATTTTATAGGTAAATGTCGTGAAAATTTCAAGTACAAGCAAAAAGTGAAATTTTCCCAACCCTACATGTATTGCAATAATACTACCTGCAATTGAACTGGATGTTTGTCAAGTAAAGTCATTTCCCCGGGCTTCTCAACAGGAATAGTCTCTCCTCTCATGTAAGCCTCAAAGTTTCTCGTTATTAAAATAAGCGCGTCCTCCACAGGCATGTTCCTATGTTCTAAAACATATTTTTACAAATATTTTCCCCACAAAAACTTCCTCTTACCTTGTGGAAGCCCATGCAGAATGTTCAAGGTGAGGCTTCTGTTCTCCTCGTTTTGAGGCATCACCAAAATCGCATACAAGCACCCTCTACTGGAAATATTCGCCAGAACTTTACCGATGGGAACATCTTCGTTCGGAAACAGAAGATCGACTATGAGCCCCAGCTGTTTAAGTCTGTTTTCAATGAACTCTGCATACTCACTATAAAAAATTGTTTCCCGTTTAAGAACCTGGTTCGAAATATGCATAAAATCTCGACAAAATGCACTGAAGAGAACAATACGTCACAAATATGCAGATAGAATGTTTATTTGAGATCAAATAACTCCCAAATTATTAAAGTTGAAATAAAGAAAGTGCTATTAAATTAGGTAAGAAAAATATTTTTTATCGAAATGGTCCATTACAAATCAAAATAAAAAATCGGGATATGTTCTAGAGAATTTAATTACGAAAATTTTAAGCATATCAGTCAAAAATTTTAAGCTATGTAAAATAATATTTTTTGAAAATTGTCATTAAAAGTTGACTTAGGCTTTATATTCAAGTTGCATACATTATTTGTCAAAACTTTTTTAATTTATTTACGCCCGGGCGCGCCCTCGAGAAGTAAATTGCAATGTTAATATTAATATTTGTAAGAATAAAAATTATTTAATTTAGGTATTATCTTTAGTATTTTGTGCTGATCAAAGATCATCTGTGGTGCTGATTTAATTGCAGTACAAAAAATACTTTTTTCTACGCTTATTACGGAATTTGACAGTTCTTATATGACTTTTTAATCTGGAATTACGTATATTCCATAAAGTGTTACAGAATAATTATTCCGCACAGGTTCTAATGATGGAATGAGCACTGGGGGCGACATCTCTATGTTTATTTTATAACTCACTTGTATTCCTACCAAATCTAGTTTTTTCAGAAAGGCCCGGTAGAAAATATTAATCGGTAGTATACAATAGGATTTAAAACAGTTTGCGTTAACAAAAATACTCAAAATATATCTTATTTACAAGCTAGTTGTAATTCTGTTTGGCCGATTTAGTAGGATTCTATTAGAATATTTAGGTTTGACTTAGTCCCAAAGAGATGGCAGCACTGGTTAATTGTTTACATCTGTCATTAGTTAATTCAAAATTTGATATTCAAATAATAACTTAAGTTATAATTATTTGTCATTCCTTACAATTTGTCCATTTCTTCTTTATACTTCCTAATTTAGGTTCTGCATAATTATGTAAGTAAAAATTATCTTATTTACTACCATCATAAAATCTAACATCTGTCAAAAGATAACCTAACTTTTTTCCAATTAAATTATTTCTGTGGTATTTTTTATAAGCGTAGAAAAAGTATAGTCTGAAACACGTTTGGAATTGCATATTCCGCTCTCGTGAAACCGTCACACTCGCCTTCGGCTCGTGTGACAAACTTTTCACTCGAGCGGAATATGCTGTATTCCAAACTTGTTACAGAATATACTATTTTGAACTTTCAAAAGTAACCTACTTTTGACACCTAAATGTCAACAAAAAGCCGACTTTTTGACAAGGGAATTGGAAAAAGTATCAAATCTATATGGGTGCACGTCATCAATGAGATATAATGACGTCAGCATTACCAACTTTGAATTGTAAAGTTACTGCCGTTAAATTTGCTTTTTTAATGCGTAATTCTGATGTGTTGTTAAAAAGAAATCATTCATTTGCGTATTGTTTATCAAGAACTGTAACAATTTCCTTGTTTTAAAACGTTTTTTCACGAAATTATCAAAATAAAACCATTCACTTAGTAATTTTTGTGTGTGCCAGTTGGTAATAGCTTAAGGCTGGCGCGCACCGTTCAATATTATTGATGGGTCGCTGTCATTTTATATTTGACGTATTTTTGTAATTGTGACATTTCGACCGAAAGCATCGTTTGTTGCAAATTATTATAAATAATATTATACATTATGTTTATAAGATTCTATCCCTGGATTGTGCAAACAATGATATAAGGCTTGTTGGCAACTAGCCGTTATTAGATTTCGAAGAGATTGCGCCCTTAATAATAAATTTGGGGAAATAATCAGACTTCAATTCTGACCTGGTTTGCTCTGATGACAAGGACGACTGGTAATTTATTATTTTTGTGTTTCTGATAATTTTGTATTTTTTTGTTATGTGCATATATGCAATAAAAATGTAATAAACTCCGTTTGTTTTCTCTTTAAACACATTTAATAAAAATTTGCCTGTAACAAACTCCTAATTAGTTAGTGCAGAAGATTATAACAAGGACGTTATAATTCCATCTTAATAACAGCCCCCACCGCTATAAACAGTCAACAATACACGAGCGTTAGATTGTGTCTGGGCACGTATGAATAGACCTTAACGCTGACGTCATATGCCATTGATGACGTGCACCCATACAGATTTGGCCGTGACTATACAGTGTATTTTTTGAATGTGTGTGATTGCGTCATCAATTGCTGAACCAAACAAAGACATTAAAATGTGTAGCTGTCTTTTTTTTTCTTTGTAAAAGTTCAACCGAAATTCTAAAACGTATCGGGATCCGCTAAACCAGCAGATGGCGACACAATTAAACGTAATTTATGACAAACGTCAATCCGATGTCGCGCTCACGCGGCTTGTGCTGAAAAAGGACAGAGCGCGTATAGTTTGTTGTGGCATTGAGCCGAAATTTATCAAAATTTGAAGGTTAGTCAGTGGCGTTCATACAGTAATTTGGCATTAAAGAACAGATTTTGGAAGTTTGACAGGTTTTAAAAAATGTCTTGCAAACGTTTGGACTATAATCAGAAACGTTTTATTATTAATTTAGTGCAATATTTTCAAAGGGAACTGGAGCATGGGGACTCCTGCTCCCACTAAAGGGTCAAAGGAACCTTCACTGATTGTGATGGACAACGCTCCATAGCGTCGTTGTTGAGCGTCACCCTACAAGTGCTTGGAAAAAACAGCAAATAGAAGAGTGGCTAACAGAACATAATATTCAGTTTATCAAAGGTATATTTAAAGCGGAATTGCTGTTTCTGGCACACCCCGCCTAAGCGTTAAAAAGTTGATGAGTACCTCCAGCAGCATGGGCATAAGGTTTTGCGTCTGCCTCCATATCACTGCCAGTTCAATGCCATTGAACTTATATGGGCGCAGGTAAATACATAAACAATTAGATGGGCGCTTGCAACAACGAATTCTGTTTTAGGCTAAAACATATTATGATTCCCATATGGGGGAAGACGGCTATGGCGACAATAAAGTGCTAGCAATGTGGGGCCAAGCACTGAACCAATGCACGCCAGAACGTTGGTGTTCAGTAGTGAGGCACACCAACAAATTAATTGACGATTGGTTCCAAAAGACAAGGATGGTCGATGACGTGCCCGAACTAGTTATCCACCTCGGAGAAGACAGTTCCGACGAGGATGACTTTTAGTAATTTTGTTTTCGTTCTCCTATAACCTTTTATTTTAATAATTAATGTTTTGTCTTAATTAACTTATAATATTTTATATGTAATATTATGTACAAAAATTGTGTATGTTTATTGTTATTCGTTTATAAAACTTGCATAATTTACATTAATAAAGTTAAAATAACTATCATTAGAATTATTGTTTAATTGTTTGTATTTTGAGTTGCGTAACTATGATGCGACATTAGGCAACCAAAAATACACCCACAATAAATGCTTAGACCCCTTCAAAATGATACGCTACTGACTCTAATTTTAGTTTCGGTTTAATTCATACGACCCAATTGATGACGCAATCACACACATTCAAAAAATACACTGTACATGTTTTCATGACCTTTTAAATAAACATTATTAAGTTGTGGCTTTATGGCGTTTTAGTCACTGTTTCTATATCGGATAAAACGGTCCATTTTTAAGAGAAAAAACAGATTTAGTTTTCAGTTTAAAAAACTTTAAAAGACTGGATTACCAAAAAATGTACCAATAATTCATTATTAACTTTATAGTATTACTTAAAGGTCAAATTATAAACTAGTAGAAAATATTATATATTATTTTATTTTAGTTTAGTTTTAAGATCCTAGTTTTAAGTTATGTACAGGTAATTTATTAGGCGGAAATTCTATTTCTGTACACTTGTTGTTATATAAATAAATAAATTTGACATTTGAGATTCCCAAGTTGATTACTCTATTGTATTTGTCGTAGAAAAAGTATAGTATGCAACTCGTTTATTAACTTTTCTAGGCACTCATTTAATTAAGCACTCGCTTGCAAGCTCGCTCGTTAATAAATTAAATTCGTATCTAAAATGGCGTTTATCAAACTTTATACATAATATACTAAAAATTACATCCGTTTCAAAATTTTCTTTTCTCATTTTTAGTAATTTTTAAACTGGAATAGTTTTCGAAAAAATTTTGTTTGATACTTGATTGTCAAATTCTTTTACATTTTCAAATGATTTTTTTGCTCGCTTTCGCTCACAAAAAAACACATTCTTAAATGCAAAATTGATATTTCACAATATAACTTTTTTTACATTTAATAAGAGAAAAAAATTATAAAAAAAATTTCTAAATTTATTTCTATTTAAGAATTTTATATTTACTTATTTATGGCCAAAAACAATGAATTTTTTTAAATATTTTCCAATTATTTTAACTTTTGTCCACCGCAAATAAAAAAAAACAGAAAATTAAAAGCTGAGGTGGGGGAATACTTTTTTTACTTTTTGACCTAGTATAACATATTTTTTACATTTAATAAGAGAAAAATTTTAAATTATATTTTTATATTCTAAATTTATTTAATTTTATTTGTTATTTAAGTTTATTAAATTATAGCCTTTTTTAATTATTTTAGTGGTTTGTAAATTGGTTTCAAATTGTAAGGGTATAAAAAAGAACTAAACCAAGAAATGTATTAATCATAATTATGATTTTTGGAATCAGCACAAAATTTTACATTAGAAAAAGTTGTTCTTGTAAACTAGTGAAAAATTTTTTGACTTATTAGGCATTGCATCAAAATCTACACATACCTTACATTTGAAGAAAAATGGGTTAATTTTTAAAAATTCCTATTAGAATTAGGAAATTCCTTATTTCAGTCTGCTTTTTACCCTCTGGTGTTACCATTGAGTAAGGATTTCTCAATCAATCAATCAATATTACTTAATGTTATATGTATAGTATTAATTAATTAATAATAAAAATCAAAACTTACGTTAATGGTTTGGAAACAACAATAATCTCACAATCATTCTTATCAGCCCTGCCATCAACTATTGGAGCATAAGGTGCTGCTGGTGGGATAAACTTTTCCTGTGGAGGGGGTCCATTATAAAATGGGGGCTCATCTCTAAAAGGTTTATTTTGAAAGTTTTTCCTTCCACCCCCATGATGTGGTGGAGGTCGGTTAAGGTTCGGCTGATTTCTATTAAACTTGTCCTTATTTTTATCATTATTATCATGGTTATCTCCCCAGGACTCACGCTGCTGACTTGGCGTCTTAATGTAGGGGGGTTCTTCTTCTTCTTCTGCCTCAATTTTGTTTTCCTGTTGAGGTGGAGGTTCGATAACAATTGTTTTTTTGGGTTCCTGGATTTGTGGAGGCTTTTGCTGCTGATTCGGGGGTTTTTGATTCTGAAAGTTTGGTTTGGGGCCTTGTTGAAAGTTCTGTTTCGGGGGACCTTGTTGAAAGTTTGGTTTGGGGCCTGGTTGAAAGCTTGGTTTGGGGCTTTGTTGGAAGCTGGTGTTTGGTTTTTGTTGAAAATTTGTATTGGGACCTTGGAAGCTTGAGTTGGGTCCTTGTTGAAAGTTTGTGTTGCGTTGTGGGGGTCCTGACGGTCCTTGTTGTTGGTTGTTGCCACCCCTTCTATCGGAAGCCTGTCTCACAACTATTTTTTGCCCATTCAATATCGAACCATTTTCCATTTGTATGGCTTTATGGGCCTCGTGGTCTTGCTCATATTGAATAAAAGCAAAACCAGTATGCAGCAGCAACCCTAAAATTTTACCGTGCCCTATAAATTTCGCTTCCAAGTCGTCTGCTACAATGGTTTTTGGTAGTTGTCCAACGTAAATTCTTGACGAGTTAGTCGCCGGGTTTTTCATAAATTGTTTATCAGTTCTATACATTTTTAAATATTTGCAATTGCACAATTGGGCAAAAACAATTTCTTCGTTTCTAAGTTCACTTCTTTAGTGAAATATTTACGCTTCCAATAAATAAAACATTTCTTAACCTTAATAAATAAATTTACGGACGCCTAGCAAATTAGGTTGGCAGCCATTATTCACGGTGAAAATCTATTGCCAACAGTACAAAGTTTGTACTACAAACAAACAACTTGAAGGCCAACGTTGCCAAGCAACGCGATTCTTGTTTTTCTAAATTTTCCTCTTCCGTGTAAGGTTATTTTTTATTTGGACTTATTTGACATGTTTTTTATGACGTGTCCAATGTTTATGGATTCAAGAAATGGGGAAATTTTGTGTCAACAACAGCGCGCTTGTACGTTTGGCAACGGTGCAGAATATTTCCCGCTTATTTTTACCTGTCATTTCATCGCAGTCTGCGATTCGCAGATAACCGGTTTTGTCTTTGTGTTAGTTTTTTGCTTGTTTCTTAACTTTGTGGTCGTTTGTTTGGTCTGAAAAAGAAAACCACAGACTATAAGAAAATCTAGAAGGTCAGAAACAAGTTTGTTATTTGTTTGTGGCTGTGTCTGTTGCGTCCAATAGTTTGTTGAAAGTTTTATATTTTTTGAAAGTGCCAACGCCCAGTAAGTCTGCTTTCTTATAATTTCCATTTTCAATAATAGTGCCAAATCTACAATGCCTGTTTTCGATAACAACCGAGAAATTGATTTTGAAATAGTATTTTTTGATCTCGAGACTGGAGGGTTTGCATATGAAGACGATATTCTTCAGATTGGACTTCGATACCAAGAAAAGTGGGAAGGAATTTACGTCACGCCGACGAAACGAATTTCTCCGTCTGCTTCTGAAGTTCATAATTTAACCAACATCGGCGAAGAATTATTTTTTCATGGTATACAAATACCATCAGTGCCACTTCAAGCGGCTTTGAAAAAAACTTTGGATTTTCTTTTGACAACAAACAAGCCGTGCGTTTTGGTAGCCCACAACGTGAATTTCGATAGTACCCGTTTGATTAATGCATTACTAAAAACCGGCCAAATTGAGGAATTCAGCAAAATTATATTTGGGTTTGTTGATACCTTGCCGCTTTTTAGAAACATGTTGAATCGCCAAAATAATTGTAGTCTTGGCTTTCTTGCAAAAGAAGCAAATATTAAAGCATGCGGTGCTCACGACGCTCTAGCAGATGTTTTAATTTTGCAAAAATTGATTAAGCACCACCAAATTTCCGATGAACAGCTTCTAAGCCAAGTTAGCCAATTTAATTATGAGGTTTCAAAACAAATTGCTAAAAACCATGCACGGATGATTTTAAAAACACTGTCTCCACTTGAGGGTACAGTCTCTGAAGGAATGATGAACAAAATGGCCGCTGCAGGGATTGATTTTCCGACAATAATTGATACATATATCACTTTAGGGGAGGACGGAATTTATATGTTGTTTACAGAACTTGTTACAGAAAAACCCCGGGTGACTAAATCCAGAAGAATTATAAATTCTGTTACTTCGTTCCTGCAAAATATAATTACCTAGTGGTGTTTGAGGGTTTAGGTGTTTTAGTTAGTTGGGTGCTTTTAAGATGATCTTTAAATGTAGGTATCATACCTATTTAGTTGTTAGGTTTAGACATTTTTTTTATTTTTTTTTTTATCTCTGTGACTCTTTCTATGGTACGAATTGCAGAACTATTAGATATATTTTTATAATATTATTGGGTTTAGTTAAGTTAGGTGAGTTTTTGACGACTTTTGATGTATAATTTTGTCTATTGGATAAAAGTTTTAACGAAAGAAGAGATACAAGGATTTAGAAGACATCACTTTCATTTATGAAGATTTTGTTGATAATGTTTCTTCATTTAAAGAAAATATCCATCTGGCATCAACTCCAGAGCCTACTTCACTGCTTGTTTTTGACATGCAGCTTCTCCTCTGTTTGATGGGTCCCATTAAGTGGCGTACCTACTACTGGTTTTCCGTTTACTAAAACAAACTAACTGCTTGTTCCAGATCCAGGTAATTATTTTTGTTAATTTTTTTACACGCTTTATGTCATCTTCACTTTTAACAAGCTAACAATGTCCAATATTCCAAAAAAACCCAGAAAACGATAAGGTAAGTGACGTCATAGTAAATCCAATATGGCGGCCGCCCCAAGATGTTGAATTACCTATTTCTTCACAACAACCTTGACTTTGGTATCAAATAAAAGGGTTTGACGATAAGAAAACGAGTGACGTCATACCAAATCCAATATGGCGACAAATGAAAAGGTTCGTCAAGCAGAATACGTGACGTCATTCTAATTCCAATATGGCGGATGTAACTAACAAACTAACCTAATTTTAAGACTTAAAATTAAAAATAAATAAAGTTAATTACATTATTTTATATTTTTTGTGCGTTAAAGCGTGTTTCTAGTTTTTTTTTATCTTTTATTAATTATCTAAAAACAATATTGGAATACGTTCCAGATAATATATAAAAGTTAAAAAACTAAAAACTTACTGTGAGTTTTTTTTAATAAAAAAGCAGAATAATAATTTATTTAGGTTTTAATCTGCTAATATTTTACATTTATATTTAAAAATATATATCTAATTTGTTTTTAATTTGTTATAGGAAATAACCCCATGGCTGGTTTAATCTGCATTTTACAACTAACAAAAGACCTTTTAACTTATGGTCTTGGCTTAGAGCTATCTGACCAATCAATCTTAAATTTTCTTTCAAAACGATTCCTCTTTTATGTACAAAGTGTTCAACCACGGGCAACATAACCTTCAAATATAATAACCCCTTCTGCATGTACCAATCACCAATGGAATCATTTTATAATTGTCATTTAGAAATTATGCGAGACCTTCTTGCAGAAGTCCATAACAACAACAGAACTTTGCTTTATTGCATAAGCCATCTGGAAAACACTCAGTTACAAAAGCATTTGCACATGGGACTACAAAAACACTATTGAGGTGAAAATTTTACCCACAATTCACATAACAAGGTCTGTTCTAACTCGTACTACTATACTACACTACACTACACTGAGTTTAACGGCGGCCATTTTTGTTGTTTACAATTGTATTTAAAAATATATAATTTTTTAAATTTTTTATAGGAAATAAACCTATGGGTTGGTTTAATCTGCATTTTACAACTTACAAAAGAAGCTTAGGGCTATCCGACCAAGTAATCTCGAATTTTAATTTTCCTTTAAAACGATTCCGTTTTTATGTACCAAGTGTTCAACCGCGTGCAACATAACCTTCAAATATAATAACCCCATGTAAAATATCACTAACCAAAGGAATCATTTTATAATTGTCGTTTAGAAATTATCCGAGGCCTTCTTCCAGATCTTCAAAAAGTCCATAACAACAACAGAACTTTGCTTCATTCCATAAGCCATTTGGAAAAACACTTAGTTAAGAAATGGGACTACAAAAACAACATTAAGGTGAACAATTAACCTTTAAAAAAGGACGGAGTTTTTGTGTCCAAGAGTATACATTCATTAATTTATTTATTTAAGCTTTACTATAATTCATCTATTTCTTACTATACTTTTTAAAATGTAGTTCTTAGTTTTATTTTTTCTCTGCTTTTAGTTTTATTAAATGCTTAGTAATTTACTTTTTATACATTTTAGTACTTTATTGTTTAGATTTAATGTAGTTGTGCACCTTCTCTGACTAAACATTTTATACCTACCTTTACCTAACTTTATTGGGCATTTTTTGTGGTCATTTTAAAACATTAGTGTGGTACAAAATGGTTGGGTACTAAATTTTTCTTGTTTGTAAACGTTAAATTAAATTAAATTGGAGTAAATTAAGACACTGTTTTTTATTTTTTGTATACCTAAATCTCACATGTATTGTTATACTAAAGCAACGTATTTAATATTAATGAAACAACTTGTTTCAAACAAGTAAGTATACATAGGTTATAAGTAGTACCGCGATACACTGTTATACAAAAGGAAAGTTATTTATACCAAGGTCAGTGTTTCTTACATAAAGATCACATATTGTAACTCAAAATAAAGACAATACAAAATATTAAAAATTAAGATGTAATGTAATTCAGTGTATATGATGAACGCGAGATGGAAACTCAGTGTACGCGTCTCCAACGTATTAAACCCAAATAATGAAATAGTGATCCAATAAAACTTACCAAAAATCACTCGCCATTTATACATATTAAAATGATTAGGACCTAATAAACTAGCAATGAAAAACGAGATAGACCAAGATGCGAATTTAATAATGTTTAAAATTATGAGCAAAAATATATTAAGAAAATCCAAAACAAGTAGCACTAGCAAAAATTACAATTTATAAAAGTGTACATACCTAATTATAGCAGAAAATCGGTTACAAACACAATAATTATACCTACTCGTAATATAATTTCAAAAAATTTTTTACAGGCGTATCGTATGACGGTCTAGACCTTTCTGCCCTTTCTTTTAATTCTATATTTTAAACATCTCAGCCACTTTAAAGAAGAATGTGAAACATAAACAAATCCCACTAACATTTCTACGTTTAAATACGAAGAAGTGAAATTTTAAAACTGAATTTGTTTTTAAAACATAAAATAACTATAATCATTGATTAATTCACTCAACACTATAATATTAATTTTAGTAGATTATTTAAAATTTCCTTGGTTAAAACAGCGCCAAATTTGATTTTAAAACCTTACATAAAGATCACATATTGTATATATATGCTCCTGCGGCCGCGCGCGGTTTAGGAATCCAATAAGAATGTCTGAGTTCTTGCTCAATAGGTACTTAATTAATTAAATTATAGTAAGTTTTTTATTCTTAAAAATAAATCATCAATATGGAAATTAAATTCCCCCTAAATTAGTCTAATTATAAATTTTCATCAATAATTATTGATGAAAAATACAAGTAATAATAGATTTTAAAAATTCGCTTCCAAACTCGAAAAATAAATGGCGTCTAAAAAAAAAACGTAACTTAAAAAAAATATTGTCTTGGAATCAGTGCTTTAAAAATTGTGTACTAAATTTTGAAGAAATTCTATGGAAACAGTTTTTTTATAGCTGAATTTTTCAACAATGGAAACATGTTAAGTTAAGGAGGATAAACAAATAAAATCACAAAACTTGTTGAAGTTATATTTAAATTACATTATGTATACAAAATTTAGTTAATTCAATATTCAATAAATAATAGTAACCAGATTCTACAATTGTAATACTAATAAAAAAAGAAAGGTTCCTAAAAAATAATAACAATTTAATTTTTTCACTTAAATTACAAAAATAGCAACTCAACAATTGAGAAACATTAACCTTATACCTAATTTAACGCAATTTGGATACAGGAATTAATAGAAACACAATAACGAAGAGCTTATTATTGCAGAAAAAATCATAACTACAAATTTGAATTGATTAAGAAAGTCTCACATTATCGTCGATTAGAAAATTTGAAAAATATAATAATAACCCATGAAACCTCAAAGCCTCCGTTTGACAGAATCAGTTTTTATGTTTTTTTTTTACTTTCTATTAAAAAGTCATGTTAGCTTGGAACGACGCAATTGTTGCAAGTAATTACGCTGCACTGGCTTGTGCAAAGCAAGCTGCTCCAACGCCTCCTCGATGGTGAACCACTGACGCTTTCTCCCTATCGTCTTCGAGTCTTCCCACTCCTCCAGCTCTTCCGTCACCGTCATCACGTACACTTCGGTCCTATCCTTGTGTTCCAAATTCTTAAAAATACGCCCAAAAATGCCTTTAAGACCAGTCATTTTAGTTTTTTTCGGTAGGCTTGTTCAACCGGGGATTTGGACGTCAGAAACGCAATGCCGAAATTCGGTCGCGATTTTACTATTGCGCGCGTGACCCTAACGTCTAAATTCTCGGTAGAAGAACAAACATATGTATTAAGAAGCTTCGGGCAATATGATATGGCACGCCGTTGTAACATTTATTAAATAACACTAGGCAACAAATTTTAACTTAAAAAAAGGTCCTGGTTAAAAATAGAATTTTTCGATTGTTTATGACTGAAATAGATCCAAAATGTTTTTAAAAAAAATTTCTGAAGTCGTAAATAAAAAATAGGAGCACAGTATTTTGGTACCATTTATTGCATAGATACACCATTTGAAAATTTTAGGATGACGTTACTTTTAACTTATATTTCAGCATTCCATGAACAACATATCTGTACATATTGTAAAAATTTAAGGCATATTTTTTTTATGTTTACTGTTTTTTATCGTTCAAATTATTTTATTTACTAATTTTTATGGTTATTATTTAACAATTTTCTTTGTATCATGGTCCTGCCCGTATCGTCTAAACGAGACTTCGGAAAATTTTTTGGGCGCCGGATTTGCCTCGAGCAGGTCAAAATCTATAGGACTAAGCTATTTTAATTACCGACCTTTTTTTATTGTTTACTAGTGTAATTTTTTAATTTAAAATTTTATTGGTTTAAAATTTTCCTTACTAAAAACTATAGTTTTACATTTATAAATTTATAATATTTTCAACTATCATGTATTGAAATACAAAATTTACTAACCAACAGTTCACTTCTCTATTAAACAATATTATTTTCTATCAATTTTTGCAAAAATTTCTAACTATCATTTTTTAATAAAAATAATTTCCAAAGTATAATTTATTTGGGTGGCATTTTGTTTACTTAAATAAATATTTTATAAATTTATTGAGATAAATTTTTTAGTATTTAAAAATAGTATCAAGCCACTTAAAATAAAAACACATATAAAACATTTTCTACCAAAATAGTTTAAAAAGTTAAATTTTTGTCAACTCAAAACTATTGATAATCAAAAAATATTTTAAATATAAAATGCAACTGTAAAAGTTTTAGTTTAAAAATATTAATTTTTAAAAAATGGAATTTTAATATTTTATTCTTCAAAATTATTGGTTTGAATTTGTAAAGTCATTTAAATGATAGTCGATAAATTTTTAATACAAAAATTTGAACATTACATTTAAATGTTAGTTTTAAATTTTAAAGTGGTAATTTTTGCATTAAAAATTTATCGACTATCATTTAAATGACTCTTTACAAATTTAAACCAATAACTTTTATTTTTAACAATTTTAAATTGATACATTTTTAAGACAAAATTCATAACTTTACATTTAAATGTAAGTCGATAATTTTTAAATTACAAAGTGTAAACGTACCTTTAGTAGAAGGCACAAGAGTCTGGGATCGGAGCCACGATGCAGCCAGTTTGATACGCAGTGTTGCCAAATCGTGCTTGCTCCATAAATATTTGACAAATTATCGTAATGAAATGTTTCTTTATTACATAAATTTAATAATAGAACAAAAACATTTTTAGTGCATATTGTACTAAGTTAATTCGACAATTAAAAAACATCAACGGATCAAACTGGCTGCATCGTGGCTCCGATCCCAGACTCTTGTGCCTTCTACTAAAGCAACGTTTACACTTTGTAATTTAAAAATTATCGGCTTACATTTAAATGTAAAGTTATAAATTTTGTCTTAAAAATATATCACTTTAAAATTGTTAAAAATAAAAAATGTTGGTTTAAATTTGTAAAGAGTCATTTTTAATCCAAAAATTACTACTTTAAAATTTAAAACTTACATTTAACGTAATGTGAGAATTTTTGTATTAAAAATGTATCAACTATCATTTAAATGACTGAAAATTTAAACCAATAATTTTGTAGAATAAAATATTGCAACCAAATCTTTTAAAAATCAATATTTTTAAACATAAATTTTTACTGTTGCATTTTATATTTAAAATATTTTTTGACCATCAATTGTTTTGAGTTTAAAAAAATATAACTTTATAAATTTCTGTTAAAACATAATTTAAGTGCTAAACTTTAATCTTTAAACTTTTATCTTATAAACGCTAAAACGGCGTGCCATACTTATTTACTTCATTAAGTAGATAATTAAATGATTTTAAAAATAAATAAATAAAATCTAAAATCTGTCAAATGATTAACCTCACTTTTTACCAATTTTAAATGTTATTATAGTCGCCTTCTCCCAAATTAAAACCCGATTGGTTCAAATCAAAATGAATATTGAAACCGCCCAATCACTAACAACGTGAATAATGAGTTCATTATTCGTTGTAAGGGAGAGAGTTTATAATGTTTAACATTATTTACGAACAAAAACAATATTATGCAATAGGAGTAGATAATAGTATATTAATATAATATAATTATGTATCAAGTTTGATTAACGTCATTTTGGGAATAAATTTAATTTAACTTAATTAAATTAGTTTCTAGAAAAGTTTATAAATAAGTTGCATACTATACTTTTCTTACGAAAAATTATTTCTAAAAATGATTTAAATTAAATATTTGTATAAAGCGACATCTATAAAACAATAGAGAAACCAACTTGGGAATCTCAAATGTCAAATTTATGAGTTGCTTTAAAAAAGTTTTTGAGGACCAGAAAACGCATTTTACGATAAAATTGAGATTAAAAAAGTCCTCGTACAAAAAATCTTGAAAATACGAAAAATGACAAATAATTAATTTTGTAAAATAGTCGATATCTTATCGCCAAAAGTGCAAATTTAAATTAGAAATTTTTTAGTAGAGAAATGTTTTTAGGGCATTAAAATTAAAATTGATGTAATTGAAAGGGTTTAAAACATATTTTTGCAATAAAATTTAAATTACTTTGAAAAATAATTAATTCTGTAAACATGTATTTTTAAACTATAGGTAAAACTGATATTATGAATAGAATCGCGTTAAACACGTTTTTTAGAACAAGAAAACACATTTTTAATATAAAAAATCTTGAAAATACTTATAATATGCTGTTTAGGCTGTTATTTACGCGACTGGAGCCCACTAAATGACTTTTACAAAGTTTCTGTACAATTGTGGTTTTTGAGTAAAAACTATTAAAGTTGCCATGGGCAACTTGCCAAAGGATACTTTAAATGTCATATTTTAACAGATGGCGCTGACTATCGTATAACGAAACCGCGCATGTCAGACTTGACGTTTTAAATGTCAAATAAAACGTCAAATTCCTATTGGGGTGTAAGCAACGCAAAAAAAGGTGGATATAAAGGTTTAATTACTTCAAAAACGCCCAGGCTGCGTCCCAGTTTGCCTACGACACCGGCTTCTTCCAAGACTTCCCTTGTGGCAGTGACACTGGGCTCTTCTTCCGGTTCGACACCTCCACCGGGCACTATCCATTTTTCTGGTTTTCGAGAAGATGTTACCAGTAGTACCTGTATAGAATGCAAGAAAATAACACAGAACTGAATTGGTGATTTTAAGAAAGTCAATTAAATATGTATATTTATGCTATGTATGAAAATAATGTAAAGAAAAAAAATTGCGTATGTTTTTGAGAAAATTAAGGAAATAAGTACAATTAGAGCAAAGTTAAGTAATAAAAATCGAGATAACTAAATATTTGCAAAAACGGGGGCAATGACCGGCTCGCGAGTCTGAAAACGTGCAAAAATGATATTACGGGATGTAATCATTTGAAATTGGTTTTTACCTCGGTTTCGGCCTCTGATCTGACACATATGCAGGCTGCACGCCGCCTGAACCCTTCTTCGTCGTAGATACGGATGGAATTTGGTTTTTCTTTGACCATTATGGGTTCAAATCAAAATCGAACTAAATATAATATACAAATACGAGTAAAACAAACTAATTGGGACGATTAACACTTTACTGAACAGCCATAGCCGCTAAAAATTAAATTATCACACTTTTTTTCTACACCACGATTTATCCATTTTCATCTAACCGAATCAGAACATTTACACAAAACTATGAAACACTCTCAATTAAAAATATCGAAATTGGTAGCCAAGAGCTATCTGTCCAACGACAAATTATAACCCATAATTCAGGTCGGTCTTTTTCATTTCTTTTCAGACGATTCTTCAAATTTGCCTTTCAACAATTTTCACAGCTGTCAGCTGTAACTTGCGGCAACTTCTCGACGTTGCCGTTCTAGCTTTTTTTGACTTTCACAGGTTGTTTTTAGCGCCAATTTTAACTTTTCAAATTAGAAACTGCAACTGGTTTTATCAACGTCATTTAATACGACGAGCTGAGAGAGTTTTTAATAAACGAATGATCTTGAAAAGTACATACGATAACGAACGCAAAGTAATGTTTTTTCAGGATTAAAAAGTCAATTTTATTTTACATTTTTTGACTTTTGACAACTGTCAAGCTTTTCTTAATCTGACATCTGTCAAACAGTTTTAATCTTACTTTTTTATATTATAATGAACTAGGGTAACTTTAAAAATTGGTGTTTGAATGTAGGAGTAGAGAAAGCAATACAATCTAGCTATCTTCCATTGATAGGTATTCTTAAAGCGTTGAGTAAAGATTTATTAATTATTAGTGCTTAAAGCATGCTGCAGTTATATCTGGTGTTATTTGGTTAAACTGACAAACCCCTAGGTTTTAGAAAAAAAATCTTTATTGAAAATTTACATTTTCAATAAAAATAATGTATTATGTTGTAATCTTACGTTGTATGTATTTACATAAGGATTAATAAATACGTTATTTATTTTATTTATTAATGAAATAGTCTCTAATTAGACATAATTTTTTGCAATATAAAAAGTGGTGTAAACTTGACAACACCGCCACAATTTATCGAAATATACGATGTGAGCCAAAGAACACCATGTTTAACTTTGATTACATTTAAAATAACAATTTTAAGATGAATTATGCTGTAAATGCAGCGTTGTTCGCTTCGATAACGATTTTGCCTGTAATCGTCGAGAGAATCTTGAAGCAAAACCACAAGAAGAAATTAATAGAACTAAAATCGGAGAAAAACGATTATTACCACGAGATTGTGTTCATTAACATGAAAAACTTCGATTGCAGATTGCATCTGATTAAGAGATACGAGTGCGGTGATTTCTGTTCTGCAGTTCACTACAAAAGGTTTAAAAACTTTATGTTATCGGCTAAGAAATCGATTTCGATTTGCATGTATATGATGACTTTCGAAGAGATTGCTGAATTGCTGATTAGAGCCCACATTAGAGGGATCAAGGTGAGAGTATTGATGGACTTAATTATGTCTGAAACGAAGGAGAGCAAATATACGTTTCTGAAAAAAGCAGGTAGCTACGATAAATAACTGGCTGAATTTCAGATAACAAGACAATTCTGGATATTTTTTGTCAGAGAGTTTTTTAATCTTGTGTACTGTGCTCCACATCAAAAAGTCCCACTTTGACATTTGAGTAAGGAATGCTGTCAGTAGTAGAGGTTATGTATCTGTCAGTTCAACGCTAATTTCGTATTATCTTCAGAAAATAAGACGAAATTGGCGTTAAACTGACAAATACATAACCTCAATTATTTGACTACATTCCTTATAAAAATGTCAAATATTACATCGGGTAAATTTTTTATAGTGTGTGAATCACACAGTGATATTTTGGCCAGTTTAAAGGAAAACTAAAATTGTCTATTATGTGAAATTAATTCAACTATAAGTACAGGGTGCTATGTAAAACTTTGGTAATTCTAGGAGATATCCTTAATCAGTATATTATTTGCATGAATAACAAAAAATCGTATAATTGAGGTTAGGTATGTGTTCCTTTCAGTGAAATTGAGGTTGGGTATCTGTCAATTTCAGTAGATTTGAGGTTAGGTATCTGTCACTTTCAGTGATTATCATGACGCGTCAATAGCATTTAAAGAGTAATAAATAAATTACAGTAGGCCATGACAGCAAATTCGGCGGTGCCAATTTAGTAAAAATAAAACTTTATATTTTAATTAACAAATTAATACTTTCTTACAAAATAAACTAAAGTTAAAAACTAAAAACAACATAGAAAGTAAACAAGATACATTATAAATCTTTAATTTGTTGTTATAAAGGCAAAATTAAGGTTTAAAACTGTCATATTTTTGTGTTTCTTCAGTTGACAGCACGAAATTTGAAATGATAATTTAAAAAGTTCAAAAAAAATATTTTCTTGAAATTTGTGTTAAAATCATTTGTAAATGGGTCTATTGCCTTACAAAATCATATATTAAATTTTGAAGACATTCTATAAGAAATTTTCAAATGGTAACTTAAACCAATAAAGGGTAAGCAAAAGTTGTTTCAAATAATTTACTGATATCCTAGAATCTCCAATATTTTGTTGTTTTTACTTTTTTTTTCAGGCATACCTATCAAATGTGGGGCAAAAATGGAAATGATGCACCATAAATTTTGTTTGCTGGATGAGGAAGATTCAAACCTGGGTAAAATAATGTTTGGATCCTTAAACCTAACCAATCAAGCATTTTCACGAAATTTTGATATGACTGTTTATTCCAACAACTCAAATATTATTAGTAGGTTCAGCGATGAATTTGAAGATTTGTGGAGTTATTTGTGATATTTTGTAAGTAAGGCAAATATTTTTTGGAATATATTTTCAAAAAAAAAAGTTGTATTTATGTACATGATCTTAGAATTAGTTCAAACGTAATAAACCAAATTGAGTGCAATTTTATTCTTCTAGATCTAGATTTTCGATTTCATCGTCCAGTGCGTCTAAATCTTCATCGAGGAAAAGGTTTTCATTAATAGGTACCGCAGAACTTTCTGCGTTATCCGATCCTGGCACTTCTGCCGGGGGCGTTTCTTCTTTTTTGAATCTATCTTCAGTTGCCATGGTACCACTTCCATCCACCTGTAAAAAAATTTGTTAGCTATAGAATACTCCAAAAAATCGAATATTACCTCTTGTGCTTCTTCCCCTAAAATATCAAGATTAATTTCCTTGTACACAATGTCCTCTTCTTCATCTTCATCCCTGTATTTGGAAGAATTGATGGCTTCATCACCATCCTCCAAGTCATATTCGGTGGCCATTTCAGGGTTGAAACTGAACATTTCCCTGCCAGAAAGCCCGACCTGTCTTCCAGCCTTAAAATCGCTTCTCTTCTTGTCTTCTTCCTTCTTCAGATTGTCTTTCTTTTCCTGAATCTTCCTCTTCTTCCAGGCAATAAAGCTTTCCAAAGTGACCTTAGTTTGATGGGGTCCCAAAGCGGCTCTCTCCTTTTCAATCAAGTCCTCTAGAGTCACCTTGTCCCTCTGTTCCTCCATTCTCTTCTTATCCTTTTTGAGAACAAAACCGGGCGGTAAAGCGTGCCTGTAGAAGCAGCTCTCGCCAGATGGACACGACCAGAACCAACCGTAATTCGATTTTTCAACAGCCTCCAAGAAATGCTTGCAAATAATATCCGTTGTAGGTTTATTTCCGCCTTTAGCGCCGTGCTTTTTCACGATCACTTCCTTAAGTTTTTCTTCATCCCAGTTCTCCATCGTTTCATCCTCATCATTCCTCATATCAAAGTACAAAGATCTCTTTTCAGCCTTACGTTCTATTGTCAAGTCATGGGAGAATTTACACTTATCACCTTTACCACACTGGCCATTCTTAAAGAAGGCACACAAGATTGATTTTGGGTCAGCACCTTTTTCAACTTTCTGGGTTTGCACTGGTTTAAATAGGGAAGCTAGTTCCTTTTGCTCCTTAAGTTTCTTTTCCTTTTCTAGTTTTTTCGGATCTACAGTACCAAGTGGATGTAGACCGCCAGTTTTTACTTGTTTCTCCACTTGCTGTATGAACTTTTGCTGTTTGGCTCCTTTTTTGTTCTTCAAACCAAAAGTTTTGTCCTACAAACAAAAAATAAATATGCAATCAATCAAAAATGTATATGCCAGATTTTAAATTACCTCAATAACTTTTTCTTTCTTTTTTGTTTCGGTTTTCTTACTGGGAGCCCCAGGTTTAGGTTTTGGCGGCATTATTAGATCTTAATTAATAATAAATTACGGTAATTAAAAGTAAATTAAATAGGTATCCAGTACTTTTTACGATAAAAAGAAATTCCACATGGAACAGAAAAGATTTTTGACATCTGTCGGCAATTAAGGAAGTTTGCCACAGTTTTTTCAGTGGTGCCAACGGTGATGAATTCTTTTTGTAAGTTTGTTTTACTATAAAATTAATAATCACTTATCGTGTTTTTTGTTTCGGAAATTATTAAGCTTACATTAAATCGTACATACTATTATCAAACTCCTAATTTTTTGTTATATAATCCATTTTTTTGGTGATTTTTTTCTCTATTGGTACAAATACAAAAACAATGAATTTTAAAATGGCCGTTGACACTTGAAGTCGTATGTCAAAGTTCTATCTATGTGTCAAGTAAATTATAAATAATCAAGGTTTTAAAGCCACCAACGCGAAATTTAACTGAAACATACGATTTTAAATTAATTGATGTGTCCCTGAATGTAATAATGTTTGGCCTGTGAAAGAAAATAACAATTTAGGCAGGATGATTGTTCAAGAGCCAGTTCAGGCGAGTTCTGTTTAACCCAGATTATTTGTTGTTATTTACATAATTTTTGGGTTTTAGGCTGCCATTTGGCATTGTTTAAATCATTATGATTACTCAGATGCGATATTTTTATCCGAAAGACTATATGCTGAAGGTAGTTTTTAGAGAATTTTTCTTTTTAATTTTTGTTTAATAAACTTAGAAAAATAACGTACCAATCTGAAATTTTACTGTTTTTTAATAAAGCTTATTTAAAATAGGATTAGGATTTGTTTAAATTATGAATTTTTTTTTTTTAATTTTTAAATTTATGGTTTTAATTTTAGTGAAAACTGATGAAAGCCTGTTTTTGTTGGCCACCTCATACTATAGAAATGGTCAAAAAAAACATGCTTATCACACTTTAAAGGACAGAACAGGAAGTTCATCACAATGTAGATATTTATTGGGATCATGTGCATACGATCTAGAAAAGTAAGTTGTGTTTAATTAAAATTTATTTTAAGGGTGTATTTCATTTATTTCTGAATTAAAACCATTTTAGATATGCGGAGGCGGAAAGTGCGTTAATAGAAAGTGATATTTCGAGTAGTTTGGACGATATAGCTGCAGAATATGGAGAACAGGCTTCTTTTGTGTTGTTGCTCTTAGGTAAAATAGCTGCCAAAACGGAACGTAAAACCAGAGCCAGCCAGGCGTGGAAAAAAGCTTTAAAATTAAATCCATTTTTGTGGTCTAGTTTTGAACATTTGTGTAATATTGGGGAAAGACTGAATCCATATGCTGTGTTCGAAGTGAATAGTTTGGAAAATATGTCAATGTGCCATGGTAGCAGCATCAATAACATCGAAAGCTTGATAATAAATACAACACCAAATCAGGAGGTGTCTGAGGCTTACTTTACCACCCCGCAACAGATTTTAAACAAGTTCAATCCAAACCTGAACAAAAACACCACAAATTCTAAGTTGTGCACCCCAGATGAGAGCCCCCTCGCCAACCCTCTTACTTTATCGGGGATCATGCCCACTGCCCCCAAAACTCTCAGGATCAGAAAGGAGCTCTCTTATTTGGTAAGTATGCAATATTTGATCACCGTAGAGCCTCTGTTAATGTCAATTTTTTTGGTGTTTGTAAAATATTTCAAGTAGCACAATTACTAAAAAATATATTAATTTTGTAAATAAGATAAAGTTTTTTTAAACTTGTTTTTGAAGTAATTACCTAGTTGGTACAACCACTGACATTTTTTAAAGTAAAAAATAACTTTAAATTAAACTGTTTTTTTAGTACAATTTTAGTGCAATTTAACTATTAAAACAAATTGGTAATATAACCTATGAGTTAAATATATTTTTTTTTATTGGCAATTATAACCAATGAAAATGGTTAGAGTAGTTATTTTTTTTAGATATACACTACGCGTCAAAATTAACGCATAACAAGTAAAAAAAATCCAACTCTAAAACGCCAATCTACCAATCTTTATAAAATGTTGGATAAAAATACTTTAACTTATATCTCAGTTTACGTGTTCAAGGGTTTTTCGAGAAAATATCCTTAAAGCCCTTTTATTTAATAATAAAATACGTTCGAAAAAAAACTTTTATAGGAAAATTTTTTTTTAAGTAAAAAAAAAATATCCTGTGAAAGACCGTATTTTTGTTAGTAAACCCTGAAAATGTTGTACGAATCAAACGAACAGTAACGAAAATACAGCGCTTTAAAGTCGTCAAAAATGACCATTTTTCAGCAAAATAATCAAAAAGGGGTAATTTTTACCCACTTTGAAGCGCTGTATCTTTGTTACTGTTTGTTTGATTTGTACAAAATTTTTAGGGTATACCAACAAAAATACGGTCTTTAACACCATATTTTTAATTTACTTAAAAAAAATCTCAAAGGTATTTTTAGAACGTTTTTTTTATTATTATATAAAGGGCTTTAAAAATATTTTGTTGAAAAAACCTTGAACACGTAAACTAAGATATAAGTTGAAGTATTTTTATATAAAATTTCATAAAGATTGGTAAAGGAGTTTTATACTTTATAATTTTGACAAGAAGTGTATTTTGGTTTAATTTAACTTTTGATATATAGTTGGTTTCGATTCTAAAAAAAAATAATTATTAAAAAAAACTTAAAAACATGGATATTACGTGCTACTTTATCAGAAAGAAAAAAAAAATTGCCATTGGTTTTTCTGATAAAACCACTATATGACATGACATCTATTTCTTTAAAAGGATTACTTAATTTTTGTGTGGGAAGCAATGCAAATTATAAAAAAAACTAGAAAACGATTCTGGTAACTTTTTGTAGATTAACTTTGTACTTTAAGCATTTACCTACCACCATTGTGCCGCCGAAAATTTTTCTATAACTGTAGCTTTTTAAAACTTATTTGCTTTTGACAGTATTTGCAAACGACTTTACTTTTATTGCGGGATTCTAAAACTTCAGTCCATTCTGTAGAACTCTTCCTACCGCTACCTTTAGGCATCTTTCTTAAAAAAAGGTTTTCAATTAAAAATCTCGAAGAAATTTACTAGTTTAAATCATGCTGCAGTTGTTTGATCGTTTTTTGTATTCTAATACAATGTTATTAGTAGGGATGGGATTTTAGTTATTTTACCTTTTTTTAACTATTTGAAAACCAATAATGCCAAAATGTGTTTTAAAAGATTTTCTTTTATATGAACCTAACTTGTTTTCACCTTTTTTACCTTTTTTGGAGGTTTTTGCTTTTAACTACCTTTTTTATACTTTTGTTATCTATTTTTTAAACTTTTTTTCACCTTTTTTACCTTTTTTGGAGGTTTTTGCTTTAAACTACCTTTTTATACTTTTGTTACATATTTTTTAATTTGTCAGTTTATTTTCATATATTTGTTACCTATTTTTACGTATTTTTACTTATTTTATTTTTTTTGTTCTTTTTAAAATTTGCGCCAATATAGAATATTTTCTTATGGTTACAGACTATAACAGTAACTTTCTTTACAGTTACCTTCTTTGTAGTGACTCACTACTAGTGAGTTCTGTCATAGAACTTCTGTGTAGTGAGTGTCACTCAGTAAAACACAGTTTATTGCATATAAATAGTTTATTGTGGGTATGTTCTGTGTTTGGGTATGCGGCTAAACAAAATTATAAACGAAACTTAACTTTTAATTTTTTTTTACCTAAAATGCTGTTTTTTTAACCTAAAATGTTTTTTTTAGTACCTTTTTAGTTACCTACCTATTTTTCAGTTTTTAGTACCTAAATATCCAATCCCTAGTTATTAGAATACAAAGAAACGATCAAACAAAACGCCATTTCAAAGTTCGGGTTTCCCCTCCGATCTGTATTCCACCTAGGGTTGGGAAAGTTTCAAACTTGAAATATTTCATTTAGTTGGAAAAGTGAAATTTTTAAAAATTTCAAATGAAATTTTCAATCCAAAAATTTCAACATTGCCTGTGAAAGTTTCAGAAATTTCATTGAAAGTTTCGCAATTTACTGAAAATTTCGCATAAATTTCACATGCGGCATCCCCTGGGACCTTTAATAATAATTTACAACAGATTCCGAATCGACCAATAAGAACGAGTTGTCAAGCGTCTGGGCGTTTTTGTTTAGTTCGGCTTGGATTTGAATACACTATAAGTAATTATTGTTACTTATATGCATAAATTAATTTAAATAATTTAATTCAGTTACCAATTTAAGTTGTAAATTAAATCATTAAATTTTTTTAAGTCATGATTAATTTAAACTTTTACTTTTGCTATAATTGCATCGGAAAACGGATAAAAAATGCCTTTGGCTCATAAAATTTTGATGAAGTTTCTTCAATTTTCGTAAAATTTCAGTAAAATATTTGAAAACAATAAATATATATAAATATAAAACAATGAAAGTGGCACAATCTCATTTGCTTACCAAAAAGTGCTATATCTCTTTTAGTTTTAGTAATTTTAAAAATGTTTTAAAAGGAAATCTCAAGAAGTTTGTGGTAAACATAGGTATTTACTATTTATATTATTGGTGCAGGGGCCCCTAGTGGGCTTATTTCAATATTAACACTTAAAGTGATTGAAATTTATTGAAAGTTTCAATAAATTTAAGATATTTTAATAATTTTCATAAATGTCATGAAAATTTCATGTGAAATTTTAAGTACAAGCAAAAAGTGAAACTTTCCCAACCCTAATTCCACTTAAATAGATTCTTATTTTATGGTTGACGAACGACCGCGAAAATAATTCGTAGTCTTTGTGAAAATACCTGAATTTTCTTTATCAACTATTCCTTTTTAAAAGTTGTTTTTTCAAATTAAAAAAAAAACAATAAAATCCACTTAAAAACCCAAAAAAGCCCAGTGGGTTGGGTTTTATTTATGTGTATCGTTTAGTGTCGTCGCAAACGTTTAAAGCATGAGATGTCGCTTTTCAGAGCCCCCGGCCCAGCTTCGGGCAGCTGTTCGACGGCGCGTCGGAGAATTCGGGGGGCGACGGGCAATCGCTGACGCCGAACCTGTTCTCGCTGCAGACGCTCACCGAATCGAACAGCCACCATCACACGTCGTCGCTGGCGAAGCGGATGCGCGCGCAGGTCGACAACCTGATCGGACGCAAGGAGGCGTCGTTGTTCCAGAACTGCAAGCCGAACGTGTTCAGCCATCAGTCTGGCAACGTCGCGAAGACGCCCACCATACCGTTGGCGGTGCAGCCCGGGCAGAACGTGAGGAGAAGGTAAGCAACTTGCGGACCACATGCCAAAAGTCTACAAACGTTAAAAAAAGTTTTAGCAACTTCACGAAAAAAACCTTATTAATATGAATATTATTTAATAATAAAACAATTAATATTAACATTTTGCTAAAATTTTAAATTTTTATGATTTTATTTAGAGGTTTGACTTCTAAGAACTTTTTCTGGAAAACCATATTTCCTTGTAAAGTCCAAGTTTTTGCGAAAAAAAGGGGCCAAAAGGCCATAACTTTGCTTGACCTAATAAAAAAAGCTTAAACAAGAACATAAAATGTCAAAATATTTCAAAAAAAAAATAAAATGTAAAAATATTAAAAAAAAGTGTAAAAATCTTAGGAGAAACAAAAAAACAAATTACATTTGTTTGATTGGATTAACAAAAAAAGTTAAAAACAAACTTAAAATGTGAAAAAAAACCCGAAAAGAAACGAACAAAAATCAAATTAAATTTTTTTCAATTCACATTTCAATGCAAACTGTGTGACAGCCCATTAGAGATGTATTAAGCAATATGGAAATTTATTTGGTTTTAGTATAGAAGTGGTTTTTACATAGTTTTTTATACAACAAAAAAAGTCTAATACATTTTTACAAAGGGGGCATTCTGGCCGTGGGGGATTAACGTATACCGGCGGACCAGAAATTACTTGTGGCCGTGTCGCATAACGTTAATGCGAAATTTCAATGGCAGTCTATCAGAAATGTATGTAGCAGTATATTTGGTTTTATTATAGAATTGATTTTTATATATTTTTGGATAAGGTAAAAAAAGTCTGATAAATTGTTCCAAAGAATTTTTATTTCAGGTTTGAAATATGTAATTTAAAAAAACATTGTAAATATAAGTTTACAATAAATAGGTCTAGTTCCTGGAATATATGACGGTTCCGTGTGACTAGGGGTGTCAATCCCGAGCCCATTTTCCAATCCCGGGCTTTTCGGGACCAAAGGTAACTAATCCCGGGATCCCGGGATCAGTCCCGAAAAAATATATATCATTAATTTTAAAACCAATTTAAAATAAAACAACAAACAAACTAACGAACGATATCTTTCGGACTTCACACTAGTCGGAAGGATGGTTTTCAAGAATTTGTAGGCACATTGTACCCTCGTTTACCCCCATTAACAAATAATTCAATTTCTTTTATCAATAACTTACTGTAACTTACATTGAAATTATCAAGTTTGTGACATTTTTTCAGGTTTGACGTTTGAAATATGTTATATTATAGGTTATGTACAGTGACCTGTAATTTTACATTTTCTTTGCTGATTTTATGCTATAGATGGAACCACTCTTGCTATGTTATTTCAATGTATTTTCATTATTGTACGGCAGTGTATAATAATTTGACTTGAACTAAGTAAAAAAATTAAGTGTTTATATATATGCTTATGAGTATTATAATATAAAAAATGTCATAGCTTAAAAAAAGTCTATTTTATTCTTTGTAACTTATTACTAAGATCCCGGGATTGGGACTTTTAATCTCGGGATTTTCGGGATCGAATTTTTTACGGGATCCCGGGATTGACACCCCTACGTGTGACCCCCCACTGGCCGGAACGGTGCGCGTTTTCGTTCAGGCCGTGGGGGATCAACGTGGTCCGTCATCAAAAATAGACGAAATTGGGCACAAATGTTATTAATTTCAATAAAACTAATAAAAATAAATAAATATTGACCAAAATGGATTCAAAATATCTAATAAAAAATGTTGGCCAAAAGGGACCACAAGCTGCATTTTCATTGTGGCACTCTACGTGTTAATACAGTTTCTAGAGAATTCCTTTCAAATTTCAAACACGTACAAAAAATATTTTCAAACATTTTTGTTCAAGTTCCCGGTTGTTCAGCAACAACTATTCCGTAAAGGAGAACAACAAATCCCCGAACCGAAACAAATTCGCGACGCCGAAGTCGCCGTCGCGCAAAACGAAGCAGCGCATAGCGAAGTGCAACCTGAACAAGAACCCGACCTACACCGAGCTGAACACGCGCAACAAAATGGAGAAGGAGAAGAGCGAGACGATCACGTCGGCCGAGACGAAGACGGAGAAGAGCTCGAACGCCGTCGGCGCGGAAACCTACGCGCATCAGGCGATCGCGATCCAGAAGCAGAGCGCCGAGGGCCTGATGTGCCTGCTGCGCGAGCTCGGCGGCGCCTACCAGTCTTTGGCGCGCTTCCAGAGCAAGGAGGCGGTGGAGCAGCTGACCGCGCTGCCCGCCAACCAGTTCGACACCGCGTGGGTGCTGTGCCTGGCGGGGCGCGCGCACTTCGAGCAGACCGACTACGAGGCGAGCGCGCGCTTCTTCGGCGAGGTGCACGCGCGCGAGCCGCACCGGCTCGACGGCATGGACGTGTACTCGACGTGCCTGTGGCACCTGCAGCGCGAGGTGGCGCTGTCGGCGCTGGCGCAGGAGCTGCTCGCCGTCGACAAGGGCGATCCGGTCGCGTGGTGCGCCAGCGGGAACTGCTTCTCGCTGCACAAGGAGCACGACACCGCCATCAAGTTCTTTCAAAGGGCCGTGCAGGTAATAACGATCGTATTAATAATAATACGCTTTATTTCAGAGAATTATATGATCAGCGCAATTCACTTTTTTCTCGAAATCAGTCTACGGAAATTATCCATAAAAATTTGGAAATTTTCATAAAAAAAAAATTGAATTTTTCTCGCATTGCCCTTCAAATGAAATAAAAAAAATGAAAGTCAATTTTTCTGAAATTTTCCCAATTTTTGAGTTTTTTCCGCTGCACAGTGTTTCAATTGTCGAAATTTTCGGCAAAATATCAAGGAGTAGTCGGATTTTTCTGAAAATCCGTATTAAAAGATTTTGGGGTCGCTGATAACGAATATGGCATCAGAATTCCAAAATTCAAAATGGTAGATCCAAAATGGCGGACATATTTGTCAAAAAATTGACGGAATAAATTGAAAATCACCATACAGGGGTTTTTGTGGTCGCTGATAATGAATCTGGAATCAGAATTCCAAAATTCAAAATGGTGGACCTCAAACGGCGGACATTTTTATCAAAAAATTGTCGAAATTAATTTAAAACCCGTAAGAGGTTCTTTTTAAAACGTAAATAAAACATCTTTTTATAAAATAGCTTAATTTAGTTTATTATATTTACATTTATATGATATTATTTAATACCTACATATATATTAAACAATTTCCGTCACTGGATTCGCTAAAAAAATTGTCAACACAAATAACCACAATTCAAATTTGACATTAACACACTACAATGCGCATGCGGAATTGTTTTAACGCACCTACAAGAGTTGGGTTAAATATGTAAAATCGGTGTTAAATATCTTAGTAGTCACGAACGATTTACGCAAGTAAAAGTCTAGACACGGCTGTTGTAATAAACATTTTGAGTTAAATCCGAGTGAATCGAGTAAACGTCATGAACGCAACCCAGAAATAAAAAAAATCTTATATTTTGTAAAGCAAAAACACAGATAAGCGCGGCGTGACATAAGCTTAAAATCGCGTTTTTTACCACAACCGTGCAAGTTGGGGCAGATAATTTATTGATGACTTGATAGACAAAACTCTAAGCTATTCAACTGATCTTGAACTGATGCCTTACAATTCATTACAATTTTTGTAGCTCCATTGTTCTAAAAGCTCGATTCAAAGTTTGCGATTTTAACAGACCGATCTTGTCGGTTACGATAACCCGTTGTACAAGCAAAATCTACGAAAAACAAATACATATCTGAATTTAACATACCTTGAAGATCACCCCTCATCAAACCGCATAACAATCGGACACACCAAACACAAGTTATTCACTTTTAAACATCGCGTGTAAAGTACCTTCCACTGAAAGCGTACAATACAGGATGGAGACAGATATTAACTACCCATCTAACTCAAAATTTATCTGAAAAAAAAATGTCAATTTTTTAGTTTTTGCGATATTTTCGAGAATTGAAACACTGTGCGACAGTATATTTAACGTTTGCGTTTATTTTCTTAAATCGATTTAATTTAATTCCAATTCAATTTTTTGCCTGGGAAAAAATGGGTTTTCCCCAATTTTTCCGTTTTTTCCGACACTTTGAAACCCATACCAAGTTGTAACTAAACCTCAAAACGTTAGAGATTTAGATCCAAAATGATCTAAACTAGCCGATTCAATTGGTTGGTGTCGGTTGCAGGTGGACCCGAACTTCGCGTACGCCTACACCCTGCTCGGCCACGAGTACATAACCACCGAGGAGCTCGACAAGGCGATGAGCTGCTTCAGGAACGCGGTCCGGCTGAACCCTCGCCACTACAACGCGTGGTTCGGCATCGGCACCATCTACTCGAAGCAGGAGCGCTACCACCTGGCCGAGCTCAACTTCAAGCGCGCCCTCTCCATAAGCCCGCTCAACTCGGTCATCCTGTGCCACATCGGCGTCGTGCAGCACGCGATGAGCTGGACCGAGAAGGCGCTGTGCACCTTCAACTTCGCGCTCAACTTCAACTCCAAATCCTTGCTCTGCAAGTTCCACAGGTAGGGATGGGAAAATTTCACTTTTTGCTTGTACTTGAAATTTCACATTTATGAAATTTATTAAAATTTCCTAAATTTCTGAAATTTCATTATTGAAACTTTCAATAAATTTCAAACACTTTAAGTGTAATATACAGGGTGTTATGTAATTAATGTTATATATTAAAATACTGAATACCTTTTGACATAAGGAATAAAGGAAAAATATTTTAAAAAGCATTTTTCCAAAGATAAAGAAAAAATATGCATTAGAAGTTTTTTATATTTTTTGTCAAACGCCACTGGTTACACACTTGTTTATCTCTGCGCACCTGTATTTTGTGAGTACATAGATACCAACCAACAAAGTAGCTATGCGTTGCCAGATGTAAAAAACTGTTACTAAAAATTGTTCTTGCAAAAAATAAATAAAAACTCAATAAATACAAAAGTTTTATGCCCTTAAAGCTCTAATACCCTTCTGTATTTATTTACTGATCCAGCTATTAGCTTAAGCAATGATTAGAAAATTTAGTACCTTTGAAATTTAAAATCCATAACCACAAAATTAATTTTTTCATCAGTTTTTTTCTCTGTTTACTCAGATGAAATTGGGACCAGTTCACAGGTTAAACTTTAAACATTTAATTTGTGTAAATAAATCCAAAAGCATTTCCCTTAGTTAAGATATTTACAATTTGAAAACATAACCTAAAATTTAAAAGAAATGCACTAGATTCTGTCATAAAAGTTGTCAGATTTTGTTTGAATTTACCTTCAGTACAAAAATGAAATAACCAACAATTAATAAAAACGCCAAATTGACAATTTGCATTGTTAATTTTGTCATTTTTGTAATTAAGCTAAATTTAAACGATGTTTGTCAACTTTTTTGAGAGATTTTGGAAAAACTGTTGTTACCAACCATAACATAATAAATCCACCAGATTAACCTAAAGTTCCTAGTCGATCAGTGGCGTACTTTTTGGTAGGATAAAGGTTATTATAAATTATTTTTAGACTTTGGAATTTAGAAAAAAAAAGTTTCAGGTGCTTCTTTATGGACCCTAAGGAACAACCCATTTTAATATATAACATTAATTACATAACACCCTGTATATTTATTATTTTTATATATTTTACTGAAATTTTACAAAAATTGAAGAAACTTCATCAAAATTTTATGAGCCAAAGGCATTTTTCATCCGTTTTCCGATGCAATTATAGCAAAAGTAAAAGTTTAAATTAATCATGACTTTTAAAAAATTTTAAAGTCTGATTTAATTTACAAATTAAATTGGTAACTGAATTAAATTATTTAAATTAATGTATGCATATAAGTAACAATAATTACTTATAGTGTATTCAAATCCAAGCCGAAATAAACAAAAAGACGCCTGATAACTCGTTCTTATTGGTCGATTCGGAATCTGTTGTAAATTATTATTAAAGGTCCCAGGGGAGGCCGCATGTGAAATTTATGCGAAATTTTCAGTAAATTGCGAAACTTTCAATGAAACTTCTGAAAGTTTCACGGGCAATTTTGAAATTTTCGCATTGAAAATTTCATTTGAAATTTTTAAAAATTTCACTTTTCCAACCAAATGAAATATTTCAAGTTTGAAACTTTCAAAGTTGAAATTTTCATTTTTCAACCCTATCCACAGGGCGTCGACGTACCACGCGCTCGGCCGGCACTCGGAGGCTCTCCACGAGCTCGAGGAGCTCAAAGAGCTCATACCGAAGGAGTCGTTGGTGTACTACCTGATCGGCAAGGTGCACAAGAAGCTCGGCAACACCGATCTCGCGCTGATGCACTTCAGCTGGGCCACGGATCTCGATCCCAAAGGCGCCAGCAGTCAGATCAAGGAGGCGTTCGATCCGTCGATCGGGCGCGGCGTTGCCACCGCCGCCAACGACGCCGAAGACGTCGTTAATGACAGCCGGGATGACAGCAACACTTCGGAGCAACCGCGCGAACGTCTAAACTTCACCGGCCCAGACGACAGCGACGACAGCTACTAACCGCATCTTCTCTCGCAACTTTAAATAAGCAGAAATCAGGTTACCTACCATTTATTATTCCCGACACATACATTTTTTTTTACTTCCGACACTGAAAAATTCATTCTTAGACACCTCTAGAAAGTGCTCACCAAATTTAAACTCATAATATTAATAGGAAGATCCTCCTCATCACAGTTTTCCATTTTTTCTTTAGTCCCTTATAAAAAAAAACATATTTTATTATTAATCAATCTTTGTACGAAATTGTATACTCTACAAATAAGGACTGATGTGTTTTACAACCATTTAAAAGATATTCAAGATCAAAGTTTGAAGAATTGTTTTAATAAATTCTTCAAACTTTGATCTTAAACATCTTTTAAATGGTTAAAGTAAGCGCTTAAACACTTCAGCCCTTTTTTGTGGAGCATTCAATTTCCTACAAAAATATGTATATGATTTTATTAAACGATTGATTAATATCGAAATATGGTCTTTTTTATAAGGGACTAAAGAAAAAATGGAAAACTGTGATGAGGAGGATCTTCCTATTAATATTAGAAGCTCAAATTTGGTGAGCACTTTCTAGAGGTTCCTGAGAACCAATTTTTCAGTTTTGAAAGTAAATAAAAATATTCGATTTTTTTTAATCACCCTACACGTGCGGTATTCCACGCCAAATCTGTTGTACTTCCGGTTAAAGCTTGCCTCCGTGATTTTTTTATCAAGCCGTTCAAGAGATGCACATTTTCGGAAAATTACGTTACTTTTTTTTGAAATGCTCAACACCACTAATTATCGGCAAAATTGCAATTTTTTTATCAATATTTTCTATTTTACCCGTACTTTAAAATAAAAAAAATCAATGTTTCTAACCTGATAATAATGAGCAAACAATTTATTTTTTCGAAATCTTGTTTTTATTAATTCTTGTAGAAAATAGATAATAATTTTTTTTGGACGATTTTTTTAATTTAAAGAATGCTGCATACATAAACAAACAGTACCGTTTTTTATAATAAAATCGCAAATCATAATTTTAAATTTAATATTTTTGTTGAAAAAATATTTTAAACAAAAATTTCATTTTAACGATGAAGTTATTTTTTAGTAAATCCAATTAAATAATAAAGAAATTTTAATTAATTTTTTACAAATAAATGAGGAAAATAATTTAATAATTTAATGTTTTTGTGACTTAATTTCTTAAAGTTTGTTTGAAAAAAATTACTTATAATTTCTTTATTATTTAATTGTATTTAAAGAAAAATTACCCCATCCTGAAAATGACATTGTGTAAAAAATTATCAGCATTATCGCATTTTTCACTTTCAAATTTTTGAGGGTCTTTCTCTACTGTCATATAATAAAAAATGAATTTTTCATTAAAAAGCTAAGATTTTTTTACAAAAAATAATATCGTTTGAATTTTTATAAAACATTATTTACATATAAAAAAATTAACAAAAAATATTGTCAATATTCGAAATCTTCAGGGAGACATTATTTGGTGAAAAATTCATATATTTTTCATTTATTTATTAAACGACTACCGATAAGTTTTATCTCAAAGCAAAATATCGTTTTTTCGGTATTTTTTAAGAAAATTTAGGAAAAATTTCAATTTGGCCGATTATTTGCAAAATGAAAAAAATGGAGTTTCAAAAGCAAGATGGTGTTTGATTTGGCTTGGAATGTCAGATAAATAAATATATCCTTGGGATTTATTCACGGAAACAGGAAATATTTAGAAATATTATTACAAAATATCATCTTTGGGTTCAGTATTTTTCCAATTAGAGAAAATCTGCAATAAATTTCTAATACTTTTATAATTTTCAATATTTCCACTAGAAATATTTCTATTTGCCAATACTGGTACATACTGGACTATCAGAAAAATCGACTTTTTTTTTCTTCCCAATAGTAATCGCAACTTTTTGTGGATAAAATTAGGACATATGCTCTACAAAAAATGCTTTATTTTATGATAAATCTACGCTTTCAAAAGTTATTTAAGGTCCAAGTGTTTTTTCTACTTTTTCCGCGAAAATATCAGACTTATTTCCTTCAAATTATCTCCTCGAAATTCCTAAGGAATCTTTTTGAAATGAAGCTTACCAAATAACTAAAGATCCTTCAGGAATTTTAAAAACTTTGTGAAAAGTAATTTGAGAAAATTAAAACGTTCTACAAAATAGTAAAATCGTAAAATTTTACGATTAGTGCCATAGTTAATTATCTTATTCATTTTATATAAAAAATTTCAAAATTAATTTACTTTTAAATGCAAATAACTAGAGATCCTTTAGAAATTTTAAAAACTTTGTAAGAGGTAATTTAAGGGAAATAAAACGTTCTACAAAATAGTTCCTATCTAATTAATTTTATGTACAAATTTTCAAAATTAATTTACTTTTAAATGCAAATAACTAGAGATCCTTTAGGAATTTTAAAAACTTTGTATAATTTGAGAGAAATAAAACGTTCTACAAAATAGGTCCTATAACATTTTACGATTAGTCTGATAGTTGCAGTGAAAAAGTAGAAAAATCATAAAATTTCCTTTGACCTTAAATAGCTTTTGAAAGGGTAGATTTTCCATAAACAAGAGCCTGTTTTGTTATTTGGGAAAAAATGGCGATTTTTTTACCATATGAAAAAATTTTGTTGCAAATGTACCTACCAAGATAATCGTCGATGTGGATTTTACCGAAGTGTTTATTATTTATTCGTAGAACTTAGTGTATTATATATAAACATGTTTAACTATCAAAATATAGCATGTGTTTGATCCATTGCGTTTTTTCTATAGGGATATTTTTTAAACGACAATAACAGTGTTTTAATCTATTTTCGCGGCTACCGTTTCTGCTTATCTAATGGACTTTCGTTTGCACTATCTACCTAATTATCTAATTGAATTATAGTAAATATAAGTATAGAATGTGTTCGTAAACTAAGATTTAGAGGCGGCCACAACTGTGCCCCTCATTTAAATTACGGTTTTGTTTTATTATATTATGTAATTATTTCATTGATTCATAAAAATGTAAATGATGATTTTAATTTTTTTAAATAGACTGGTTATTATGTTTTTGTAGAAGATCTATTTTTTGTATACTACTTGCACCTGCACCCAGTTGACGACGGAAATTTTATTATTTTACTCTACAATGAAATGAAAACGCATTATTTCTTTAGTACAAAATTTACTCTATTTTATTATATTAGGCACTAATTTTAATGTTTGTTCTCATTTTTATTATTTTTTTGCCAAAAATACACTCAAGTATGAATTTTTAAAATACTCCTTTTAGGGTCGAATTTTACGCGAAATAAAATTTCACAACTGAATGTAGGTACCTACGCCTTTTTATGTTAATATAATTCATTATTCAGTTATGTTTTGTGTTTGACTGTGTAAATAAAATATTTATGGTAAATTGTTTTTTATTTTTTATTGTATTACAGATTTTTATCTTTATTTGAACGTTTAATTTCGAATGAATATTAAGGTAATAAAAAACTCCATAAACAGTAAGTATATTTTATTTCCTTAGACCAACCTAAAATTCATGTTTTTGTGTTAAAAAAATCCTATTCTTGAGCGCAGAATATGAAAAAATACCCCTAGAATATCCATATGTGCTTTATATGTATTAAAACTAAAACCTTTATATATATATATATATAAGCCATAATTTTTTTAAACATTTTACTAGACACGATTTATAATACCAAAAGTTCAATATCATATGAATTTAATTTTGGTTTTAAAACTCCTGTTTCACATGACCGTCGTATGTCCCTCGAGCAAAATCCAATATTTGCGATCTTCTAAAAATTTAATTCAACTTTTAAGTAGCCAAAGAAAATGATATTGAAAAGATGTTGTGTTTTTTGTGTTATAAAATTGTCTTAAATAGCCATTATTGTTAATGTCTTCGTATTTTTTTATTAACATGACCGTCTATAGTGATAAAATAACAACATAAATAGTTATAAATTGCTCGCTATGTTTTTTTTGTTGTCGGTTGTTTATCGGTGGAAGTCTAACCTAAAATTCACAACATGGGGATGCTTTTAATTTTGAGCAAATAAAAATGTTTCACATGAAAAAAAAAGTATGCGACGGTCATGTTAAAAATTTGTTAATTTTTTATTTAAAACCCTTCTAAGTTTTATTTTTATGCACATAAAGCACTTCTTCATCATTCTGGCATATTTGACCAAGTTACCTAATAGAAAAAAGAGTTGAAATAAATTCTAACAATTTTTTTTTCAAAATTAAATCAGAATCTTAAAAGATACTGAAAACCACCCATAAGCATTTTAAAGATGACACTGTCTGCAGAAAGGTGAGAATTTGTAAAACGGATCACTTAAAAATTTTTTCAGACTTTATGGAATAAAGAAAACAAGTATTGGGTTTTGTAATAATAGGTAGGTAATAAAATATTTAAAAAATGACGGATTTTTATAAAAAAATGTTATCATGGAAATTAAAAATCTTGATGAAAAAAAATATTGCAATTATATGTATAAATAAATAAGTAAAAAAATATAATAAAATAAAATTCACCTACCAAATAAAATATTTTTTGCCCATGGTTAACTTGCAATTTTGATTTTTATAAAAATTTGGTACTGATTTTTTAATAAAAATCATTTTTCTTCAGTATTTGTTTATTTTTGTTTTGCTCTAAAATAATTAATAAATTGTTGAAAAACCAATTTAACTAGGCACCAAGGAAATTTGTGATTTTTTCATATTTTACCCATTAATAAATATATTTAATAGAATTTGGAGATATATCGTTTTGGATTTTTACAATGTAGGTATGGCTTATGCTATAGCATGAGCCATACCTACATTGTAAAAATCCAAAACAAAAACATTGTTGTGTTACAGGAATCTGTATTACCAATATTACTATTTAGTTCTGCCACTTTCTGATAGATAGCGAAGTATGTCAAATAAATCTAATATCACGGCTGTACCGTAATAATGAACATTAATTTGATTTTTTTTAGCAAAGCTAAATTTATTGCATATAAATTATGCGGTTAAACTCGAATTACCAAGTTTTTCTCAAACGAACGATCCATCTGTATGCAAATGGCAGTTCAATTAATCAAACCGCAACTTTCTTAAATTATTCGCACAAATCATTAGAGTGTAATTTAATTTTTTCTCGTTTCAGTCACGAACCAAATATTCTTAAATATGGTTGTGTAGGAGTTTGCGGGCTGTGAAGAGAAAGTCCATCATAGATTTTATTAAAAAAAAACGATAGGAATTGTGGGTATGATGTAAAAATACAACACTAAAACAATTTTTAAAAGAAACGGTATCATACATCATATCAAACTGAACGTAATTAAATGAGAACAACTGTTCGAACCCTGGAGACATCTTCACGACACGACATCTAATTAGATGAAAAGGACCGTTTCATTAGAAGGTTTTTATTAAAAGGGGGTGCGGATGCGTTGAAACGGAAACACCCTCTATCGTTTAACATCTCCCTTGTAGTAGATGCGGTGATAGTGTTTAGATTAACAAGTGGCAAACTAGCATGCAGGTTGTCAGCGAATTTTTTATGCTTTGTGCACCATTTTTTGATTGTTTTTTTCTAAAAAAATGCCGAGAAAGACTTTCCTTAGAGCATACACTATGTGGATATTTTTTAAATAATTTTTGCAAATTTCTTTGATGTCTGTACTTTTATGGGTGATATTTAATAAAACTAAATGAGTTTGACCTACACTTTTATTGTATTTTGATCTTTCATAATTAAGTAGATATTCATTATTTTTTACAATGTTTTAAAAGTCTAAAACCTATCCTCCTCTTTCTAGGTTAACCTATATGTTTTCAAACATCTCAGGTAGTAAAAGCATACTATAGTATAAAAATATCAGTTCACTAAGTAAATTAAACACATCCAAAGCAATCCAATCAAATACAAAATATTATTAAAAATTAAAAGAAATAATTTTTATTACCATTTATGTAGGTGTTACAAAAATTGATTCTATCCTCCGTGAATCTGTTTTTGCTTTAAATTTTATGCAACGGGTGGCGCTTTAATCATTTTAAATAAGCAAAAACCTCTGTTTACGACATTATAGATGCATGTGATTCCTGAAGGTCAGTTAGAATTTATATGAAGATGAGAGTGTTGCTGTTTTATAATTCAAAAGTTTAAGTTCATTAATTTGCTATTTAAAAACCTATCCACCGTGAAGTCTAATATCTCAGTAAGTAGATTTTTTTTATAAATATTGTATTTATGTACAATTGTTGTATTTTTAAAAATATTAAGGTGTCAAAAGATACAATAACTTATTTCAAATATACAAAGGAATGTTTAAAAAAAAACATACGAAATCCTAACCTCCATGAAGCTTTAATATGCAAAATGTATGATTTCTTAAAATTCTTGCATTAGTGCAGAATGTTATGTTATTACTAGACCTGATGGCTTTCCAAAAACCCCATTCTAGACTAACAGTGAAACAACCAAAAATAAAAATAATCATTTTCACTTGGGGGACATCCCAATATCTTCACCGTTATCTATAATTTGGATGAAGAAAAAAAATTCACCCAATGTAAATTATACCTAATAATTATTAAGGTTAAAAATTCTACAATAACCAGTTTATTAGCAAAACACTTAAGTAAACAATTTAGTTTAGTTTGAATAATAAATTATTTAAATTTTCTATTTTTATTCTCCGTTAACACCTGAACCATTATTGAAATTTTTATGAATTATTTATTACATGCCTAATTGATCGAGATAGGTATATAATTTGTGTAAGTATTCAAATCTATAATTAAAATGTAAAGGATATATTATCTTTTTAAGAAAGAGCAATATATGTATATAATACACATTGACAAGTTGTGGCTTTCTGGCGCTTTAGTCACGGGCTGAAGTTAGTAACCGGTTTTTAGTCGCGGGCTTAAGTTAGTTTTAAGTTAGTTAATTACTTTTTAAACCAGTTTAATTCGTATAACGTTGTTGGTATTTAAATTCAAAAAAACTTTTATTGCAATAAATCATCGAAGGTATGCGATATTAAAAATTCCTGCTGCACAATCCGGTTGGTTGAAATTCCTGCAATGAGTCACAGGGATATAATGAAATAGCATCAATCTAATAAAACCCAAGCACCCGCAAGGAACACTGTCAATTCTTGTACCAACATATATTCATTAGATTGCCACCCCTATCAGCGAGGGATAAACGAAAATATCTCTCATCTAACTGCATATTTCAAGGAGGGGAGAAATATACAGTAAAAGTATGCCGGTTCGAATCAGACTTCTGAATTGCTTCATCAATTAACTGATCTTGTAGCTCTTCAAGTAAAAAAATATACCCATAGCCTATAGGCACAATCCATAAAACAAGGTTTGTTCTCTCTCGTTTCGCGCATACTAAAAATCACGACGTTAGGCAACCAACAGCACAGACTCGTTTTAAACGTTGTTTCTTACAGAGGCACTTGTAAACTTTACAAAAGGCCAACAAAAACGGTAGATCTTCCGCTAAATGGGGAGACATGGCAACACTGTGGAATGTGCCCATACAGTTCATTTTTTTAAATCTGGACTCGTGTTTTTTTGTTAGGTTGGTGGCTTATGTCAGTTTGACTTAGTATTTTTAGTATTTAAAAATGGTACTTCTGCTAAAGAATTTAATTAAATACTTTGTCACTGTCAAATTGACAATAATATTTATTATTGATAATTTACTTGTCAATTATAAATAAAAAGATAATTACGCCAAAAATAATAGCAACGAATTCGAATGTAAAAGCCCTTTTGAGGGCAAAACTTCATTTTGATGAAATTATGCCAAATGCCACAATGGAAGAAAAAGTACATCGCCTTATGGACATTTTTGGAGTAAAAAAGTAACGA